TCCTCCATCGATGCTGCGTTCAATCTCATACGCCACTGTGCCGTGCCTACACCATGTGCCCTTGCGGCTGGCTGTTTGACGGCAAGCATCACGGCTTGATCGCGAGTCGGTATGCTTTGGAGCTTCTCCGTAGCCTTGGTACAACGCGATGCCGCGTCGCAAATATTCGTGCATGTCGGCGACGTTAAACACGCCGTACACACTGCCAGCGGCTCGGGTTCGGTTTCACCAGCCTCCGGTTCCTCCCCCGGACTTGAAGAAGCATCCGGGGGGGGGGGGGCGCGATAACGCGTCGGCGACGACATTCAAAGCGCCTGGACGATGATGCAGCGTGAACTGGAAGGACGCAAAAAAGTCCAGCCAGCGAGCCAGGCGACCAGACAGGCGGGGATGCTGTAGAAACCACTTGCACGCCGAGTTGTCCGTGTACACTTCAAACGAGACTCCATGGAGGTAATGGCGCCAACGGGTGAGCGCTTGTTTGATCGCAAAGAGTTCCTTCTCGTGAACAGGCCAGTTCAGCTCATGCGGGCCAAGCTTCTTGCTGAAAAATGCCACGGGGAGATCATTGCCGCCATGCAGCTGAGAGAGGACTCCACCAATGCACGCGTGACTAGCATCCGTTGTCACAATGAACGGCTTGTCGAAGTCTGGCAGACGTAGTACCGATGCGTGCTGGAGCGCAAGCCTGATGGCATTGAAAGCCTGGCGCTGACCGTCATCCCATACCCACGCCACATCTTTCTTGACCAAAGAGCTCAGCGGAAGTACCAGTGTCGCAAACGGATGAATGAAGCGACGATAATATCCGGCGAGGCCCAAGAAGCGCTGTTGATCCTTGATGTTGCTAGGCTCTGTCCACTCGGCTATGGCTCGAGTCTTGAGAGCGTCCACGTGCAAGCCATCAGCTGAGATGGTGTGACCACGGAAGTCGACCGAAGCTTGACCGAAGTCGCACTTGTCCGGACGAGCGTAAAGCTTGTGAGCCCGAAGGATTTCACAGACTTGCCGTAAGCGCTCGACGTGATCGGCCATCGACCGCGAGAAGATGCAGATGTCGTCCAGATAAACGACCACGAACAGTAGATGGCTCAGCAGCTTGCGCATCAGGCGCGTCCACGTGCCCGGCATGCCGGCCAGGCCCATAGGCGCCACGTTCCAATGATATATCTCATGGTTTGTCCTGAATGCCGTGTACTGCTTGGACGTCGGAGACATACGCATCTGGTGGTATCCACTGGCGAGGTCGAGAATCGAGAAGATCACTGCTCCCACCATCCGATCAAAGAGCTGCTCGATGTGCGGCAGCGGAATCTTGGCAACCTCTGAGGCCGCATTCACCAAGCGATAGTCAATGACCCATCGAATGGGCATGTGCGGATTGTTCGAGTGTAGCCACTCCAAGCGTGATGGGAATTTGCCAGTCGCGGGGTCCTTTTTGGGCACGCCAAAGATGTTTGATACCCACGGAGAGTCCGACACTTCGATCCAGTTCTTCTTCAGCAGCTCTGCCACAAAGATGTCCAATCCCTCCTGCTCAACCTTCGAGAGACGGAAGGGGGCGCGGTTGCTGGGCGTCGCACCTGGTTTCAAGACCACTTCGTGCTCGATTGAGCGGCTCGGTAGTAATCCAGGCGGCAACTCTGACGGAAAGACATCTGCGAACTCGTCAAGTACTGCTTGAAGCTGCGACGGCACGGACTTCACCTTGGGCGACGTCTTCACTGTGACATTATACAGTTCGGCGTACTCGTCGGCCTTCACCTTTGTCTCAAACTCTGCCGCCCAGAGGACACACAACGACGATGCCTCCGTGTCGTCATCGCCTTCGTTGTCAAAGATGCGTGGCAATGGCTGACATTCTAGCGCTGTTATCGAGCTTGGCCCGAAAGGCATACAGAAGTAGCCTGCCTTTACACGAGCGTCAAGCTGCTGCCGCAGATTCGGGGGCAGGGGGTGCTGAAGGAACTCAGATTTCACTTCCACTGAAGCCACTGACGGTCCCGCTACCTCGAGAGCATCACTCCGGTTTGCCAGTCGATAACCGGGTTGAACTGCACCAGCCATGGAAGCCCGAGGATCACGTCTTGATTTGTCGACACTTCCCACTCAATGAGGGAAACTCCGTTGAAATCTCTGCCAGCAAAGCTGATAGTCTCCAAACATTGTTGCGCCGTACGGGCCGGCGTTGTCGTACCGTCAAAGCGCTCCGCCGTGACCTTGGTGGACTCAACGCAGTTTTGGGCGAGGCCAGGGCGCACAATGTTGCGCTCTGCACCGCTGTCGATCAAGATTCGCACTGCCCGCCCGTTCATCGCCCCCTCGAATCGCAACAGTTCACGATTGGGTGACGGCTCGGTGGTGATGGACACCATGTTCAACTGCAAGCTTTCAATGACCTCGACGTGGTCGTCACGGCTGTCTACGTAGTCGTCTTCGGCTTCGTCGGATACGTCGTCTTCGACAATGCGGCGGAACGAGCCCTGGTTAGCGCGGAAGGACCCGCGCCCTTGTGGAGGACGAGATACACCCCGGGGGTTGTTGCGCGCTGGCCTCTTTGGACACGTGGCCAGGCGATGCCCGGGTTCCTTGCAGTAGAAGTACAGATTACTGCGCAGACACTCGTCGCGAGAAACGAAGCGCGAGCTTCCAATCTCCATCGGTGTCGGCTCCTCGATGCGATGTAACGACTGTTGAAGGCGTTGGCCACCTTGACCTCCGCGGTTCGCATGGGTTCGACGCGATCCTACAGCGTGTGTTCGGTCGTACATCAGTGCAAATGAAATCGCGTCCGTCGTGTTTCGGAACTGGCGCAGCTTGACCTCTTGCCTGATCGCTACGACCAACCCCTTCTGAAAATGCATGACCTTGTCGATGTCGCTCATGTCCTCTACCTTGCAGATGATGTGCCGAAAGGCCGACACGTAATCTTCGAGGCAGGCGAAGTTGTTCTGGCGTAGGCGTAGGAGCTGGTCGCGCAGGTGCTCTTGGCGATCGGGGGTCGTGAACGCGCTGGTCAGCAGCTCCTCGAACTGCGAGACCGAGTGCAGGAAGTTCCCGTCGTGGGAGACGTACTCGCGGTACCACGCTGCTGCTGGCCCCGTCAAGTTCGCCACCAAGACTGACAGGGGGCGCTGCTGCGGTGAGTCGGCGCCGTACTTGATGTTCTTCGACTCAAAGTAGAGTTTGGCCCTGAAGAGGTAGTCCGCGACGTCGTCGTCCTTGGTGACGGAGAACTTCGGCATGGAGATGCCCTCGGCACGGTACTCGCGCGTGTCTTGAGACGTAGAGTCGGGCGACGGTGGTTGTTGCTGCTGCTGCTGTTGCTGTTGCAGTGTCGCCGCCATCTGGCGCTGCAGCTCCGCTGTCTGCGCCATGAACTGCTGTTGCTCGCGCATCATCGCCGCGAGCGAGGCGAACATCTGCTGCACGCTGTACGCGTGCTGCATCGCTGCTTCATCCATGTTTGCGCTAGCCACGTCGTCAATAGGTGGCTGGGGGGCGCAAGGTCCTCAGCCAAATCAATCAAAGTTTGAAGTCGCAGGCACTCCCTGGAGCGCTGCTTCCGACAATGTCTGTAAGCCCCAACGAAGTCACAGACGCTCGACCTGGAGCTCTGCTACCGACAAGTACCAACCACTTGCTCCAGTGTCCCGAAGGAAGCAACTGGTGGAATTCCGTCCGGCGCTAGCTCGAGCCCGCCTCGGAGCACAAAAACACCTACTACTAAACTCGTAACGGCCACCGACGCAGATGTTACACTCGGCTGCGCACTGTTTGCAAGTGACAGCCGAGGCGACAAGCGGAAGGTCGAGGTGGGTGCCGCGTATGGACACGCGGAAGTGATTGGGCTAAATGCACCAATGCGATGTCGACACGAAGTGACGTGTGACAATGTGCGTCGCCACTCCTCCCCAGAAAGCAAAGGAGCGAGCTCGGCGAAAATGGAGGCCCCGTCGGCGACGAGCGGACGAGGCTGCGGACGAGATCACGCACGCGGCGCACCCGGAGAAGTTAAACGGCGAGAGGTACAGCTGCAGCACACCGAAGAACGGATGCGAGGAAGACGGCGTGCGCAACGGCAACGCGGGACGGACGAGGCTGGACGGCGTGCACACCGGCGACGCGTGGCGGCACTGGAACTGGAACTGGAACGAGGACTGGAACTGGAACGAGGACTGGAACTGGAACGAGGACTGGAACTGGAACCGGAACTGGACTGAAGCGCGCGTCGGCTTCGCAAGTGCTACCAAGTGTAAGGTTCTGGTTGTGCTTGTTGTGTTGCGAGTAAAATGGAAACTGAATTGATGTCTTTGTCTGTTTGCTGCTATCCATCTACCCGAGGGCGCCCGCATGGCGCTCGGTCCTAAACATGAAGTGGTTGGCTGAGGCGTGCCGGAGCAGGAGCTTGCGCAATCGGTGAATATGCAGACGACGACTTGGGCTCTCTGCGTGCGGACTCAACTGATGATGTGGTTGTGTTCTGCTCTTGCACGTGCAGATTATTACAGCTACCCAATCCCCGACGAGTCTCGTTTCGGAAAGATACCCAAGCTCAAATTTGGCTTACAACCTGTTCACTTGATCGACATGGCGTGAGCACTGGGTTCACGTGGATAGAGTGTAACCAACTCATCTGAACGTTCGTGGCGCGAAACACAGAGCTGTTTAACGCTTAGCTTCATTACGCTCATTTATTCGCAAGTTTGTGCTTAGTGGCGGTTCAGTTAGCGTTAGCATTAGTCTCGTTAATACGTTGAGGAAAGTCACGCTCATTTCCAGGGCGTTCACCAATTCGTTATGGTTGGTGCACTGGCGAGGGCACTGGAGGTGATTCGTCGACCGCGGATCAATCAAACGAGCGATCACTTCAAAACTTCCTCCAAAGTACTCAAAGCAACCAACGCAGCAACCCGGTAGCCCACCTACCCAGCCATGGGTCCGACTCATCTACCGCCACTGCGGCGGTATCACTCCTGTTTCTCCAACTTTCCCAGGTCATGGCCGACGTCGTCACCTACGACTGGCGCCTAACTCCAATCATGACCGCGTTCGACGGTGTGCGTCTTCAGACGCTCGGCGTGAACGGCAAGCCCAGCCACGAAGCCGTCATCGAAGTGCAGCTCGGCCAAGAGGTTAAAGTCCACGTCACCAACAAGCTGTCCGAGCCCACGTGTCTGCACTGGCACGGCATGAAGCAGCTCGGCACGCAGGAGATGGACGGCATGTGTGGCATCTCGCAGTGCGCCATCGAGCCCAACAGCTCGGCGACCTACCGCTACACGCCCGACAAGGCCGGCACCTTCTGGTGGCACAGTCACCACGGCACCCAGTACGCGTACGATCTGCGAGGCCCGTTGATCGTTAACGGGCCCGACACTAAAGCGAAGAAGCTCTGGGACCACGAGTACACCATTCAGATGGCGGCCATCTACCACGCGCCGCCGCCTCCGGGGCCCGTGCTCTCGCCATTAACAACTTGGCGCGCTACAACTGCACTGCAGCAGCTTCTCACGGCCTCACGGTATGCAACCCGCATCAGCCGCTGTCGACCTTCGACTTCGTGCTGGGACGCAAGTATCTGCTGCGGGTGATCAACATGGCCGCCATGGGGACGTTCGAGTTCACCATCGACGGCCACGAGTTCCAGGTCATTGCCGCCGACGCGGAACCCGTGGCACCCACGAAGCTGCTCAACTCGATCATTGTCAACGTCGGCCAGCGCTACGACATCATCGTGCAGGCGAAGAAGGACACGCGGGGAGTGCGCTCCTTCTGGATGCGGGCCAAAGGGTTGACCGGGTATCCGTGGACGGCGCGGACGGCAAGCACGGGCACTGCTGGCTTCAACGAGGAGGGCTTGGCCATTGTGCGCTATGACTCGCGTAGCAGTAGCGCTGAGCCGACGACGCAGAAAGCGAAAACGACCGTGACAATGGGCGAGTTCGACTTCACCCCGCTGGAGCCCGTGCCAAGCCTGACGATCGCTCCTACATGCGCTTCAACATCAACACGACGATCGGAACGGGCATCGTCTCGCTGGACGGAGGCGAGTTCCAGACGCTGGTTGTCCCGGATGAGCCGCCGCTCTTGAGCATCGCGAGCGGATTGACGACTGCCGAGCTGCCGCGCAGTGCCAACGCCCGAGCTATCAGGTACGGCGACCATGTGGAGGTGGTGCTCAGGAACGACGTGATCGAGCAGCGCCCGTTCCACCTGCACTCGCACGTGGCGTGGGTGGTCGGCAGCGGCCACGCTTCAGCTCAGGACGTGTACAACAACAAACTGCCAGCGCCTAAGCTCAAAGGAGCCATGATGCGAGACGTGTACACCGTTCCACCCTGTGAGGTCGACGCCAAGGGCGTCTGCGTGATCGTGGGCTACGTCGTGCTTCGGTTCAAGGCTGACAACCCGGGCGTCTGGATGATGCACTGCCACGTCGACTGGCACATGGCCATCGGCATGGGGATGGTCTTCGTGGAAGGCGAGGCGGAGCTGCCCAAGAAGGGCCCGAAGGCGTTTTCAAGCAGCTTGCTGAGCGTATGCAAAAACAAATCGACAGGTGGGGATGTGGTGAAGGCCTACAGCAACGGATATCGGTCTTCGACAGCGAGAAACTACCGCGGCTCGAAGAAAAGCACCAAAAGCTCAAAGAGCTCAGCCAAGTAAAGCGATCCATAGACCAAGACGCAAACGTGAAGGTAGGACAGAGACTTTGAGCTGAACAAGGTTGTTTGCTGCAGTATAACACTGTGAAAGCAATTCGTCAATTGATACCAAAAAAATGATACTGCAACTTCAACATTTCCGCGTTGCTTCTCATTGCGGAATCTACCACGTACATCAAAGATCCAAAGGCAACGCAGGGAGAGGGAGGCCATGGCTCTCGAGTATTCCAGCAGTGAACGGCATGCTAAGCGCACGAAGATGAAGAAAGTTACGTCGTTGGAAGCCCTTACTCGCGTTGAAAGCGGAAGGAAGCTGGTAGCGTTAGTAAGTCTAGCATTTCTTTTTTACTTATTTCTTCCTAATCTTTCATTACCATTTTGCAGCTTTCTGTCACGCTGGCCAAACCAACCCAGCGTAAGGCCAACGCTGCCAAGACACTACCCACGCGTGGCTCGGCAACACGTAAAGCTGCTGCTGTCCGCAAGTCCTGGCCGGTGCAGAATACGTGCTTCCTGCCTTCTTCAGACGATGAGTCAGACGCTGGTGACGCGACTAGAAAAATCAGCATGCCTCGCCGTACAAGCCCCAGCGCAGCTAAAGGTGAGCATCTGCGGCAACGATTAAAAGGATGTCCATCACTGAAGCCACTTTTGCACAGGCGCAACGGAATCCCGAAGCTTCCAGCCACCGCAAGGAGGCTATCAACTCTGCGCCTTGCAGCGAATGTTCTGCTAGGCTGCCACTACTAGCTCGGCATTTACTTTTACGTTCAAGTATTATATTAGCTTCCTCCTCCTGCGTTTGGAGGCAGTCTTTACCTACTGACGGACGATAACTGGACCAACAAACAACCAGGGGATCAACTAATGACGCAGTTGCCTCTGTGTGCCTTGGACTTCCTTCGTCCAAAGCCCGGAGAGTGGTGCGGGTGCACCTTGTTCTTGCCCATTGCCACGGGATCGTCTTCCTGCTCCGCGATCCTCAGTGTCTCGCGTACGGACCTGCCGTTCGTGCGGCCCGTGACAACCGAGAAGTTGGACATGTAACTCGCGCGCTCGGCAGTGGAAGTGCCTCCGTCCGTTGCTTGGCTGCTGCGCTCGTCGATATCATCGCTCACAGGGCTCTGGCCACGGAGTCCGAGCATGATGTCGATCATACTGGGTCCAATCTGGTCCGAGCGGAGCGTCACACGACCGTGAGTCTCCAGTTCCAAGGTGCGGAGCTGCAGTCAAAGAGCACAAAACAACAGTTAGAGACCTCAAGTCCCAGTACTAATCAACACTACCCGATGCCAGCTCACCTTCTCCACGTAAGCTTTGCGTGGTGCACTAGCCGGCCGCTTCTGCAGGACGTGACGGTACGCGTGCTCCAGACTCCACTGCTCGACCACCATTAGGTACGCGATGCAGACCACGGCGCTCTCGTTGTTGCCGTGGGTGCAGAAGACGAAGACCGTCTTGTTGTCCGAGCGCGCGATCTGGATGAGCTTGTTGGCCTTCGTGACGTTGCTCTTGAACTCGTCGTACGAGAAGTCGTCGTCCAGCTCGATGCGCCCCGTATCAATCGTCGGGTCCACCGCCAACTCTCCATGGGCCTCACGCTTCCGCGGGTTCTCGGCGTCTAGGACGTACGTGACCTGCATGTTCTTGAGGAGCTGCTCGTCCATCGCGTGCTTAACGGAGCCCATGAGCAGGAAGCTCTCCACAACGCCAGGCACATCGAGTCTGCTGCAACATGCACGACAGTTATCAGCCTCAATGTTGTTTGTACTCATGCAAGCAAGCGCTTCGCTAACCTGTCGTCCCCACACACTGGCGTCTCGGGGGCAGCGTGGTCAACGTCGACGGTGGTCATTCTGTCCGTGTGCGAGTGCTCTCTGGCCGATTCAGCAATGTGCGTGGAGATTCCCAACTGAGCCGCTGCTGCGACTGGTCTTTAGCGCGGGTACGTGCGAGTCCCGGCGTGCACCGTCATCACGACGGACGACACCGAGGACGTCCACCCTCCAGAGGCTAGTCAACTGGTCAACTCCCCGAGACGCGGGCCTCAAGACGCTGAGCTCGCGACGGCCAAGTGACCACGATTCCCACACATCAATGGGCCCAGCTGGCGATTTGCACCGCGGACGTCCGCCACAAGCTGCTCGGTCAACAGACACTGGCAGTCAGGCATGCCGAAAATACGATATATATCTATTGTTTGCCGGACACCATAATAAATATTGCATTGCATCCGAGTAGCAGACTGAATAAATAACGCGAGACATAGTGTTGACACAGTAAATTACTGCAATGATGTTACGACTGTACCTACTTACAGGCACTGCTCCACGGTCGCAACATCCCAGTACGAGCTGTTGATCTTGAGGAACAAGATCATCTCTAGCATCATGGGGGAGAGGCGGTGGCGCTCATGGCGCAGCATAGCGCGCGCAATGCTGAAGAGCCTCTCAACCATGTTTGAGGTAGGAGGAATCGCATTAAGCAGCTCGTACGTGGCCGGCGCAGCAGCTACCTTGCGTCGCTTGAGCGCACGCACAGCGAACCCTTCCTTGTCCGCCGGCGTGCAGTCCACGCCTTCCACATGAGCCTGCGTGCGCTTGAACGGCTCCAGCGCAGCGACTTCGTCGTCCGTCAGCAGGGCCGCCTGGTCGTCCAGCACCTTGACGACCGCCTGCTCGAAGACGGCGGAGTGGATTATATCCGCATCGGTGGCTATGCATAAATAAAAACATATAAAACGCAGTATTTAAGTAGAAATACCGTCAGACGCAGAGTGAGCGATGATCCTTACCGAGATACTTCGCGAACGAGGGGTGGCTCTTGAGGAGCTCGTCGAATAGGACACGAGCGTCCAGCAGCGTAAGGCCGTCGCCCTGCAGGTGCTTGGACACGGACTCGACGTCCCGGGGGCTTGCCAGCAAAGTCTCCAGCTTGCGGTGGGCTGAGCGTGACGGAAGGAAGTCCGCGAGCTCCTCGTCGTCCGCCGAAATGAACGGACGGAGCCGAAAATAGCGTTTGAGCATTGAAAAGGTCGACGACCAGCGCGTGTCCTGTCTGAGGACAGCGGCCAATGACTAATTTCGAGCAAAACCCAAAAACAAAGACCAATTTAGTAGCAATACAAAAACCAAATAAAACAGCAAACAGAGTACTTACCGCAACTTGGCTGCTTGCTTTAAAGTCCGCAACTTACGCATAAGCTGCTGGACCTCTTCGAGGATGCTGTCGTGGGCTCCAAGTAGTCTCGCACCGCCAAGTTCAGGCGGTGGCTGGTACAGCCGATTAGCGGCACACCGAGTAGGTTCGCTAGCCGCTTGTTTACTCCGTAGTTGTCACCAACCAGGAATAGACATCCGGAGATAGACTTACCAAAAAAGGGTAGGAACCTTTTAATCGCCGTCAGATGGCCGTCAGCGCTTAGCTGGTCGTCCGGCTCATCCATGACGGGCGCTAACGACAGCGGCGGGTACTGGGGGCCTGTCGCCGTCTCAACGCAGCCATACACTGCCATGTAGTGCTCCGTGCCGTGGGTCCACCCATCAAGGACCAGACTAAAACGTTCGGGCATGGCGTCGCCGATCATCGTCTCTGCGGCCTTGGTCACGGCCTCCATGATGGCGGTCAGCGTCTCCACGGAGATGGGATTTAGCTTCGTGTATCTACGTAACATACGGCATTAGCACACATGTAAATCACCAAAATAGATATGAAAATACTTACTGTCGCGTTTCCTTGGACTCGCAAAAAGACAGCGGTAGATTGCCCGTGACAACCCAGCGCAGCCACGCGTAGCGGTTCGAGACCTTCCGGGTGACCCACGGCAATAGGGCCCCCGTCGCAGCGACACTAGCGTCGCGCATGTCGCAGCGACACTAGCGTCGCGCATGTCGCTCTCGTAGTTGGGGTGCACCGCCCGCACGTGCGACACCAAGTTGCTGTAGCCTGACTAAGGCGCGTGCTTGCAGCGCTTAGCGCAGGTCTTGCAGGCATAGTAGCCCGTCGTCTCTCCCTCCCCGTCCAGGCAGGGCTTGAAGTAAAAGGCAGCAATCTGCCTGGGCGAGAAGGTAGGCCTCGGAGCGGGGCCAGCGAGGAGATTGTCGGTCATGGTGCTAACGTCGAGTCGTGATGCGCGTGCTGGGTGGTGCTTGTTTGAAAGTGGGGGCTAACGGCAAAGTTACGCTGGTAGAGCGCGATGTGTGACCACAACTAAGGATGAGCAGAAGGAAAATACCGAATTTTAGAACTCGGCTACATAAATTTCGGATAAAACAAACGGCGATGCCCTAAATAAAGTATTGTATCCGAAAATACTGTTTTATTTTCGGGCATTATTATTTTTCGGGATGCCTGCTGGCAGTGTCTGTCGCCTGAACGAACGAATACATGTGTACTGTGTGTGCCGTGAGCTATGCTATGATATGATACAGTATGTACAGTAGCGAGAAGACGAGAGGGATCGATGGAGGGCTCCATCGAGCCCGAGGGCTGTGGAACTGGGTGCATTTCCGACCTGCAGTGCAAGTTGGGTGACTGAGACTGCCAAGTTGCGACTGTCGCATCGTGGTCCGTATACCTCGTCCAACATGATAGAGTTCGGTTCGATCGATTCGGAAGGGAGATCGTGCGACGCTTCCTGCGCACAAAGTATCTTGTCACACCAAATGCGGCGCGTGCGCTTCCAGGAGGATGTGGACGACGACGGAGAGAGCGTCGAGCTGCTTCCGCTGCTGCAATGGGATGTGGCGGCCATCGTCTGGCTGATTCAGCAGAAAGAGGTGCGCTCTGTTACTCGAATTCGACTTGTCAAAGGTCCCCGAGTCACTAACAACTCGTCCAGGAACGGCCGTGGCTGCGGACGCTGGTGCACTCAACGACATCTCGGCGGCGGACACAGGACATCTCGCTGCTCATATGGTGTGTCCTCTTGGGTTGTCAGTCGGTGTGACGCCCTGTTTGTGACCGCTTCTGGTTTCCGTGCTACCTACCGTAGGTTCGTGTTCATCGCCATGACCCCGGAGTTCGGCTTGCCGTACTTCTGGATCTGCATTGGGAACTTGCTGGCGGTGGTGACGCTGCAGTACCTGGCTCAGAGTCCTCGACCCATTGATCTGTACCGCCCGCTGTGGCAACTTCAGGATCGCCGCTGCGTCGACGAAGACACGAGAGGGTTCCCCTGCGTGGACTGCCACATGGCTGTGGTGGTGCTGCTGCCAGCTATTCTCCACACCCAGTCGGCGGTCGTGCAGTTGCTGTTTGTGTTGATCGTGCTGTATATTGCTGCGTGCAAGTTGCTGCTGGCCACGCGGTTCATCTCGCAGGTGCTTGGGAGCTGGCTCATGGGCTTCACAGGAATCCTCATCGGCAACCACGGACACGTCGTGGTCAAGAGCTACAAGCTCAGTCGCGGATACAAGTAAGCTGGATGGATGGTAGCTCAATACTCTCGGTAGTGGCTAATGTGTTGCTGTCTCTTTAGTATTGCTGCCATTGTGGCGCTGCTGGTGCTCGCGATGCTCGTGCTCGGAATGTGGATCGAGAACAACGAGAGCAGCCTGATGGGTATCCCCAAGCAGGACTTCATCGAAGTCTTTACGAACATCTTGAACTCGGACGCACCGAATCCAGTACCGACGCCTGGTGCTCCAGCGCATGTTCACCAGATACCTGGTAGACCGACTGCAACTCCGTCACGGCAGCGCCAGACGCGCGATGGGGGTGACGATCAAGAGGAAATCGCAGGCAAAAGAGACTCGTTTTATTTTCTAGTGCGGGGAATGCGAGCACGGGCACTCGCCGCACAGCAGGCTTCGTGAATGAAGGGGATTCGTACAAACGTGGAGCTAAACTGCAGTCGGTTCTCTAGTTGTCAGTGCATTGCTTGAGCGCGTCTTCGACCTCTCCGCGCATGGCCTTCGACACGCGGGGCAGGATGGAGCCCTTGCCGACCCAAATGTTCATTCGCACTTGCTCGTGCTCCTTGACGCGGACAACCGCTGGGCCCATGGGCATGCCCTCCATGGCCTTCTGCAGGTCTGAAGACAGCGTGTCGAACGCCACGTGCTGCTCCGCATTCTTAAGGAGACTCGAGAAATCGGCGATAGGGATGTCAAGCCGCCTCTTGGTGAAGAAATCGTCGAAGAAGCCGAGACTCTCCTCTGACGGGCGGTAGAACACCTCGCCACGCTCAGTAACCTTGGTGAACACCTTGAGGCCCGTGTTGACGATCTGTTGGAGAGAAACAATGAATCAACGTCAGCAAATAGCATCTACTGCTAGCATAATACGCTGAGCTAAACGTACATCAAGGACGTCTCCACCAAGGCACGCGTCCGAGATCTCCTTGTCCACGTAGTTAACGGTGGCCGCTGTGTCCGAACGGCACCAGAAGCGCTCCTAATTGCATAGTTACAAAGTTTTCAGCGTCAGTAAGAAGAGCCTCATCCACAAAATACCAATTGTTACAGCACTCACCTTCAAAGTTTCGTCTTGCAGACCGTAGAAATCGCGCAACTGCTGCCAGATTTCGTCGCCAACAGGGCGATACAGCATCTCCCGCTTCTTGTCGTTCTTCTTCTTGGAGCTCTTGTTGGCATCCGCGGGCTCCTCTGTGCGGCGCTTCTTCTTCTGCGGCTTGAGCGACGAGTTCGAGGCAGCGAACTCGGTGTCGGGCAAGTATTTCTCGCAGCTCTTCAAGAAGTGACCACCATTGTTACACAGCTTGCAAACGTAGTCAGCCGGCGGCGTCGCCTGCAGCTCCTCAAGCGCGGGAAGTCCTTCCTGACGACCTTCATCACCAGGCAAGTCCGCCACCTTGCGCAGCACAGCGATGAAAAACCCACCAGAGTTTTGATCCGTCGGGATGAGACGCAGGGTCTTGTGCAGCTCCTGGGCAATGGCGCCTTCACACGGGAACATGGAGCGCGTCACGCGGCTTCCACGAAGGTCCTGAGTGAGCGAGTCGTAGCTGTCAAACCACTGGTGCAGGCTCTGCTTGTCACTGCTGTCGTCCGCGTTGTCAACCTTGAAGAGGTGGCCTTTGTGCGTCGACTTGGACTTGGAGCGCCAGCCCACACGCCACTTGGATCGACCCGGACGCGCAACGAGCTGCGGCATCTTCTTCGAGACATCCAGCAGCTCCAGCGATCCACCAGCATGACGCAGCAGCTCAGCAACCACAGCCTCGTTCTCGACGGGGTTGAACGAGCACGTAGAATAGACCATGGTGCCGCCCACCTTGAGTAGAGCAGCACCACGGAGAGCCAACGCGAGCTGGATCGGGTGCAGCGTGAGGCCTTGGCCAATGTGCCAGTCCTTCCACAGCGACTGGTTCTTGCGCAGAGTGCCGTCACCACTGCAGGGGACGTCACACAGCACGCGGTCGAATACGTTGGTAGGCTGCAGCGTCTTGGTCTCAGCGTCATAAAGACCGGGGAACGTATCACCGGCGCCACACGTCACTACAGCACGACGCAGAGTGTTCCGCGAGAGGCGGTGCACCAGCATATACGAGCGCTTCTTGTCCAGATCATTGGCGATTACCAGTCCACTCTGCTCGCCAGCGCTGCTGCTCTCCGCCGAGAGCAAGAAGTCGATAACCTGCGTCGTCTTGGATCCAGGGGAGGCGCACATGTCCAGCACGCGGTGGCCACGCTGCACATCCAGGAACAACACGGGCAGCATGCTCACCGCCTCCTGCCGATCGATATTTCCCCGGTCAGTCTGCTCCAGCAGAACGGAGTGGAAGGCGCGGACATCCTCGTGCTTCGGCGCTACGAAGCAAAACTTCATCAATCAATTCACTGGGTACAGTTTGAAAAAAAATAATACTAATAACAGCAACTTACCACTCTTGGAGAGCGCAACACGGCCGCAGTCCATTTGCCACGCCACATTCTCCAGCGGATACCACGCGATCGGCCTGGGAAGAAAAGAAACATATATCCGTAAAAATAATATCAATTAACAATAAAACACAGCGATGTTGGCTCACTTAGCCGGGTTCACGGGGATTTCTCCGTGGAAATACTTGTCACTCGGGAACTGGAGCTTCGATACCAGCAGCTCTTTCAGCCTACAGTAAAAATAAAATATTTGTTAGCACGCAGAATTTGTTGGTTATTAAAATTATAGTAGAAAAGATAAACGAACCTGTCGGCGTCGGGCCGGTGCAGATTCAGGCGGAAGGACACGGGCAGCGGCTCGTGCAGCAGCTTCATGAGCTGCTCCAGCTCCGTCTCGTCCTTCACGGCATCCGTCTCACGCTGGCAGAGCCCATACAAAGGTTAGAGCCACGGAATATTTTTATTTAGTGTGGACAGATTGCATTCGTACCAGGTACTCGCGGAAACTCTGCTTGTACACGTCCAGAGACGGCTTGGGCTTGCTCGCCTTCTTCGTCTCAGACGCCATGACGATTCTATTTTATGACCAGCCAACCAAACAGTGTACCCATGTGTGTAACCATCGGTTACGGTTCGGTCGTATGGCTACACAACGAGAAAATGGCTACATTATGGACTATCACTGATGGAGGTCCTGAGCCTTCAGCCGAACCGAGCTCCACTGCATTCGACGTACTACAAACGATTACAATTGTCGGAACTCTTAAAGCCCGCGGTATTCGGCTTGGCGTGGCCTGAGACGACTCGAACCGGGAATTTACTGAATATGGAAGGGAATCTGAGGGTTCTCCTAGTATGACGTCGATTGAAGTGCTGAAGTGGAGCTATCCACATAGTAATCATTTTTGCTATACATGTAGCTGTTGTGTACTGGAGTTAGCTGCTTTTACCTTTAGTTAGCTACAAAATTTAGTCTTGCGTATTGATAAACAATCCGCATAACGGACGTGTGCGAAGACAATGAAGAGTCCATAGAAGCTCGCAAAAGCAAACGCATTTTCGATGAAGCAACCTGTGTTTCACATGGATAGGAGCATGGCGATCGTCTAAACTGCTAGAATGCAAACCTACCAGTAACGTTCTTATCCACTACGTGAGGCAGCTACTTCTTATTCTTGCGACCCCTCTCGCTTGGTTATTAGACATAATATAGGTCGGCCACACCACCAGCAAACGCAAAGCTTGCAAAGTACTACCTTCATTAGCGATGTTCCGCGGTTTTCGTAATTTTGACTTATGCTGCAATTATCGGCCCCATATCTCACAATTGGACATCAGAGCTGTGAAAACGTGAGCGAATGCTTCGAGAAAAAAACAATTTAGTGGATGCAATGGCTATATGACTCCAAGCAATAGCTTATTAAAGAACGAATCCCGTATTTTCCATTTTTTACTTTTCTCAAAAGGTCATACTTGCTGAAAAGGGGGGGAATTGACATTTCCCGTATTAGTAGAGGTCTGTTGATAAGTCACACACACACACTGCGACTGTGCGGCGGGTTGGGATGGTCTCGTAGAGCGCTTGGAAAACCCGACGGCCTACCACAAGTGCTGGAGTTCTGTCGTCGCTACTTTTTAGAGAAGCCTACACAGCACAACCGAACTAGGCAACGCTCTATAGAACCTTCAGGAAGACCAATTTCGAAAGTGGCTGCTCGATGGGAAAAATCCCAGCTCTCTTTCCAAAGAACTGAAGGCGGATCATCACCAGGACATCGTTGAAGCTTACAAGATGTTTTACAAGTCCAATGCTAACAACGCGCAATCTGATTTTTTTCTTAGCACGGAAATTGGGCTGAATGCCATATAATTTGAAATGTTGGGATTGGATACGACAAACTCTGCCTTCTTCGCCACACTAATCGCCTTTGCCAACGGAGCGTCTTCGTAAGTTGTGAGCAAGCTCTTGATCATGCTGACGCCTCTATCGGGGTTGTACTGGTTTAACCGGTTGAAGTAGTAATACCAAACCGTAAAAGCTGGGTTTGAAAGCAGCTTCTCAAGCCCTCCTTCATCCAACTTCACCAACTTGAACACGGCATCTGGGGAGAGTCCATTGAGAATCCAGGCCAGCATTTGGTCATTCCGCAACTTAAACGCAAGTGCCTCCTCCGTACGCGGGTTGTGCATCACTGTTTCAACCATTTGGCGTTTCATTCGCGGCACGCCTTGCGCGTACGCGCGCATTTACAGCGTCAAGGCGACGGCGACGCTGCTCTGGCGTTTCATTCGACACCATCGCGGCAGATGCAGTACAGTATTGCTGATTTCCCCTGCAGGGCTACAGAATGACGGATCCGGATGATGAGAAGGATTGACGCCCGGAGATGACCCTTACATTTTCATTATGTATACAGCTTACTTATGCGAGTAAAGAAATATAAACAAGATGTTCATTTAAGTATATTCAATACAAATGCCATAACTCATCGATACTTTTGCGAGTGGGCGTCACACACGGCTTCATGCGACACCGAATTAATCCCCTGCCGGCTGCGCAGCAGCAAACCTTACGGTACACTTGCTATCTCAGTACTAGCGGAGCATCACGGTCGCTGCGCTCATGTTGCTTTAGGGGTCGACCCCCAAAACTATGCTGACCACAGAGTTTTGGACGACGTCCCCACTTGAGGAATTTGAGTACAAAGCCGCCTGCAAATTCTAGCGCTTTATTTCCCCTTTCACGCTCCCCGATTTGCTGGCTATTTTGCAAACAACATAAGTACCATTCATACGTTGTTATTAACGGTAGACTGATACACCTGACCTGTGGTTCGAATGCCAGAACACTTGTATTTTACTTACTTAGGTAAGTGTAATAGCAGAATGTGCACACTGGCACAACGAAAAGTGAATAAGGGGTTAACTTTCGATGTTTCAATTTCGTGGTGTGTTCATTTTCAGAGTGAAAATACGAGCGAATTATTCCAGTAACCTTTCGCGATCCATGTTGAAATTCTTCCTCCAGATGTCATCTACACCCAGCCGCAATGGCCAATGTTGCTGCCGCGACTATGACATGCACGGCTGTTCAAAGCTGTTAATCTGCACGCGTAGGTAGATAACCTCATGCACGTTGAGCGCAATAAGTAAACATATATAATGAACGATAACTAGCTCAAAATAATGTAGTTGAACCCGATTTCGTACCATCACACATATCAAAGCAGAGCTGTGACGCCCGAGATCGACCCAATAGAACTGTAATTGAGTGGGCTAATGCATTTGCTTAGTCGAACATCTTTTCATGAGCAACGCAATGAATGAATGAATTAACGCAGACTAGAAAGAAGCGAATAATCGGCGCCTTTAGCGTGCAGGAAGGACTTGGAGCTGTCTGATTTCTTTAAAGCGAAGTAGCAGGCGAGCTCGAACGGGCCAAAAGAGAGCCATTGTTGCTACCAAGAAGCACCGACACGGACTCCGGCTCGTACACCCCAGCTCATCGTCCAGCTCGTCATCCGCGCATAGCCTTCAATGTAATTTAGAGAAGTTGCTGCTCGACAGTACCCGGTCCTCAGCATGCAAAGCTGCTTGCTACTTGGCGTAGCGTTGGCGCTTCCTTGAGGCTCTGCTTGTTGATGCTTGGGCTCTCTGTTGTGCGCTGGTCAAGCGATCCCGAAGGGCCGCAGACTTCTTACCAACGGCCGCAGACCGACCCTTCTTACGACAGCATAAGGTTTGAAAGGCAAATAGGCTTAATAATGGGTCCTAAGCGGGTCCAAATAAGGGTAAAATGTCACGTTTAAGTCTATTTCTGATGTCCTCCATACTAACGGTCGAATTTTCTGTTTCATAACTTCTACCCTCTGGTTTTATGGCATCTCAAGATAGTGACGTCGGTTCAGCTCAAAGAAATCCGTGCCGATACCACCTTCCGATAAGAATCCAAATGTTGTTTAACCGAGGTATTTGTTTCATTTTTTGGTCCCCGTGTGAGCGGTTCTAAATTGTGACCCTAACCCATTCGCAGAATTAATGTAATAAGTAAAGCGGAGTGTATATAAGAGACGTAAAAACTCCATAAAACGGAGTCTCATGATTATAGGCAATTATCTTCTTCTGACATTGGTGTCCATAGTGGCCTGCGAACCTCAGAATGTCCATTGTAAGCGGCAAGCACTAACGCGTTGCTCGTGCATAGGTTACCCCCTTCCAACTTCTTCTTGGCATTGCCGTGTAGCCACTTTGCGTAGCTGACGTCACACACAGTCATTACATACGCTCCAAATGTCCGTTAAATGCTGCTAGACCCATCACATTTGGCTTGCCATCACGAACGCCTTGCTCCTAGAGCTACTGAGCCACAGCCAAATGACTGTCGCTTGCTGCAACAGTCAACGCCTGCACAGAGAATAGTTTGCAGGTATCGTACTTATAGAACCCCTTCACAGCCTCCAAGTGGCCATGAACTGCAGCTTCTTCTAAGCCTACCACCTCCTGTAGCACCTCCACATAATTCACTCTCCACTGAGAGTGGGCACAAAAAATTGTGCTTGACAGAAGCTGTTTCCGGGGAGAACCGAGGTTGCTATGTAAAAAAAATAAAGGTATTTACTTTAGTAGGACTTGGGGGTGATCGCGGAGACGCCAGCGAATAACTTACCGATAGTAGGATGTTGCAATGAAGACTACTGATATGTAGGAGACACTACCCTGGTCTGTTCGCCGCATAAGTTGTATAATATTGTACAATTCTGCAAGTAGGGTTGCACTTCATACAAGTACTTCAAAATTTACAGCTTGGCCCAGATCACAATTTCAATTCCACTTTACTTTATGTATAACACATAACAAATAGTGATGCCTAATGGAAAATGCCCCTCGTGTTTATTTTTTTCCCGTACCAACTGCTTGGACTTTTGATATTCTTTATTATACTTTCTAATAAGTAAAAGCCCAAAACGAGCTGGTACTGGAATAGCCTGCTTATGGTGGTCCTGAGGTGTTCAGCATCTTCACAACGAACTGAGATCCTCTACAATCGACGCAGCACAAACGATCGTAACTGTCCACGCTGCAGGAATCGCTAATACTCGTGATCTCCGACTTGCCTTCGCCTGAGATTATTCATCTCGTCGACTACTTCACTTAGCTCCGGTCGCCGACTGAGCGAGTCAGGCACTCGGCCCAAGCCACTTGATCACGAGGTGTATAGGACAAACCCGCAGGACAGCGAAGGGCACTTGTCAGTGCTTTTTTGACACCAATCCCGAACCAGTAGACCATTTATCCATTTATCCAGCACATTGGCGATTTTGTTTCCTGGACCATCCGTCTTAGTAAGGATATCCCGGCAACGAATATGTTTTGGTTAGTGCAGACTGCAAGCCACTTGTTCGCTTTTTCCACACTTTTCCTTTTTTCCTCTGGCATCGCCATGTGCTGAACAAGGTCACTACGGGAGGGTTGCTCCAGTTGTGAGTACCTGTATCTCCCCTGGTTCCTAAATCTGCTCTGCGATTCAACGAGTCTATTCCGATATCCAACGATCGTGGTGCCCTCCGCGACTACGAGCCCAACCAGGCTCGAGGCGAAAGAATTTGGGCTGGACGCTGCAGGAGTATTTGGGTTCGTTTCGGAGTGAAGGCGGATACGACAGCTATGGCTTGGTCTCTGATTGTATCTCTCCAACTGCCCTATGAAGACGCTCGTTGAACAAATTGTCTATTCCAGAAATGACGTTGTGTCGACAAATTCCGAATTGCAGCGTTCGGTAAAGGATTGTACAATATAGAAGTATTTAGCAACTGGAGAAAAACGATGATTCCATCAAGTTATTCGCTAATAGCCATCTTGGGAATTGAAATAACAGCTTACTCCTTTCAAGGTTGTAGGATACCTACAAATTGTATCGACCAAGTTGTTGGAAGCTGAAGTATTTTGCCCTTCATCGAGCCGTAGCCGCCACACAGATGACCGAACCTTCGACGCTAAACATTGCATCAGTGAGCGCGCACTTACCATACAGGCCACTACATGCGTAAAAACTGCAGTACGCCGCCAAAACTCTCTCATCTTCGGGTTCATTATCGATCCATCATCACTCATGGTCTATCAGCACTTCTTAATTTCTACCTACACAAACAGCAGGTCACCACTGATACGGCCTATGGACCCAGTCCTAAGCCGTCGACTTTGCTTTCCTCATCACTATTGCTGATAGTGTGGCGCATGTTGTTGAATCCAGCACCCCGCTGCAGAACAAAGAAACCGGTCAGCCATACAGCGGCGCACGCACCACTGAGACCGGCAATTGAGCACCAAGACAATCAACTTACCTTCATCAACCAACGGGAAGACTTCAGGAGGAGGCGATACCGGGTCACTCGCAGTTGAGGCGGGCACGCGCGGTGTTCCTGTCGAAGTAGGAACTCTGATGGTGTGATCGTGGCCCAACTTCGCCGTCGTGACCTCCACTTTCTAGGTGCCTCGGTGGTTGACGCTCTTCACATTGAGTTCGAATGGACACGCCGTGCGAGGCAGGGGCGGGTTAATGCCTTGTTGCTTCGAACGGCGCTTGCGTCCCCGGCGGCAGACGTAGGTCCGGCGATAGGCTTCCAAGGATTCCGGGAGGAGATCCGCTGCTCGCTTCCCATCCCTCACCTTCTTGGAGTTCATGATCTGCTTGTTCCGCGCCGCGACGCTGACTGTGAACTCTACACCGATGTGCTCGCCCTCCTGGATGCAGTAGGAGTCCAGGGCCCGTTGGAAGACCTTCCAGTCGTCATAGCGCACTGGGCCCTTGCGGTTGATATCGGTAGACACCAGCGCGGGCGTGGAAGAAGGGCTGGCCATTCGCTTCGAGCACTGAGGAGCAAAATCGATTGTGACGAGGCGGCTCGCCTTTGCCGGCGCCGACGTACGGCGCAACGGAGGCACTGAACATGTTCCCACCCATGTTGAGTGTTGTGCCTCGGCTGGAATCCGAATGAAGATCACTACCGGTAGCGAAAGCCGCACTAACGTTCACAATACAAAAGTAAGCTTGTTCGTTGGCGGGTCAATGTCCTCTTTTAATGGGACTCTGCCGGTTACTGGCGCTCTCAAACGTAGGGGCGCTGCCGAGGAGGTCCGCCACACCCCTCGAAACCTACGTCTAACCATGATATTCGTATTCGCGACGGGAAAAAATATATATACAGAAGAAGCCCCAGCTCGCCCGCCCCTGGATGCTACACAAGTATTCGCTTCAGAAGACTCACATTATATCGGTGCCGTTTTGCTATTAATAATCGCAACATTGGGTTCATTTGTACATTGAAACCCAGCACCCGCTCAGCCACGAACACGGGGACACTATTAGCCTAATCGATACGGTCGCGTTCATTTGGCTCGTGCACTAATGATCGATTCGCATGTACGGGTGTTGTTGCAATATGGTGCCACCCACCCCTGAAACAGGGTGAACACCAATCCCTGGCTGAGGAAGCGGGCAAGAGCGAGCAACAGCGTTGCTCTGTTGATGTACTAGTATTTTCTACGTGTGAAGAGGCGTCCGCGCGGATAGTTCAGAAAGCACCCGAGGGTGTGCTAATAGTTATAGGACTTCGTAAATATGCAAGTATGCACGGTTTGTTGATAGTTGCTGGCGCTCGATCTCGAGACTGGGTGGGTGACAGGCACCCAGTCCACCGACGCTTCAGCTTCGCGACCGGTTATCGACGCCATCACCATCTGTTGGTGTCTAGGAAGCAGGTACTTTTGCAGTCCCATTTCCAGTTTCAACTGTCCCGGTGGCACGTCATCGGCAGGCACATGGGCAGCGAGCGTCGCTGCGACTCCATCTGCATGGAGCGCATTTCCGAAGTCGCTCTCAGGATCACGACATGATGATTCCCCAGTATTGGGACGTGCAGCTTGCGCGCTTCGTTCGTCAGGCCCTCGACCACTGGCCCGAGGTCATTTACATGCTGGTCTTCATGTCGACCTGCGCTGCTGTATGGGGCCTTGGTGGGCGCATCACTTCAACAAACGAAGACGAAGACATCGACGCCGACTACCGCAAAATCGTGGGTGTGCTGCGCGATGTGCTGTTCCTGGCTCAGCCCGTTGTGTACGCGCAATTACCGCTGCGACTGAACGAAGCTGTCCGCCCGCGACGTGCCCAAGTGGTCTTTATACTCAACCAACCAGCGGAGTACTAAGACCAACCGGCGCAGAGGGAAGAAGCATGCACCGGCACGTTTAAACTCACGTACGCCTGCCGGGGCGGATATGGGCTGAACCAGCCCTCTCATAACATTTATGTTCCCAGCGTTTTTCATTTTCTAAAAGTCCGATTGGCGGGTTGAGCGAGACCTTTGAAACACACTAGACAAATGAATCACTGAATTTCAATATTTTCAAGCACCCACAACCTTTTTTCTATGCCTTGCTCGTTTTCTACGAGCGAATCACGGACAAGCCTCACGCGATTTCATTTAGGCACCTACTCCAACCACTTCCAGACAGCAGTACGCCCAAAACACGATCCAAGTTTCTTCTCGGCCCAGTCGTACTCCATTCTCGAGCAGCAACCGCAAAATTGTCAACTTCATAATATGCACACCGGTATTATGCAGAGCAGCCTGATTATGCGGGCACTTGTGGTCGCGATACGGGTGGGTGCCGCTCGGCTTGGAAAATGAAGAATGACAGATCTAAACTACCCTAACTAGAGATGGCGGCTGTACGAGCGCTGCGGTATCGCACGTCTGTTGCCAGGAGTTTCGGCTGCAGTTGCTGGGATGGGGAGATCTGCGCAACTAACCACTGGATGCTGGACGCACCATCGCACCTTGACGTTGGTGGATGGTTTCGTCTTGAAGCTCGGCGTGGCGTGCGAGATGGTTTCGCTTCTGAATTCTTGTGCTTGGCCCTCCCCTCTTTGGCGATGCCATAAAGGCGAATTGTTCAACCAACGCTCACTCTCGAGGTCTTCAAAGGTGTATGTGTTGCTTCCATGATGCCACAACCACCGCACCATTCGGATATCCCATTCGTGCCACAATATCGCTTCGTACATTTGGCACGCTCAGCCCAGACTCATTGTAAATTATCTCTATCGTCTCAAACTTGCCTGAGTCCCTCTGTTCCACGCTTAAGGCCACTCAGTATCTTGCTCGCGCACTTGATATCCAAGTCCAAACCGCCACTTGACAACCGAAACCTCTTCATGAATGAAAACATTCGCCATCATTGGAGTCAAATATTGCGGATCAGAGAACCAACGTTTCCGTCGCTATCACCTGCGGAATCTCCCCACGAGCAGCAAACGATGTACAGCGGGTGTCGGAAATGAAGACACCCCTAGCGTCCAATTGGCATTTTAGTGATTTTGAAGTCAATTTTTGTTCTCATTCTATGCTTAAAATAAAGGTGCAGCGTGGGCAGAGTAAAATAGTGACCGACATATCGACAACATCCTACGAGTATTCTCGCACAATTGATTCTTCATACTTTGAGTACCCACACCCTGTTGTATACCACACTCCTGCATAATAATAGCAAACCGTCTCATTTTCTTACTACGAATTCCTTAAAAAGTCTCAATATTCCAGCACCCGCTTAACCCGTACGCTGGCGGTTGGAAGTTCCAACTTGTCCTTCGTCACCAAACCATCAGTCACGAACCTCCGGTCTCTGAAGATGAGCTTTAATCCAATGCAGACTGTCATTTGAAGCTTGGCGAATGGCGTTTCGAATGGCAATGCGTGAGCTCACGTCCTGAAATTCAACATTTTCAAGCACCCACACCACCTTTTCCAGGTCTTTCTCGTTCTCCTCGAGCGCTTTCTGCACAACCCACACGCGATCACTTTCAGGAACCCATTCCACCACTTCTAGACAGTCGTATCTCGAGAACATGAACAAAATTGCTTTTCGGCCCAGTCGGACTCCATTCTCGAGCAGCCACCGCGTTAACACGAGATTGTTCGACCAAGCCGCTTTCCAGAGGTCTTCAGGTCTGTATGTGTTGCAGCCATGGTGCCACAACCACCGAACCATTCGGACATCCCCTCGCACCATGAGAGCTCTTCGTACGTCTGGAACGCTCATTTCAGACCCTTTGTAAACGATCGTCATGGTCTCTAACTCGTATGTGCCCCAATATCCGCAGGACCATTGAGCATCCTTCGGGTGCATTTGATATCCACGATCTAGTAGCCACTCGACAATTGGGACCTGCCCTTTAACGAAAGCATTTGCCATCACTGGCGTCAGATATTTTGGATCGGAGAACCAAGGATGCGTTGCTAGCACTTGCACAATCTCCAGGTAGCCCCTACGAGCAGCCAACGCTGCAGAAGCCATGAGGTCGGGAATCGAAAAGTGGCTTCGGTAGACTCGATACAGCCAGGTCACAACTTCGAAGTGCCCATTGAGAGCAGCCCGTCTAACTGCTTCTCCGGTACAGCCTTCAGTGCGATTACGGTGTAACCAGCAGACAACGTCAACGATGGCCATTTTCCGCCGCACGATCCATCGCATTTTCGGTACATCCTTCGCGACGATTGTCATGTAGCCATCCTACGACTGCTAGATGGCCATCCTTCGCAGCACCGTTCATGGCTTCACTGGTACAGTCTTTCTTGTAGGCATGTAGCCATTTTACGACTTCCAAATGACCATTGGTTGCAGCGTCATCCATAGCTTCCGTTGTAATGTAACAAGGCCCAACATTGTGCAGCCATTTAAGTGCGTCGAGTCTTCCCCAACTCGCTAATTTGTCGGCAATCGTCGTCACCTTCGTCTGACCTTGGTGTCCATAATGGCCTGCTATCCACTCCATCACCTCAGAATGTCCATTGTAGGCGGCAGATACTAGCGCGTTGCTTGTGCATACTTCGCCCCCTCCCACCCTTTTATTGACATTGGCGTGAAGCCACTTCACAACTTCGAGATGGCCATTTCCAGCCGCATCATCAATTGCTCCGGAACGCCATAACGCGCTCGTGTTCGTGTGTAGCCATTTCACTATGTCCAGGTGGCCACCTGCCGCAGCATCGTTCATTGCGTAGCCGACGTCACCCCCATGCTCATTCAGCCATTGCACGACTTCCAAATGCCCATTGAATGCAGCTAGACCCATGACACTGGACTTGCCATCTTGCCCCCAGAGCCACTCAACCACATTCACGTGCCCATTTCTAGCAGCAGCACTTAACGCCAGCGCCGATTGTGGTTCATGTCTGTAGGGCCATTTCACCGTCTCCAGATGTCCTTGAGCTGCTGCTTCTTGTAGCGTGTCCGGAAAATCGACTCTCCATGGTCCGCGACGGTCCTGGCGTTTGGACACCATCCACTGAAGCACTTCTAGATGTCCGCCGCGCGCTGCTGATTTGATCGCCTCCTTCCAGTCCGGCGCAGCTCGACCAAGCAGATACTCGAGAGCTCGCACCGAAACACCTTGAGCACATGCAGCGTTGAAAGCTCTTGTCCTGGAAAGTCATCGCGATAAGTTGCTCAACCCCCGGCAAAGACTCGTTGGGAGGGAAACACTCCCGCAACACAAGTCGAACCGCAGCGCGCAGTGGCAACGCATCTTCTTCCTCCGTGGCGTCGTTGACAATGCCTCTAAAACTGTGCTTTGACAGAAGTTGATCCTGCGGTGTGCTCAGGTTGATTGCCATATTCAGGTTAAAAACGGGTTAAATCCGCATTCTTAGGATGTTGCAATGAAGACTACCGATACGCAACAGCCACTAATTATCCTAGTCTGCCCCCGTAGAAGATGTACTTCACAATTCTGCAAGGAGCGTTGTACTTATACAAGTACTTCAAAATCTACAGCTTGGCCCAGATCACCGTACAGTAGCCTCCTCAAACTCGACATTTTCAAGGACTTCTCAAGCCCTTCATCACCCTCGGCAAGAGCTTTTTGCAGAACCCACACGCGGTCTCTTTCAGGCACCCACGCCACTACTTCCACATAACCGCACCTCCAGAAGTTTTCCCAGGTCGACTCTCGGTCCAGCTGAGCTCCGTTCTCGATCAGCCACTGCGTAACAACCGGTTTGTAGCTCCAGGATGCTTGTTGGAGATCTTCGAGCGAGTATGAGTTGCATCCGTGACACCACGGCCACCGAATCATGCGCATATCCTCATATGCCACGAGGGTTCGCCGTACATCTGGTACACTCACTTCAGCTCTTTTGTAAACGATCTGCATCGTCTCCGGAATGCCTGCGCGCTTGTTCCAGGACTCGTGGAACCATTGGGCATCTTTCGCGCGCACTTGGTATCCACGACCAAGTAACCATTCGATAACTGGAATTTTACCATGCATGAAGGCATTGGCCATCACCGGCGTCAACTATTTCGGATGGGAGAACCAGGAATTCGTCGCCAGTACTTGCACAACCTCCAGGTGACCCCCGCGAGGAGCAAGCGCTGCAGAATCCATGAGATCGGGAATCGAAAACTCACTTCCGTAGACTTTGAGCAGCCATTCCACCACCTCCAAGTGGCCAATTTCAGCAGCTCGTTCGATTGCATTTGCTGCACATACTGCGTGCGATAGTCATGTAACCAGCAGACAACGTCCAGGTACCCATTTGCCGCGCCGTCCATTGCATCGGTGGTACAACCTTCGTAGCGATTGTCGTGAAGCCATTCTACAACCGATATATGGCCATTCGTCGCAGCGCCATTCATTGCTGCCGTGGTGCAGCCATTCTTGCGAGCATGCAGCCACTCTACGACATCAAATGACCATGGGCCGCAGCGCCGTCCATAGATTCCTTGGTAACGAAGCCCATGGCATGGTTGGGCATCCATTTCAGGGCGCCTAACCTCCTATGACTAGCAGCAACGTCCGCGGCTGTCAGCCACGAACCATAACGACTATCGATCCACGACTATCGATCCAAACGGCTGCTATGTACGCTCTGTCCGTGCACACTTCACCCCAATACTTTTTTCTGTTGATATTTGCTTCAAGCCACTTGACAACCTCGAGATGACCATTAGCGGCTGCATTTTCCAATGCATTGGAGGTAAGCTCCTCGCCTTCGCTGCGAAGCCAGTTAACAACTTCGAGATATCCACCTGCCGCAGCATTATCCACCGCATCACGCCCGCGAACTCCACGTTCGTGTAACCATTTCGCTACTTCCAAGTGTCCATTTGCAGCGGCATCTACCGGATTGTCGTCACCACCTCGAACTCCTTGCCCCCAAAGCCACTGAACCACAGGCAGATGGCCACACCACTGGTAGCAGAACTCAACACCTGCGCCGGTTCTGGGTCATATCCATAGAGCCACTTCACAGTCTCCATATGTCCTTGAGCTGCTGCTGCTGCTTGTAAAGTCCGCGTAAAATCAACTCTCCATGGCCCGCGACGATCCTCACGTTTGGTTGTCATCCACTGCAATACGTGGAGATGTCCACCTCTACCAGCTGCATTAAGTGCCTCATTCCAATCCGGTGCTGTTCGATACTCGAGAGCTCGCACCGAAGCTCCTCGACCACGCGGTGTTGAAAGCTTTCTGCCCTGGGAAGTCATCGATGAATTCGTCGATAAGTTGCTCAATCCCCGGCAAAGATTCGTTGCGAGGGAAGCACTCCCGAGCTACTAAGCGAATCGCAGCACGCAGTGGCAGCGCATCCTCGCCCGCCATTGCACCCGTTCTTGCTTCTTCCACAATGACCGGCCACCAGTCAGAGAGAAAATCGCCCTTTCGCTATTAAATCTAAGTTTGTTTGTATTCTTGCGAATTGGAAATATCTTTAAAGCTCGAAGAATGCCCTGACTCTCTTTCCTTCGTAAATACTTGTATGTTTTACTCGTTTCCAACCAATGTTTTCTTCACGCAAACTCCAAATTTGTAGCTTCGGGTTAGTTAGACATCGTCATTGTCCAGCTCCAGCGAGTTGAAGACGCCGAGTGATATCTTCTCCTCCCGTAGCCATCCTCGAAGTTGTTTCTGTTCCATAAAAAATCCCTTCAGCTTCGAGAATGTAAGCTCGGTCGTCTTCATCTTCGTCCACTCGCCAACGCACCTGAACGTCTCACTAAATCAACCTACTATGTTCAAAGCAATTTACAGCGTGGACAGAGTGCGTATCGGCAATATCCTACGAGTGTTCACCCACAATTGGTACTTCATACTTTGAGCACCTACACCATATAGTATATCCAAGACACAGACACCGCTGCCTAATGGAAAAACTCCGCCTCAAATACTCCTCAATTCTTTTCTACTACGAATTACGAATTCCCTGAAACGACTCGGAATTCCAGCATCCACTTATCTCGTACGTTGGCGTTTGGAAGGTCCGACTTGTTCTTCGTCACCAAAGCACCACTCCCGGACCTCTGGAGTCTGCAGATGAGCTTCAACCCACTGCAGACTGGTATTTGAAACTTGGTAAATGGCACTGCGGACGGCGATGCGTGAGTCGATGTCCAAAAATTCTGCATTTTCAAGCAGCCACAACGCCTTCTCGAGCCCTACCTCACCCTTTTCGAGCGCCTTACGCAGAACCCACACGCGGTCGCTTTCCGGCACCCAGTGCACGACTTCCATCTGGCCAAAAGACCAGAAATTGGTCCAAATAGCGTCTCGGCCGAGTCGTAATCCATTCTCGACCAGCCACCGGGTCACGACCGAGAGCTTGGAACAACCTCTAGGCTGGAGCTGTTCGTTGGTGTACGAGTTGCATCCATGAAGCCATAACCACCGAACCATACGGAGATCCCCTCGGGTCATGATGATTTCTCGTACGTCTGGTACTCGCGCCTCAACTCCTTTGAAAAATATCTTTATTGTCCCCGCATTGCCAGGCACCCTCGCCAAGGATCCCTGAGCCCATTGATTATCTTTCGCACGCACCTGATATCCACGCCACTCAACTATCGGCACCCTTCCATACATGAAAGCATTGGCCATCACCGGCGTCAAATATTTCGGATGGGAGAGCCAACCATTGGTCGCTAGCAGTTGCACTATCTTTAGGTAGCCCCCACAAGCAGCCAACGCTGCAGAATCCATGAGGTCGGGAATTAAAAACTCACTTCCGTAGACTTTGAGCAGCCATTCCACCACCTCCAAGTGCCCATTTTCCGCAGCTCGTTTCATTGCATTGGCTGTACAGCCTTGAGTGCGGTAGTCATGCAACCAGCAGACAACGTCGAGGTGGCCATTTCCCGCAGCGCCATCCATTGCATCTGTGGTGCATCCTTCTGTGCGATTATCATGTAGCCATTCTACAACCGATAGATGGCCATTCATCGCAGCGCCATCGAGTGCTGCCTTGGTGCAGTCTTTTTTTCGAACATGTAGCCATTTTACTACTGCTAGATGGCCATTGGTGGCAGCAACATCCATCCATAGCTCTCGGTGTAAGGTAACCTTTCCCATGATTGTACATCCATTTCAGTACGTCTAACCTCCCGTGACTTGCTGCGTTGCCCTCAATTGTCGTCCACTGTCTCGTTCGATAATGACTGGCGATCCATTTCATCACCTCAATATGCCCATTGCGTACTGCAGAGAAGTACGCTCGATCCGTGCACATGCCACCCCAACACATTTGTCTGTTAATATTCGCTTCAAGCCACTGGATAACCGCAAGATGCCCATTGGCGGCGGCAGCGTCCATGACACCGGCACGATATCCCCCGTCGTTGCTGTGTAGCCACTCCACGACTTCGAGGTGTCCACCTGCCGCGGCATTCTCCATCGCATGGTATCCGCGAGCTCCACGTTCATGCAGCCACATCGCTACTTCCAAGTGTTCATTTGCTGCAGCAGCATCTACCGGATTGTCGTCACCACCTCGAGCTCCTTGCCCCCAAAGCCACTGAACCACAGGCAGATGACCACCACTGGCAGCAGAACACAGCGCCTGCGCCGAAACTGCATCATATCTATGGAGCCACTTCACAGTGTCGAGGTGCCCTTGGGCTGCGGGTTCTTGTAGTGTGCCCGAAAAATCGACTCTCCACGGTTCGCGATGGTCCTGGCGTTTGGTTGCCATCCACTTCAACACGTGGAGATGCCTACCTTGTGCTGCAGATTTAATTGCCTCATTCCAATCCGGTGCTGCTCGCCCATGAAGATACTCGAGAGCTCGCACAGAAGCACCTCGCCTGCACGCGGCGTTGAAAGCTTTCTGCCCTGGGAAGTCATCGATGAATTCGTCGAGAAGTTGCTCAACCTCCGGCAAAAATTCGTTGCGAGGGAAGCACTCTCGAGACACAAGGCGAACCGTAGCACGCAGTGGCAACGCATCATCGTCTCTCATCTTGCTTTTTGTAGAACAACATTTTGTCTCAATCCATCAACCAACTGCCCCCCCCCCCAAAAAAAAAAAAAAACCAGAAATGCAAAACAAACAAACGGCACGGACAAGTAGCAATCATGTGTTTCTAAGGAAGTCGTGCGAGGTGGGGCGAAGAGCAGTACATTCGAAAGCTTAGCCCGGCCTTGAGGAGGCGCCTTGAGAGCCGCGCGCAGATCATCGGAGGAGCGCGGCGGCTTGAGAGGTGGCTCTGAAAGGCTACCCCCAATGGGACGGTGGGGGGGTAGCAAAAGCGAACGAGGTCTCAACGGCGACCCCGCTGCTCTTCTCCTCGGCGCAAAACTACGAATGCTACTGCTCTAACTACTGGCGGTAAACCTTGCTGTCGGTGGGGCTCTGCTCCGCCACCCGCTGGACTAAATTCCGCCCTACATACGGTCACCTGCCCATCTACTTCATGCCCGCTGTCGTCGTACGTGTCGCTCGCCGTAGCCGAGTCCGTCGTCGAGGCGTGGATGCTTGACCTCTTCCGTCTTCCAGAAAACATAATTATCGCCTCGCAGGCTCGTCGATAATTCCTTATTGGCAGCTCGCTACATCATAGGTGGTCCTGGCAAAATGTCTTGTATGCTCGAATAATGTCCTGGTGTTTTCAATTCGCTCTGTCCTTCCGAATCGTCTTGGGGATCGCGTTGGGAGTTTTCCCATCAAGCATCCACTTATGAAGTTACGCCTCCTGCAACGTGGATGCTATCGTTTGCGACTGCGTGTCCTTCGTGGCTGCCATGATCGCCTTTGCCAACGGAATGTCTCCATAAGTAGCCAAGAACTTTTTGATCATGGTTACTCTTGTCCGGGTCGGGGAACGCAGGCACTTCCCAAAAAAAATGCTCGGAAAGACAATTCAGATTTGGGGACCCGGGCCATGAGCCCGGTGATTCGCAGTTCTCATGGATAAGCGACGAACAGAAGAATAGGGTGTATTCGTGGAAGAAGGAGATAAAGAGGCGAGCGCTCCTGCAAAGCTTCAGGGTTAAAAGCTAGGCATGTATGTTGTCCACGAAGAAAAAAAGAAACGCGAAGCAGGCACACAGTGTGCTTACACCACCAGTGGTGGTGTAAGCGCAAATCCGCCAGGGAAAGAGAGCATATCACCGGGGACATCATGTATCAGCAGCGACGAGCTCCTCGTCCAAGAGACCCCCGGGCCTCGCACGAACACAACTCCTCAAGTTCTGCTGTCGCCTGTCAGCGTGGTTGGGCAGACCCCCACTACCGACGAGCTCCGCTACCCACCGATGTATGGCGACGACAGGAAGAATCACTCCGAAGACGATGATGTCCACCAACTCGGCCACAGGCTCTGAGTGTATGCGCCCAGGCCCTATGTGCTCACCGGAAAGCGGCATCGGACTGCAACGCGAATCTGTCGAGTCTGCCGAGCAGCATTCGGACGGCCAAAACGCAGCTCCAGGTCCGCCAGCTCAAGCACACTGTGACAGTGAGCGTCTGTTTAGCTGTTTGTCTGTTTGTCTGATCGAATTCGTCTGTTTGGCTGTTTGTCTGTTGCTCGCACAATCACAAGATGCGTGGTGTTTACTGTACAGAATAGGCAACCCGGAGCGTTGCCCCGGGAGGGTACACAGGTCGGCGAATAGTTTCATGGACGATGATAACGGATAACAATTGAGTAAATCCCAAAGTTGTGTTGTTTTTAACCCTTTTAAGGATTTTAAAGAGCACTACCACCCGAAATCTTTAGTTGATTCTAACGTGGGCATCTTCTGCGCCTGCTTCGCAGCCGCAGCATCTGCCCAGGAATAACACCCTGGTCAGCGTCCAATGGCTGCGTTGACGCCAGCAACGAGAGAGCTATTTCATTCAGCTTGTAGGTAAGGTATACTGTGCTCATTTAGAACTATGTTGTGTGCTAACGATCAGACGAGAGAGCTAGCGGAACGAAGGAGAGATGCATGGTGCGCTGATCTTGACCTTTTAACTTGAGGGTAAATTGCGGAATGAGAAATACGTTAATGTGCCAAGTCCTTGAAAGTGGGCGCTTCAACGCAGGGGAAAAAAGTCTTATTCAAACGAACAATGCTCGTGTCACTGTCGAGTTGAGCTGGTTGGTTTGGCGAGAGACACGAGGTTGGGCATCTTCTGCTAAGAGTGATTGGGTATTGAGCAAATTGACATGTAAAAAAATGTAGCCTGCACCTAGACAGGTCATGTTGGTCATCTTCAGCTAAGCTTGGTCGATTATGGCGCAAATTGATACGCCTTCAGCGAAGCCATGACGCTCTCATAGTGTAGTGGAGCGTCCGTAAGTGTTTGAATGCAGGTTTTGGTAAAGAATGGAAGATTAGTGTCAACCTTTGGTAAAAAATGTGCATAAATCTTAGCATTTATCGACGGGTACCCGATTCCGGCAGATATTAGTTTAAATATTACAATTAAGAAAGAGAGACCCGGTTTGGTACCGGGTTTTGGAAGTTTTGCCGGGGCCAAGCACAGTGTGAAAATGTCGCCGCCATGATCAGATCCAGTCTCAACGTGACGTTAAATCAGGCACGAAGCGATCTACAGTGTACTGTACAGTATTAATACATGTACACGCAATGGTGGTCGCGTGATGAACTCATTGCATCAGCAGCGCGAAAATTGGGAGTCGCCGCTACCCTGGGGCGAGCCAGCAATGGCGGCATCCGGGACAAATAGACCGGATACAGAAGCATGGCGGTCTCGACGAGCACCTCAACCTTGACTGCGCGTTGGCCAAAACAGCCATTGCATACTCAACCAACCTGCTGCTGCTCGACGCAGTACTCCAGCCTCCAGTCAAGAGAGAGCACACTCAAGCTGTCGGCTCCCGACTGCAACTTGGCGTGCGCTCTTTCCTCCTTTTTTGTAATGCCAAGTTGTAAACTTGGCGTGCGCTCTTTCCTCTCAGTGAGCGACTTTCTCGAGTGGGTTTATCCCCCAAGCCCACAGGGTGACGGGTAGGCTTTTACAACACCAAAATCATCCTTGGCTGTTATCTGACTGTTGACTGTTTCCACGAAAACCAGCCAACAGCCAATTCGTCGCTTTCCAGTACTGAGCGCTAGACGTTTGCCACCATCCCATCTACTCGATTTGTTGGGCCAGACGAGTGCCGACCATGGATTGGGCTTATTGACCCAGGGCTGTTCAAGACGGGCGCTGTGTTGGGGCTAGAACCTCTCATGCAAAGCACGCCATCGTTTGTTTCGCACGCAATTTTCCAATCTCTATTAATAAGCGTGAGTCCAGTATTGCTGTACACTCGCTTGAGTGCTGCCAAGCCCCCGCTACCTGCGGCACCGCGCGGAGACCGAAGAACCATTCTCGATTTTGCTGGGTCGCGAACTACCGTACTAGCATGAGCGACGCGGCCCCGGTCCGCCGGGGCTGCGGCCGCCCGCGAAAGGCTCTCATCCCCGCCTCCAACGACGTGTTTCCCGACTGGGGCCCCCTGACAACCTTCCTCAAAGCTAGCAACGTTACGGTGCGTTTCTGTGAGATAACCAGCGTCCGGGTCTGATTCGTCCAGTGCTGCATTCCAATTGGCTGAGCGGAAATCTGTTTCGTTTCCAGACTGGAAACAGTCCAAAAAGTTATATACAGACGAAGGTGTAAAAGTGGCCCTATCTGGGAACAACACAACGCTCATCTGGATCCAGCAGCCATTTCCCCATTCTCATCCATCCGCAGCAAGCCAGCCACAAGGCGAGGCGAGGCCGATGCCCTCTCCGGCAGACAGCGCGTTTGAAAGGCACCATGACAGTTGGCCCGCCTTCCACCAGTATCTGGACGGCTACTGCAGCAGGCATGGCGTCAATATCGGCGTGGAGTTCACCGTCAGTGCGGCAGGACGCAACCGAGACGTACGTCGGTCAAAGCGGGCGGCGCAAGGCGAAGAAACCGTTCAACTGCTCCCTGCCAAGTGGGAAGCCTACCGACGAACCTATGTATGCCGACTTGGGCGCAAACCTCGCAGCGCGGATACAAGTAAGCCTCGCTATTCGTGCCCCTTTCGGTTTACGGTGAAGAGCGTGAGGTGCCATGGCACCTGGCACCTTGTGGTCACGGCAGCTAATCTGGAGCATGATCACACGCCAGGCAACTCGTCTTGGGGGGACAAGCGGCGCGTGCACTATGGCGTCCCGCACGAAGATGGCCTGAATTCAGAGGATCGAGAATTTCATGTTTATGATACCTGCTCGGATCCTCTCGTGGATCAGGATGGCGACGTGCCGACCCAGACGACCAGCATTGATAAGGTTTCATGTGAACCAGCTCCTGGAGTATCGACCGGAAAGACGTCGGCCTTCGAACTGTATTATTCGCTTGGTGTGCGCTTTATGGAGAACATCATCGACACGTGGGGGCAGGAGACGGCTGAAGTTCTTGGAGAGCTTCCTGCGCCTCCTGCTAACTACAGCGAGGGGGTGCGTGAGTTGGTTGATCAAGTATGCTCGTCAGGAATGAGTGATGAAATCGACATGGGGGGTGTTTTCAAGATGCTCAGAAAGACCCAGAGCTGGTTTGTAGCAGAAGACGACTTGGAGTTCGAGAACCGTGGCAGATTTTACGAAGATTCATCATGCGAGGCGCATCCGGCCAATTGGCACGGGCAGCAGGTGACTGTCAAACGAGTGGAGCTAAAGACGAACGGTGATCGAGCAAGGTTTGTTTCTGAAGTGGAGACTTGGCACCGGCTGAACCACCCACACGTAGTGCATTTGTTTGGGGCTTGCGATGCCAGCCCAGCGTTTCTCGTCTGGGAGAACTTGGAATTTCGGCCGCTGATGTCATACGTCTGTCAGCAACCACGCAGAATCTGGAAGACATTGTATGAAGCAGCTTTGGGTTTGCAGTATCTTCACTCAACCCACGTTCTTCATGGAGATTTGCGAGGTGACAACATTCTCGTAGGCTCGAACGAGATCTCGAAGCTCGGCTACTTCAACTTCGATCTCGTTGAGCCCTCTGCGCCCGAGTCGGAAGCTGAGGCAAGGAAAGTCTCAAAAAATGTCCGATGGGTGGCTCCTGAAGTACTTCTTTATGGCAAGAAGTTATCATGTGCGTCGGACATATATTCTTTTGGGATGTCCATCCTTGAAATCGCAAGCGGAGAAATTCCATGGGGATCCAGTACACCGAATAGCGAGATCAAGACATTATTGGAGAACGAGCGGTTTCCTCAGAGACCGTCTAATTTCACCTCGGATCAGTTTGCTCTTGTCCAGCAGATGTGCGCGCTTGATCCGAGTGAGCGAGTCAGCATCAATGAGGTTGTTGACAGGCTATACTCGTTCCGTCTGAAGTACGAAGAGCATCGCGAAGGTCCGGATCGTCAAGCTTCTTTCTCGTTGCCTGGTAATGCCCTAGACGAGAATGCCTTGTGTGTTCGTTCATGCAGCAGTATCGGCGACACTCAAGCACGTCGCGCCCCTGTCGCCAAGGAAATATTTTCTGATTGGAACGCTTTGCGTGATTTCTTCTCCAATAGCAAAGTCGCTGTAAGGTTTACCGTCAGTGCCGAGGCTCGGAACACAGCGGTTCGCGGGTCAGTGGGAGGGAAAAACCGCACACGAGAGGGAGACATCTTGCCTGATGGATGGGTTACCTACAAGCGCACCTATCGCTGCAATGCGATGGATCGTTGTGGTGGATCAAGTGATGATCGCGACTATCAACTGTGCCCGTGTGAGGTCGTCGCGAAGAGTGTCAAGGTTGGAGGCAAGTGGCGCGTCAAGATCATGCGAGTTTGTTGGCACAACCACCCTCTTGACGATCTCCCTTCCGATGGCAACCGCGCGGGGACGGCAGCCAAGCGACGCAAGATCGACGGTGGCTCCGAGGCACCTGCCAAGAGCCGTTGTCTCCACGCCCAAATGACTGAGCACGCGTCTTGTGGAGTCAACACCAATGAAGCTGGTACCCCCGTGACCATGCTTCCCCCGGCGCCGAACACAACAACCGTCGCAACTCTCCGGGGGCCAAATGCCGATCAATATTCAGGCCAGGATATGGCTCCCGGAAGTGCGTCCTCCAAGGACATCCACGCTCCGTCGACGGCAATTTCTCTTGATAGCCTTCTCAATCCTGCGCCGTTGGCTATAATTCCCTAGCTGCAGGCCAGGCTGGCTGGCACTCATAGCGGCAGTTCTACGTGATATCATCGCCCGGTGCTTTGCTATGGGCAAAGAAAGCTCTTAGAGCGAGGCTTGGAAACAAGCGGCCCGGGATGTGACACTTTTAAGACTTAGTGCACGCTTGCTGCTATCAAGCTAGGTTGACTAGAAATTAGAGCTGGCGAAAGCATGGGGCGACTATGAGTCCTGGGGTGGTCTGGCAAACGTGCATTTTTATTTTCTTCATGCCGTAGCTATTGCGACTTCGAGCATTATGGTACCATGAGCAAGCAGAAACGGAGAGCAACCAATTAACGCGTTAGGAACTGAAGGTAGCATTACCAATGCACAGCACGGTGGCTGGAAATTCGTACACTGTTCGAAAAGCAATCATCAGGAAATGTAATATCGCAAACGCATATTTTCAACAAAGCCGTGCTTTGCACGGGGAAGCTCTGGATTTTCGAGTCTTTTTTCCATTTTTTATTTACATGTATTGTGGCTTTTGGCACTTCGGACTGTAACTTGTACGACTTATCGAGCACGACTGATGGATAAATCGTACTCGAGTACGAATTGCTGAAGTCGTGGATGGGCAATCAGCACTAAGTAGTGCGCATACGTCATCTCCTGCATGATTTAGCACATCCAGCACCTTTTGGCACTTTTAGAAAGTGCCATTTCCGAACCAAACCGGGTTCGAGACACGACTTAGCAACTCGCATTCAAGGCCACTATGATTTACCGCTAAGTACGAACACTAAGTAGTGCACTACATAGAAAGGCAAACTGGATGCAAAGCACAATACTTGGATCGCACACTGCTGCCTACAGGGCCGCTCGCTTGATATGGGTCCTGATGTTTTGATGAACGTTTACAGATACAGGATTGCCCCACTTGTGTTATTCACTAAACTTCGTCTTCAATATATTTAATAGAGTAAAAGGGATTGTAGTTTTCATCAAGCGCACGTCGTTTGTAGTAGGTGGCGGCTTTCTTGATCGACGTCTTTGGCAAAGACTCTTTGCTCAATGAGGTCACCCAGTTTCGCCGGTTGTGCCTTGTCGATCGTTTAGATTGCTCGTAGGTGATCCTCTTTCCACGCAAACCGATTATCACGCGGTGTTTGAGGTGTAAACCACTCACTACCAATAGGAACAAACCGGAGAGCACGCCAAGCAAGGTATCATAAAACATGGTATTGACTTGACATGGTGTTCCGCTGAGTTTCGACTCGTCGATCTTAATATTGAAAGGGTTATTGCCGTTTGCTGATATTTTGGCCAACGCATGCTTATTATCTCGTTAATAATCTCGGTTTTAATCCAGTCAGCGCATAATTAAGACCTAGGTCTGATTTATATATATCGCCAGCTTGAGGCTCTGTTTTCCCGACCAAAACGGTTTTCTGCGGCTTGGAAACGCAGAATGGCCATTCTAGACAGGCCAACGAGTTTCTGGACCTAAAAGCGGCCTCCAGCAAAGCATAAAGCTAAATCAGCCCTCGCCTATCTCGTGTCCACTCATATTAAGAGACAGGCGTGGTCTATTTTAGAGGTCTATTTTAGAGGACAAAGCATTTGCAAGCGGCAATAACGCGAGACTTTGATTTGTTTAACACAATAATATAAAAATATCACGGTTATTGTTAATCTACTGGAAGGGTGGGGGCGTCGGCCTGTATAGTACAGGTTGTAGTGAAGGCTCCACTGCAGCGTGTTCAATACAACTCATCAGAGCAACGCGATTGAGATCCTCCAACACTAGTCATTGGGCGAAAGCCCCATGATGGCGAGCTTACTTGCAGTGTTTCCGGCATCCTTGCCGCTCAAATTTTTACATGAGGGCACGCTAGCAAAATGCACGTATATATTGGTGTACTGATGAGGCATTCATCTCACTTACATCACGTTCTGCTATTTGCTTCCACAGTTTAGCAAAGATCCTGCTACGGTTTCCGAATTCGTTTCCTTAGGTAAGTAGGCCTCTAGTATTTAATACTCTGGTATGTGATATTACAGGTACATATGGTTGTTGCTCGAGTGAGTGAGTTTAATGACCATCATTATGTTCGATGTGTATTGAGGCACAAGCAACATTCAGTTTTGTCGTGAAATGATTGCGTCGGTTTAACGCAAACATAAATCTTTAATGGTGCTATCATTTCAAAATTGGTAGGGTTTTTGGGATTCACCCAACAACTCTGGATTAAAATCCAGAGAATTATCACCTTGAAGATCGCGTTGAAAGTCTTTCCGGGCGTTTGTGACACCGCTTCGTCTCCGTAGGTCTTGGTGGACATTTCCAACGTGTTCACTTCGTTGCCAGGGTGTTTTCGGTTGTGCCTCGTCATGTACACACCCCAAAGCTGTAGCGTTTGGTTGACCAGCACACTGCGATAGCGTTGGGATTCCTCCCATCACCAACTTTGACGCGACGGCTTGCATGGTTTCGTCCTTCATCGCCGTCAAGATCGCCTTTGATTTCTCCATGGATGACCACAAGTTGGTCGACCATTCGAACATCTATTTGCGTTGGACTGGTTCAAGTATACAAAACGCCCAACGTGGCTTGACCAGAACTTCTGGTCCCAGAAGCCCCTCAACTGTCCCTTCATCCAGCTTAAAAAACGACCTGAACAAGTCTAGGCTAGCTTCAGCTGTTTTTGACAATATTTGTGGACTCCTTAGTCACGCTTGACCTTGTTTCGGCTTCATTCTGAGTGGATGCGAACGCGCGTTTGATTAAGTTTCGATTGCACAGGAAAAAATATATTGTGAGCTCTGGTAACTATGACAGCTCATGCGTACTTCAATATTTCGGCGTACTTAGAGCTCGTTCAGCATCAATTCCGTTGCTTCGGCAAGGGAAAACAGTAGCCACTGATTGCGGTAGATTCCATTTGTGGGATTCCAATACTTGTAAAACATATGGGACGATGTCCTGGTGATACTTCTTGCAATTCTACGGGGTAAGCGTTGGATTCGAGTAGTCACTTTCGAAAACTGAACTTCCTGCAGGTTGGATGCGACAAATGGCGTCGTCTTATCCAATAATTTTGGTTTTCCAAAACTGTAGCTTCGGGTTGCTAATTAGGGAGGGTATCAAATCCTACGTCCACCTTTAGCAGCTTGAACACATCGTTCTTCCTTCGAAGTTGTATTTACTCCGTGTAGAGGCTTCTAAGTGTCGAGAAGGCGGATGCTGATTGTTCAGTCATCTTCATCCTCATTGCTGAGCGGCCATCGGTTGAGTTCTTGGCGAAAGTATTCACCCGCGAAGTTGGCTCCACACCAACGGATAGAACAGCAACGAACATGGCGAGCAGGAGCCGCACGAAGCCAAACCCAAACGCATGACCGACGAGGTGACCGGTGCGAAGCAGGCGCAGGATTTGATCGTGGTTAGTTAGAAAAAAAATGAGTAATACAAAAACCAAAACTCTCCCATAGTAGGACTTTCCCATAGTAGGACTTTGAGTGTAAATCAATACCAAGATCCAGACACAAAAAAATGCTGCCTCACTAATCACTTTTTGTTTCACTGCGGGTTTCTCGAAATATTTGAGCATCTGCTAATTTGTGCGTTGGCGCTTGGCAGATCGAGTTTGCCTTTCATCACCAAAGTACCAGTTCCGGACCTCCGGAGTCTAAAGATGAGCTTCCATCCACTGCAAGCTGTCATTTGAAGCTTGGTGGATCGCATTTCGGATGATGATACGCGAATTTACGTCCAGGAATTCAGCATTTTCAAGTACCCATAGCACTTTTTCAAAATATTCCGCCTCTTCGGCAAGCGCTTTCTCCACAACCCACACGCGACTACTTTCAGGTACCCCACTCCATGACCTTCACACGATCAAAAGTCCAGAAATTGTCCCAAATCGCTTCTCGGTCCAGTTGCACTCCATTCTCGAGCAGCCACCGCGTTAACACAACTTTGCTATTCCAAGCCGCTGCCTGGAAATGATCGGATGTGTATGACTTGCATCCGTGCCACCACCGAATCATTCGAAGAACGCCTCGGAATACAATAGTTCTTCGTGCGTCTGGTACACTCACTTCAGCTCCTTTGAAGAATATATTTATCGTCTCCGACTTGCCTGTGCCCTTGTTCCAGGACTCCTGGGCCCATTGAGTATCTTTCGCGCGCACTTGATATCCACGCCCTAGTAGCCACTCGACCATTGCCCATACATGAAAGCATTCGCCATTACCGGCGTCAAATATTTCGGGTGGGAGAACCAGCAATTCATCGCCAGCATTTGCACAATCTTGAGGTGACCCCCACGAGCAGCAAGTGCTGCAGAGTTCATGAGGTTCGGAATCGAAAACTGGCTTCCGTAGAGTTTGTACAGCCATTCCACCACCGGTAAGTGACCATTTCCCGCAGCCCATTTGATAGCATTTCCCGTACACCCTTGAGTGCGATAGTCATGTAGCCAGCAGACAACGTCGAGGTGGCCATTTTCCGCAGCACCGTCCATTGCAGCTGTGGTGCATCCTTCAGTGCGATTATCATGCAGCCATTTTACAACGTCGAGGTGGCCAGTCTTCGCTGCGCCATCGAGTGCTGCCTTCATGATTGTACATCCATTTCAGCACGTCTAATCTCCCGTGACTTGCTGCGTTGCCCGCAATTGTCGTCCACTGTCTCGTTCGGTGATGACTGGCGATCCATTTCATCACTTCAAAATGCCCATTGCGTACTGCAGAGACTTGCGTTCTATCCGTGCACATTTCACCCTAAATATTTTTGTCTGTTGATATTCGCGTGAAGCCACTGGATAACTTCGAGATGTCCATTAGCGGCGGTGACGTCGGCGTTATATCCCCCCTCGTTGCCGTGTAGCAACTTCTTGACTTCAAGGTGTCCACCTGCCGCCGCGTTGTTCATTGCATGGTACCCACGAGCTCCACGCACATGTAGCCATTTTATCACTTCCAAGTGCCCATGTGCTGCAGCGGAATCTATCGGATTGTGATCATCACCTCGAACTCCTTGGCCCCAGAGCCACTCAACCACAGGCAGGTGGCCACCACCGGCAGCAGAGCTCAACCCCTGTGCTGGTTCTGGGTCATATCCATAGAGCCACTTCACAGTCTCGAGATGTCCTTCGGCAGCAGCTTCTTGTAGCGTTTTCAAAAAATCAACTCTATTTCCAGCAGCAGCACCCAACGCATGTGCAGACTGTGGGTCATATCCATAGAGCCACTTTACTGTCTCCAGATGTCCTTGGCCTGCTGCTTCTTGTAAAGTCCACGCAAAGTCAGTTCTCCACGGTCCCCGTCGGTCCTCACGTTTGGTAACCATCCACTTCAACACGGGGAGGTGTCCGCCGCATGCAGCTGATTTAATTGCCTCATTCCAGTACGGCGCAGCCCCACCAAGAAGTGTTCCGTTGACGCTCTGCTTGGCGTCCAACGGTCCAGCACCTTGAGCAAGACGAAACTAAGGATAGCCAGTCGCTGGATAACACGCAACTACTACTGCCATATTCGCTTAGCCATCACATGTCAGTGCTCTCTCCGAGCTGTCCTGCTAATCTCAGACTGAGCTGCAAACTACACACACAATATGAGTTGGCAGCAACGGCAAGTTCTGCCAACTCCAGTTTCAACACCTGTCTACTGCTACGCAGCATCCCACAATCCTTGTCGCTCCAAGTGCGGCAACTTCAATCTTTACAGCACTTTGCTGCAGCAATGACGGTGAACGAAGCCAGATCACAACATGCCCCCACCGACGCTTGCGTCGGAACACTTAGCCGCCAGCATTAGGGAAGCCTGTAGCCATACCAATCTGCTTGCAGTAGTGATTGAGGCTGCGCTTGGGTAGCGCCTTCGTGAATATGTCGGCGGGATTTTCCGTTCCATTGGCTTTGTAGATCTCCAGCAGGTCTCGCTTGACTTGCTCACGAACATAGCGCCAGCGAACCTCTATGTGGCGCGTCTTGCTGCTGTAGGTCGGAGCCTTGGCCAGAGCAATATCAGCATTATTGTCCACACCTAATTGCATTTGGGTTGCCACATCAACTTCCTGTAGAGCTTCCTCCAGCATGTTGACAATGCCTCGACCTTCCATCGTGGCCTCACAAGCGGCGACATACTCGGCCTCCGCTGTCGACTGGGCGATAATAGACTGTCGCCGAGCTGCCCAGGCTACGGCACCACCAGCAATTGTCATCACGTATCCTGTGATGCTCTTGCGAGTCTCTGGGTCGTTGCCCCAGTCAGCATCACAGTATCTGGTGACTACGATCTTGTCAGCAATTTCATCACTCGCAGAGTACTGGATGCCCAGGTTTCTGGTTTGCACGAGGTAACGCAGGATGCGTTTTACCGCTCCGCAATGCTTCTTCGACGGATTTCTCACAAAGCGACTAAGGTAGCCGATGGAGAAAGCAATATCTGGGCGAGTACTCGTAGCGAGGTACATCAGCGCTCCAATAGCGGCGCGATAGTCAAATGGCGGAGGTTCACCACCCTCGTGTTCATCTTTCGGTACAAACTTCGCGTTCGTCTCCATCGGGGTAGCACTGCCGTGCGCTCCATCATAACCAAATCGCTCAAACACTTCTTCACAGTACTTGGCTTGGTGGATCCACACGCCTTTTGCGTCCTGCTCCACTTGGACGCCCAGGAATTGGTGGGCTATTCCGCCGTCCTTAAACCATACTTCTCGTCGAAAGCGGCAAACAGGGACGTTTTGAAGTCCATGGAGTTCGTTGCGAGTACATTTCTATCAAGCATACAGATGTATGGGGGTTAAACGTCGTTTGGTGTAGCCCAAAGCCATTAAGGGATTCTTGCTTGATGAGCAAGATGCCGTATGGCAACCCCAACACGGGAAGGTGGGTGCGTTAAATCTGCTACGGCTCGTGGCTGAAAGGTAGGCTTGAATACTTGGGCAGCGTGCTCTGTGCTCAGTCTGAGGGGGGGAACTCCAAAATCAGGGCTGTGGAAATATAGATTGTTTATTGATTGACGGCTCAGATATGGAACAAGCAATTATTGCAATCTCAACAATCTCACAAACAAAAAGATTGCAATCTAAGTTCTCGCTTGCATTTCCTCTGCTAGGTTCATATTTTTACTGGTTTGGCGGCGCTATCGCTCTAAGACCTATGCTTGTGCGATTACATTTGTGGTGAGCTTCAAAAACCTTGGCCAAATGCAATGTTGGGGCTTATATTCATCATGTTGAGCGTGCACCCCATCCAGGCATCCAATGACCCCTCATATCCGCATTTCGAAGCAGCAGAACACACATAATGGCTTTTTAGGAGCTAAGATCGGTTCCATAGGCTTGACGTTGCATATTTCTCTGCCGGATCGCTAGCAAAGGATCAAAATCAGTATAGGAACAATATGGGAACGGGATTGCCGATTGAGATCACGGAGCAATCAATTATTGTGATTGACAATCTCCAATCGCAATCATTTTTTCCACAGCCCTGCTCCAAAATGAACCACAAATCTTAGCGATGTCACTTGCATGGTACAGTGTACCAGTATCTTGTGTCGAAGATCTTCCTTCTGCTAGAAAACACTTTTTCCTTCCTTCTTCCGTTTCACTCCATTCGCCTTGCTCCATACGTTACGCTCACGGCGTCCGGAAAACAACCACATCGTCGACGAGCGGGATGAGAGCGAGAACGCCATCTCTGTAGTAGACGTACAAACACGGTTTAGTCTCTGTGTTGTGAAAGTCCATCGATCGCAGGAATTTGTCCACTTCCTCGTACCACTCGGCGCCAGACTGATGCAGTCCATATAAAGCCTGGTTCACGCGGTAGACTTTTCCTTTCGGGCAAGGAAAACCAGGAATGCCCCGCACAAACTGCTTGATCTTCAACTTGGCGTTTAGATAAGCTGTATCAATATCACCCTGGTACAAAACGAGACCCAGCTTTGCCGCCAGTGCGGCTACCACTCCGAAAGTCACCATTCGTGCAACCGGTGAGAATGTCATGTCGTAGTCGCTGCCAAGTTCCTGGAAGTCACCACGGCCAACCAGACGGCATCTCCAAGTGCAAATAAATCCGTCCACATCCGTCTTAGGTCGAAATCTCCACATCGTAGAGAGCAGATGCGCCTGGCTCGGCATCTCACTTTCATCAATCATCTCGAACACGCCTTTGCTGAACATTGCGTCTACTTCGTAGCGCATGCCTGCTAGTCATTCCTCTCGCTGGGGTGAGCGCATGGCTTCACCGTAATTGCGCGGCGTTTTCACGTCCTTGATGTGCCATCTCGTTCCACTTAGCGCTGAAGTGGGGCTCACTGCGGCCTCGCGCTTGCAGTAGCTCGCGTACACATGGTAATCTTCGAGTCGTTTTGGAGCTCTTCGTTCTGCTTCACTCCGGAGCGTCATCCGCCGTGGCTGTCCTTCGAGGTCTCGCTGACGCTTGGCCTCGTGCACGTCTTCCAGCTCAGCCTCGACCGCAGATCGCTGATTTCCTGTGAGAGTCTCTGGCACCATGCAAATGTCCATATCGTTTCCAGCGTCAACAGCGACGAGTTCGTGCCCGGCGGATTCATTTTCGGCCGTAGTTGGGCCGCCGACCTCCGCGTCTTGTTCCGACTGATCGACTTGGAGACTGCCAATCAGGTAGGCATCTACGATGTCGAGCCTGTCCCAAGGAGGTTGCCGGGTCCAGTCATCATCACCTGGGCCAAATTTGACGATGACTTGGTTCCTCTTCGTCTGGCTCACTCCCGTTCACGGACGTCGACAGCTCATGCGAGGAAGGGCTTGATGGGTCGGGATTGCTCTAAGGCTCCTGTGCCGCATCAATATCTTCTCTCCCTTCAACATCTTCAAAAGTGGCCTCGACTTGGCCTCGGCGTCGGCTGGGAGTTCCGTTCGCGGCTGCAAATTGTTCCCTTTCGACTTGAGCCAGCAAGAGAGGGTCAGCAGGGGCCTTTTCTTCTAGTTCATCGCTGAGATAGCTTCGCGTCGTGTTTTCACTGTGTGCAGCGTGCTCTTTCGCTTCTGCATCGTCGGCAGTCCCGGACACTACTTGGTCTACGCCTCGAGCTACTTGTCGCGCTCGGGTACGGCCTGACGAACCTGGGAAGGCTGTGTACATCGACATGCCGCTCCAGTCTTCGATCCCTACTTTGTAATCTGAGGATTCTTCCATCTCCATGTCTTGATCAATCTCGGACATCTCGTCCAGATCCTCGTAGTCCAGAAGGTCTGGGTCATTGAGGTCGCGGGCTCTGGCCGGAGGTAAGTCAGCCAATACTTCTGCTTCATCAGCCGCACTGGCAGCGCCTTCATCTGACGCCTCGTTGCCGTCACCTACATCTTCCATGTTGAACATCCAGTCGGCTACAGAGGACGAGTATTTGTCGCTGTAGCGATCTTTGTACACGATGTCTTCGTTGATAGACGCGTGCTGGACGTGTTGCACTACGTGCTCCCTCGGGAAGTACACTTCGTGGCCAGCTTGGCCCTCCAAGTAGCCCACGAGGAATCCGATACGGCAATTGTCACGAGTGGAATCGTCTAGGAACGGACAAGCGTGCTTCTACATGCTACAATGCTACTAGGGCGAGGAGCTGCGGGTCATGGGCCGGGTCGCCGTGAAGCTGAAGACCCGGAAGCTGCTACTGGGAGGTACCTCGGAGGGAAAGGGCGTCGTGGCTGGATTTCGGGGACGGATGGCATGGTGGGCAGCTTCTAGGGTCGCCCGAGTGAACGGTTACAGTCATCAGAGAGGGTGAGCGGGAGATGAGCGGCACGGAGACGCAGATACGCAAGGATCGCAGGATAAGGATCGAGAGAGGTAGGAGTAGCGAAGAGGTCAGTCGTGATGTAGCTTTGGGAACAACAAGACAGAACGCTTTGCATATATTACTCTGCTTAGTAGTTGCTGCTCTTGTCCGTCTACTCCTCCTCGCCCGCACAGACACGGCCTCGATACGGCGGCGACCGGTCCCCAACAAACTGACTCGCGACACAATTATCATCGACCTTTCGCCGCGAGGGGGTCTTTGGCTTGTGTGCATACGCGATGGCGCCGAACATCTTGATGCGGTGAAGATCAGGTCTTTTCCCCAGCATCAAGTTGTAAGGTGTGTCCTTCAGCGCTTGATGGTACGAACGATTTCGCAAGAACGTGGCCATCTTCACTGCATTCGTCCAGAACGTGTCCGGCAATCCCGCACCGCTCAGCATCGACTTCATCATGTGGACTAGAGTCTGGTGCAGTCTTTCACAAGGATTTAGGTGCGAGCTGTGGGGAGGGTTCGGCAAATACTCGATCCCACGCTTGCGGTACCGATCAATCATCTCGTCGTTGCCAAACTCACCTCCTCCATCCGTCACTACCTTGTTCATCTTGCAGCCGGGAAATTGGCGCTCTGCCCACTCAATGTATCGCTGCATCCCCGCGTTCACGTCTGGTCCGTGCTTCGACTTCAACGGGTAGACTGTCGTATATCGCGTGAGGCCATCCTCAATGACGAGCACGACCCTGTTGTCGTCTGAGCATCGGTTCTTCCGAGTGATATCACGCTCGATCTTCTTTCGAGGTGACCGCTCCCGCTCCTTGCCCGTGTGGCAAGCTTCACAGTCATCAAATACCCGGCGCTGAAGCATCATTCCTGTCACCAGATCGTGATCCACCTTCAGCTTGACGTATCGTGGGCACAGATGCCCAAGTCTCTCGTGCGGCGGAGACAGAAGCTCGTGGTGGAGAGCCCGCGTCATGGGACTCTTCTGCATCAACCAGCTTTCCACCTTGCAGCCGTTGATCCACGTCTTGCGCTCGTTGCTTCGCGCGCTGCGGTTGCGCCTTCATTTCTTGAGTTCGCCGCTTCGCGTCTTGACCCTCCGCCGACAGGAACGTGTTCTGAGCAGTAAATCTGAATAAACCGTATTTATCACGTCCAACCTCCAGTAGCTTCTCATCGCCCTTCCATAACTCGTACACATTTGCACCGAGCCGACCATGATACTCAACGGCAAAGCCTTGGTCTTCGGCTTGAGAGTGCGACAGTAAGTTCTTACTGTCAGGCACGTGAAGAGCATCTTGAAGAGTGAGCACCACGTCCAAGTCACCTTTCTTCACCACCACTTGCACAGTCCCATGGGCGATCGGAGCTGCAGCGAACTTCTTCTTGAAGCCTCTCACGCACTCCGTGTCCTGGTCAAACGGCTCGTAGTCAGTAAAATATCGCCGGTCTGAAGCCATGTGCACGTTGGCCGCATTATCGAAGCACCACTCCCATACAGAATAGTCATCAGAAATGGCGTCAGCGCAGGTGTTGACGGAAAAATCCTCAGCGCACGGCTTACCTAGGGTGTCGTCGCAAGTTGCCGTGTAATCACTTCCAGATTGCACATCGTCAGCAGCCTCACTGTCACTGGACGACTGGACGTCCGGCTTAGCACGCCCCTTGCGCACCCGTTTCGTGTAGGTAGCTTGCTTCTTTCCTGTGCTGCTCGCGGGCTGAATTGTCTTCTTAAGACAGTCCTTTTCCAAGTGGCCTGGTCTGTGAAAGTTGTAGCAGTTGCCTTCCTGCTTGTCCAGCTTCTTCGCTGTGACGGCTGCAGCTCGCTCGGGGCTCACGAACTTGGACCCGCCATTGCCCCCAGCGTTCTTCTGCTAATGCGGCAGCTGCTGCGGCTTCTGCTTCGGAGCCTGATGTGGGGTCTGGTTCTGAGCTGCGGCTGGACCGCCTACACCCAGTTCGCCATCACAGCGATTGTAGCTGTCCATCCGCAGAATTTGATCTTTCAACTTGTCCGGCGTGTCAACTTCACTCGCGCCGGTCTCAAACATTCCTCGCAGCCGATCAAAACGCGAGTTGGTAGGTAGTGATCTCATCAACATGTCGATGAATATAGGGTCTCTGACGTCTGCGTTCAGAGCCGCAAGCTGCGATTTCATCACGAACATGTTGTTGATGTGTTGGCGCACATCCCAGTTGGGTTTGCACCTGGTCGTCTGCAACTTGTTGAACAAGATGATCTCTTGGTTCGTGCGCGTTGCAGCGTTGGTCTTGCCCTCGTAAATTTCCTCCAGGTACTTCCACATATCCTTTCCGGTCGGCTTGGTCATCACCTGTTGCCCCAACTCCATCGAGAGGGACGACATGATGATCTGCTTGACCTTGACCTGGGACTCGCCGAACGTGTTCTTCTCGTCGTCGCTCGCGGCCGTCGCCAGCGTCTTCTTGCCGGTCGCGTAATCCATGACTCCCTTGTCCTCGAGCGCGATCATCATCATACTCTTGTAGTACGCCCAGCACTGACCGTGCCAGTTCACTGGGCGCCCATTCTTGTTCAGCTCGACTTTCGTCGACATCTTCTCGCAGTACTTGCTCTCCGGCGTCTCGCACGGTCTCCAAGTCTGCTCGCGCTTGCTCTCCGGCGTTCCACCGGTCTCCAAGCTTCGGAGTCTCGAACTCACGGATGCAGCACTTGCTCTCCAGCGTCCCGCTGGTCTCCAAGTGATGCCGCCAGACACGCGTGTAGCCCAGATGGGCCTTGGGCTCTATAACCCTGTTCCGTTGACGCTCTGCTTGGCGTCCAACGGTCCAGCACCTTGAGCAAGACGAAACTAAGGATAGCCAGTCGCTGGATAACACGCAACTACTACTCCTATATTCGGTTAGCCTTCACACTGTCGGTGCTCTCTCCGAGCTGTCCTGCTAATCTCAGACTGAGCTGCAAACTACACACACAATATGAGTTGGCAGCAACGGCAAGTTCTGCCAACTCCAGTTTCAACACCTGTCTACTGCTACGCAGCATCCCACAATCCTTGTCGCTCCAAGTGCGGCAACTTCAATCTTTACAGCACTTTGCTGCAGCAATGACGGCGAACGAAGCCAGATCACAACAAAAAGATATTTGAGAGCTCGCACAGAGGCACCCCGACCACACGCTGCGTTGAAAGCTTTCTGTCCCGGAAAGTCATCGATGAATTCGTCGATAAGTTGTTCAACCCCCGATAAAGACTCGTTGGGAGGGAAACACTCCCGCGACACCAGGCGAACTGCAGCGCGCAGTGGCGACGCATCCTCGTCCCTCATCTTGCGTTTTTGTAGAATTGCTAGGCCCCTAAATTTGGTCTCATTCCACCAATCGTTTGCATCATTTAACTCCATATATCTGAATTTGAAAAAAAACTACACCTTTGTGCGGCCTACTTCGTACCAACGTGCAATCAAATCCGAAAGTCGCAAAATTCATATTGCGTTAGCAACTTCAATTAGAAACACGTCAACAAATAGTCGCAGCATATCGATGCGGTTCGGTTACATGTAATATCTAGTGAAATCCAGCAGACGCCTTACACATTAAACAAAAAACCATTTTCAGAAGCTGAGGCATTCGCGATGGTGTCGTATCGTCAAATCGACAGGTTCTCAAACCATGTAAGGAGAGTTTTTCAGCTCCAATTCACAGGTTTCCTTCGGCGTAGTCGTGGAAGCTGATAATGCATCCCAAATATGTGCCCAAATCGCCCCAAATGTCCCAAATAATGAAATGTCTCTGTAACATTTAGGTACATATTTGGGTCCAAGTATATGACTGCTTTCTCGTAAAACTATCCCAAATATGTACCAAAACGGAGTTGACTGATTATGGTCTATAGTCTATGGGTGAGGGCGAGTGGACGCGACCGCGAGCCTCACTCGATGCATTTACTAATCGCCAACACCCGCCGATTAGGCGGGGGCGTATCTGTGCGAGCGAGCGAACGCGAGCGCTGCAACCCGATTTTTTTTTTCTAGACACCGCGCCTGGCCGAGACGAGGAACTTAGCGTAAGGGACAAGGGGGTGGGGCAGGCCACGCCCCCCGCGATATTCCATACTTATTAGGTATTGGTGGTTGTTGTTGTCTATTTCGTTGTTACCGAGGCAGCATGTTTAATGTCCCACGAGTTCGTCGACCTTGTTAGCATTTTCGTAAAATTGTTTGTAAACGGACAAATGCCCTGATGCCTGCAAACCAGCCTATCCGTCATTGGAGATCAGATCGGGCCTTCTCGTATCAAGTAGCGCCCACTTCTTAAACTGCGCCTCCTTCAACTTTACGACTGTATGGCCACATCCTTCATCGCTGCCGTGATCGCCTTTGCGGACGGGATGTCTCCATCAGGCCCCTCAACCAATCGGGTATCATGCGTACGTCTCGGTTAAAAAAAACAGGTGAAGTATTGGCACGAAGCTTAGTTCACATGAAGCCCTACTGTTCCTTGATTCCTGTGCTCCGGATGGCATGGGGAAACCTGTATTAACAATTAGACACCTTTTGCTCACGTATTTTAAGGATTCTGCTGCCTCCCTGAGTTTCGTAAATTGTAAAATTGCCAACGACGCTTTTTGCCCACGTATATTCAATTAGGTATGAATATCAATCTTCATCGAGGCCAGCAGCGTTGTTAAGTACCACGCGAGCTTTCCAGCTCTAGTTGATGGCCCCTGGCGCTAGGATCAAGCGTTTACACTGTAGCTGGAGTCGTCCGAGGTGGCGGGAGGAAGTCGGGTTGGTGCTAATCTCGTCGCTGCTATCACAGACCAAATAGGATTATACGGTGATCTCTGCAACATGCCCATCGGGTCAAACTATAGCATTCGTATCATTTACTTCTCTGGCCCACCTAAGAATCGACATTTCTATTTTTCAGCTCTAAAAAAAATCAAAAAAAATCTGTCGGAGACAGAAAATAGCTCAAAAGAAAGCTGAGATTTGATGGTTTCGCGTTATATTATTGGCGGCTCAAAAACAGCAGGAATACAACAGAACAAATTTTGTAAGCCCGATCTTGGGTAGCATTAGGTTTTTTTTACGAAGTGGCTACAATTGTTGGCGATATTACACCAAAATGGTATCATGGGAAAGCTTGGTTAGCTGTCGATACAGTGCTGTGCATTTCACTGTCATAGGACGCGTGTGGAAGGCGTGGTATTCGTCTAAATTTTGAAGTTTTTCTAAGCAATTTCGTGAGCTTGCTCTCTAATCAAACTTTATACCCAATCATATGGTTGAAATCATATATTTAGCTAATCAGGTGGGATCGCAAAAAATGAGGTTAAATTGGATTCTTAAGTGGGCCAGAGAAGTACTAGGACTACCTTACACCACGAGCATGTTCAATCGGTTATTTTGTCAAAACGTGATCACGTGCACACTAAGTAACTGCTAGCGGGAACAAATTTCTGTCGGGCTCGGTCGGTTTGACCCGACCAAGCCTAATCACGCTACGAAGTGTTCGCCGCGACGTGGTGGCGTGGAGCCCGCTGCGAGAGGCGCAGCTTGTGATGCCGTTGTTCATCGCTCCTCTCGCCTGCAGGCCTTGCCCACTCTGCCGCGCGCAGGCTGCGAATCTCCCCCGTTTGCGCACCTCTGCGATGTCCCTAGCCGTTGGTGCTGGGTCGTTGCATGGCGTCCTTTGCATCTACAAATGTGCACACTTCGCATACAGCTTTCAATCAACATTACCTTGACGCACGAAGCGATTATTCTGCTTCTCGGCGGAGCTGTTCTCTCCGATTCTGAAATGGCAAATGAAATGGGTGGTGGCCAACGGTATACAGGAGGTATAGAAGTGGCGGATGATCTCTTACAACGGCACGAAATGATTCAAAAGTTGGGAACTCAATTCCCAGACGTCAAGAGTGTGCCTGCTTCGCGTTTCTTTTTTTCTTCGTGGACAACATACATGCCTAACTTTTAACCCTGAAGCTTTGCAGGAGCGCTCGCCTCTGTATCTCCTTCTTCCACGAACAACGCTACACCCTTTTCTTCTTTTCGTCGCTTATCCATGAGAACTGCGAATCACCGGGCCTCATGGCCCGGGTCCCCAAATCTGAATTGCCTTTCCGAGCATTTTTTTGGGAAGTGCCAGCGTTCCCCGACTGGGCACAACCCGGACAAGAGCGTAACCATGATCAAAAAGTTGTTGGCTACTTATGGAGACATTCCGTGATCATGGCAGCCACGAAGGACACGCAGTCGCAAACGATAGCATCCACGTTGCAGGAGGCGTAATTTCATAAGTGGATGCTTGATGGGAAAATTCCCAACGCGATCCCCAAGGCGATTCGGAAGGACAGAGCGAATTGGAAACACCAGGACATTATTCGAGCATACAAGACATTTTGCCAGGACCGCCTATGATGTAGCGAGCTGCCAACACATGATTGCTACTTGTCCGTGCTGCGCGTATTCCGTTTGTTTGTTTTGTATTTCTGGTTTTTTTTTGTTTTTTTTTTGTTTTTTTGGGGGGTATGCAGTTGGTTGATGGATTGAGACAAAATGTTGGGGCTAGCTATTCTACAAAAAGCAAGATGAGAGACGATGATGCGTTGCCACTGCGTGCTACGGTTCGCCTTGTGCTTCCCTCGCAACGAATTTTTGCCGGAGGTTGAGCAACTTCTCGACGAATTCATCGATGACTTCCCAGGGCAGAAAGCTTTCAACGCCGCGTGCAGGCGAGGTGCTTCTGTGCGAGGTCTCGAGTATCTTCATGGGCGAGCAGCACCGGATTAGAATGAGGCAATTAAATCTGCAGCACAAGGTGGGCATCTACACGTGTTGGAGTGGATGGTAGCCAAACGTGAGGACCGTCGGGGACCGTGGATAACTGACTTTGCGTGGACTTTACAAGAAGCAGCAGGCCAAGGACATCTGGAGACAGTAAAGTGGCTCTATGGATATGACCCACAGTCTGCACAGGCGTTGGGTGGTGCTGCTGGAAATAGGCACATGGATGTGGTGGAGTGGCTCTGGGACCAAGGCGCTCGCGGTGCTGACTTCGATCCCATGGACGCTGCAGCAGCAAACGGGCACTTGGAAGTAGTAAAATGGCTACATGGACGCGGAGTTCCCGGAAGTCATGCCATGCAGAATGCCGCAGTAGGAGGACACCTTGAAGTGGTAAAGTGGCTGTACACCAACGGCGGGGGATATAGCGCCGATGTTATGGATGCTGCAGCCGCTAATGGGCATCTTGCGGTTATCCAGTGGCTTGAAGCGAATATTAACAGACAAATGTGTTGGGGTGGCATGTGCACGGATCGAGCGTACTTCTCTGCAGTACGCAATGGGCATATTGAGGTGATGAAATGGATCGCCAGTCATTATCGAACGAGACAGTGGACGACAATTGAGGGCAACGCAGCAAGTCACGGGAGGTTAGACGTACTGAAATGGATGTACAATCATGGGAAAGGTTACCTTACACCGAGAGCTATGGATGGATGTTGCTGCCACCAATGGCCATCTAGCAGTAGTAAAATGGCTACATGTTCGAAAAAAAGACTGCACCAAGGCAGCACTCGATGGCGCTGCGATGAATGGCCATCTATCGGTTGTAGAATGGCTACATGATAATCGCACAGAAGGATGCACCACAGATGCAATGGATGCCGCTGCGGGAAATGGCCACCTCGACGTTGTCTGCTGGTTGCATGACTACCGCACTCAAGGCTGTACAGCCAATGCAATCAAACGAGCTGCGGAAAATGGGCACTTGGAGGTGGTGGAATGGCTGCTCAAAGTCTACGGAAGTGAGTTTTTAATTCCCGACCTCATGGATTCTGCAGCGTTGGCTGCTTGTGGGGGCTACCTAAAGATAGTGCAACTGCTAGCGACCAATGGTTGGCTCTCCCATCCGAAATATTTGACGCCGGTGATGGCCAATGCTTTCATGTATGGAAGGGTGCCGATAGTTGAGTGGAGTGGATATCAGGTGCGTGCGAAAGATAATCAATGGGCTCAGGGATCCTTGGCGAGGGTGCCTGGCAATGCGGGGACAATAAAGATATTTTTCAAAGGAGTTGAGGCGCGAGTACCAGACGTACGAGAAATCATCATGACCCGAGGGGATCTCCGTATGGTTCGGTGGTTATGGCTTCATGGATGCAACTCGTACACCAACGAACAGCTCCAGCCTAGAGGTTGTTCCAAGCTCTCGGTCGTGACCCGGTGGCTGGTCGAGAATGGATTACGACTCGGCCGAGACGCTATTTGGACCAATTTCTGGTCTTTTGGCCAGATGGAAGTCGTGCACTGGGTGCCGGAAAGCGACCGCGTGTGGGTTCTGCGTAAGGCGCTCGAAAAGGGTGAGGTAGGGCTCGAGAAGGCGTTGTGGCTGCTTGAAAATGCAGAATTTTTGGACATCGACTCACGCATCGCCGTCCGCAGTGCCATTTACCAAGTTTCAAATACCAGTCTGCAGTGGGTTGAAGCTCATCTGCAGACTCCAGAGGTCCGGGAGTGGTGCTTTGGTGACGAAGAACAAGTCGGACCTTCCAAACGCCAACGTGCGAGATAAGTGGATGCTGGAATTCCGAGTCGTTTCAGGGAATTCGTAATTCGTAGTAGAAAAGAATTGAGGAGTATTTGAGGCGGAGTTTTTCCATTAGGCAGCGGTGTCTGTGTCTTGGATATACTATATGGTGTAGGTGCTCAAAGTATGAAGTACCAATTGTGGGTGAACACTCGTAGGATATTGCCGATACGCACTCTGTCCACGCTGTAAATTGCTTTGAACATAGTAGGTTGATTTAGTGAGACGTTCAGGTGCGTTGGCGAGTGGACGAAGATGAAGACGACCGAGCTTACATTCTCGAAGCTGAAGGGATTTTTTATGGAACAGAAACAACTTCGAGGATGGCTACGGGAGGAGAAGATATCACTCGGCGTCTTCAACTCGCTGGAGCTGGACAATGACGATGTCTAACTAACCCGAAGCTACAAATTTGGAGTTTGCGTGAAGAAAACATTGGTTGGAAACGAGTAAAACATACAAGTATTTACGAAGGAAAGAGAGTCAGGGCATTCTTCGAGCTTTAAAGATATTTCCAATTCGCAAGAATACAAACAAACTTAGATTTAATAGCGAAAGGGCGATTTTCTCTCTGACTGGTGGCCGGTCATTGTGGAAGAAGCAAGAACGGGTGCAATGGCGGGCGAGGATGCGCTGCCACTGCGTGCTGCGATTCGCTTAGTAGCTCGGGAGTGCTTCCCTCGCAACGAATCTTTGCCGGGGATTGAGCAACTTATCGACGAATTCATCGATGACTTCCCAGGGCAGAAAGCTTTCAACACCGCGTGGTCGAGGAGCTTCGGTGCGAGCTCTCGAGTATCGAACAGCACCGGATTGGAATGAGGCAATTAATGCAGCTGGTAGAGGTGGACATCTCCACGTATTGCAGTGGATGACAACCAAACGTGAGGATCGTCGCGGGCCATGGAGAGTTGATTTTACGCGGACTTTACAAGCAGCAGCAGCAGCTCAAGGACATATGGAGACTGTGAAGTGGCTCTATGGATATGACCCAGAACCGGCGCAGGTGTTGAGTTCTGCTACCAGTGGTGGCCATCTGCCTGTGGTTCAGTGGCTTTGGGGGCAAGGAGTTCGAGGTGGTGACGACAATCCGGTAGATGCCGCTGCAAATGGACACTTGGAAGTAGCGAAATGGTTACACGAACGTGGAGTTCGCGGGCGTGATGCGGTGGATAATGCTGCGGCAGGTGGATATCTCGAAGTTGTTAACTGGCTTCGCAGCGAAGGCGAGGAGCTTACCTCCAATGCATTGGAAAATGCAGCCGCTAATGGTCATCTCGAGGTTGTCAAGTGGCTTGAAGCAAATATCAACAGAAAAAAGTATTGGGGTGAAGTGTGCACGGACAGAGCGTACATAGCAGCCGTTTGCAATGGGTGATGAAGTGGATCGATAGTCGTTATGGTTCGTGGCTGACAGCCGCGGACGTTGCTGCTAGTCATAGGAGGTTAGGCGCCCTGAAATGGATGCCCAACCATGCCATGGGCTTCGTTACCAAGGAATCTATGGACGGCGCTGTGGCCCATGGTCATTTGATGTCGTAGAGTGGCTGCATGCTCGCAAGAATGGCTGCACCACGGCAGCAATGAATGGCGCTGCGACGAATGGCCATATATCGGTTGTAGAATGGCTTCACGACAATCGCTACGAAGGTTGTACCACCGATGCAATGGACGGCGCGGCAAATGGGTACCTGGACGTTGTCTGCTGGTTACATGACTATCGCACGCAGTATGTGCAGCAAATGCAATCGAACGAGCTGCTGAAATTGGCCACTTGGAGGTGGTGGAATGGCTGCTCAAAGTCTACGGAAGTGAGTTTTCGATTCCCGATCTCATGGATTCTGCAGCGCTTGCTCCTCGCGGGGGTCACCTGGAGGTTGTGCAAGTACTGGCGACGAATTCCTGGTTCTCCCATCCGAAATAGTTGACGCCGGTGATGGCCAATGCCTTCATGCATGGTAAAATTCCAGTTATCGAATGGTTACTTGGTCGTGGATGCCAAGTGCGCGCGAAAGATGCCCAATGGTTCCACGAGTCCTGGAACAAGCGCGCAGGCATTCCGGAGACGATGCAGATTGTTTACAAAAGAGCTGAAGTGAGTGTACCAGATTTACGGCGAACCCTCGTGGCATATGAGGATATGCGCATGATTCGGTGGCCGTGGTGTCACGGATGCAACTCATACTCGCCCGAAGATCTCCAACAAGCATCCTGGAGCTACAAACCGGTTGTTACGCAGTGGCTGATCGAGAACGGAGCTCAGCTGGACCGAGAGTCGACCTGGGAAAACTTCTGGAGGTGCGGTTATGTGGAAGTAGTGGCGTGGGTGCCTGAAAGAGACCGCGTGTGGGTTCTGCGAAAAGCTCTTGCCGAGGGTGATGAAGGGCTTGAGAAGGTGTTGTGGGTCCTTGAAAATGTCGAGTTTGAGGAGGCTACTGTACGGTGATCTGGGCCAAGCTGTAGATTTTGAAGTACTTGTATAAGTACAACGCTCCTTGCAGAATTGTGAAGTACATCTTCTACGGGGGCAGACTAGGATAATTAGTGGCTGTTGCGTATCGGTAGTCTTCATTGCAACATCCTAAGAATGCGGATTTAACCCGTTTTTAACCTGAATATGGCAATCAACCTGAGCACACCGCAGGATCAACTTCTGTCAAAGCACAGTTTTAGAGGCATTGTCAACGACGCCACGGAGGAAGAAGATGCGTTGCCACTGCGCGCTGCGGTTCGACTTGTGTTGCGGGAGTGTTTCCCTCCCAACGAGTCTTTGCCGGGGGTTGAGCAACTTATCGACGAATGCATCGATGACTTTCCAGGACAAGAGCTTTCAACGCTGCATGTGCTCAAGGTGTTTCGGTGCGAGCTCTCGAGTATCTGCTTGGTCGAGCTGCGCCGGACTGGAAGGAGGCGATCAAATCAGCAGCGCGCGGCGGACATCTAGAAGTGCTTCAGTGGATGGTGTCCAAACGCCAGGACCGTCGCGGACCATGGAGAGTCGATTTTCCGGACACGCTACAAGAAGCAGCAGCTCAAGGACATCTGGAGACGGTGAAATGGCCCTACAGACATGAACCACAATCGGCGCTGGCGTTAAGTGCTGCTGCTAGAAATGGGCACGTGAATGTGGTTGAGTGGCTCTGGGGGCAAGATGGCAAGTCCAGTGTCATGGGTCTAGCTGCATTCAATGGGCATTTGGAAGTCGTGCAATGGCTGAATGAGCATGGGGGTGACGTCGGCTACGCAATGAACGATGCTGCGGCAGGTGGCCACCTGGACATAGTGAAATGGCTACACACGAACACGAGCGCGTTATGGCGTTCCGGAGCAATTGATGATGCGGCTGGAAATGGCCATCTCGAAGTTGTGAAGTGGCTTCACGCCAATGTCAATAAAAGGGTGGGAGGGGGCGAAGTATGCACAAGCAACGCGCTAGTATCTGCCGCCTACAATGGACATTCTGAGGTGATGGAGTGGATAGCAGGCCATTATGGACACCAAGGTCAGACGAAGGTGACGACGATTGCCGACAAATTAGCGAGTTGGGGAAGACTCGACGCACTTAAATGGCTGCACAATGTTGGGCCTTGTTACATTACAACGGAAGCTATGGATGACGCTGCAACCAATGGTCATTTGGAAGTCGTAAAATGGCTACATGCCTACAAGAAAGACTGAACCAGTGCAGTGCTGCAAAGAATGGCCACCTAGCAGTTGTAGAATGGCTACATCATAATCGCAGCGAAGGATGCACCAAAGGTTCTCCGATCCAAATTATCTGACGCTAGTGATGGCAAATGCTTTCGTTAAGGGAAAGCTCCCAATTGTCGAGTGGCTGCTAGATCGTGGATATCAAATGCTCGCGAAGGATACTCAATGGCCCCGGGGATCTTGGGCCCCAGACGAGTTAGAGACCATGACGATCGTTTACAAAGGGTCTGAAACGAGCGTTCCAGACGTACGAAGAGCTCTCATGGTGCGAGGGGATGTCCGAATGGTTCGGTGGTTGTGGCACCATGGCTGCAACACATACAGACCTGAAGACCTCTGGAAAGCGGCTTGGTCGAACAATCTCGTGTTAACGCGGTGGCTGCTCGAGAATGGAGTCCGACTGGGCCGAAAAGCAATTTTGTTCATGTTCTCGAGATACGACTGTCTAGAAGTGGTGGAATGGGTTCCTGAAAGTGATCGCGTGTGGGTTGTGCAGAAAGCGCTCGAGGAGAACGAGAAAGACCTGGAAAAGGTGGTGTGGGTGCTTGAAAATGTTGAATTTCAGGACGTGAGCTCACGCATTGCCATCCGAAACGCCATTCGCCAAGCTTCAAATGACAGTCTGCAGTGGATTAAAGCTCATCTTCAGAGACCGGAGGTTCGTGACTGGTGGTTTGGTGACGAAGGACAAGTTGGAACTTCCAAGCGCCAGCGTACGGGTTAAGCGGGTGCTGGAATATTGAGACTTTTTAAGGAATTCGTAGTAAGAAAATGAGACGGTTTGCTATTATTATGCAGGAGTGTGGTATACAACAGGGTGTGGGTACTCAAAGTATGAAGAATCAATTGTGCGAGAATACTCGTAGGATGTTGTCGATATGTCGGTCACTATTTTACTCTGCCCACGCTGCACCTTTATTTTAAGCATAGAATGAGAACAAAAATTGACTTCAAAATCACTAAAATGCCAATTGGACGCTAGGGGTGTCTTCATTTCCGACACCCGCTGTACATCGTTTGCTGCTCGTGGGGAGATTCCGCAGGTGATAGCGACGGAAACGTTGGTTCTCTGATCCGCAATATTTGACTCCAATGATGGCGAATGTTTTCATTCATGAAGAGGTTTCGGTTGTCAAGTGGCGGTTTGGACTTGGATATCAAGTGCGCGAGCAAGATACTGAGTGGCCTTAAGCGTGGAACAGAGGGACTCAGGCAAGTTTGAGACGATAGAGATAATTTACAATGAGTCTGGGCTGAGCGTGCCAAATGTACGAAGCGATATTGTGGCACGAATGGGATATCCGAATGGTGCGGTGGTTGTGGCATCACATACACCTTTGAAGACCTCGAGAGTGAGCGTTGGTTGAACAATTCGCCTTTATGGCATCGCCAAAGAGGGGGAGGGCCAAGCACAAGAATTCAGAAGCGAAACCATCTCGCACGCCACGCGGAGCTTCAAGACGAAACCATCCACCAACGTCAAGGTGCGATGGTGCGTCCAGCATCCAGTGGTTAGTTGCGCAGATCTCCCCATCCCAGCAACTGCAGCCGAAACTCCTGGCAACAGACGTGCGATACCGCAGCGCTCGTACAGCCGCCATCTCTAGTTAGGGTAGTTTAGATCTGTCATTCTTCATTTTCCAAGCCGAGCGGCACCCACCTCACCACACCCGTATCGCGACCACAAGTGCCCGCATAATCAGGCTGCTCTGCATAATACCGGTGTGCATATTATGAAGTTGACAATTTTGCGGTTGCTGCTCGAGAATGGAGTACGACTGGGCCGAGAAGAAACTTGGATCGTGTTTTGGGCGTACTGCTGTCTGGAAGTGGTTGGAGGAGGTGCCTAAATGAAATCGCGTGAGGCTTGTCCGTGATTCGCTCGTAGAAAACGAGCAAGGCATAGAAAAAAGGTTGTGGGTGCTTGAAAATATTGAAATTCAGTGATTCATTTGTCTAGTGTGTTTCAAAGGTCTCGCTCAACCCGCCAATCGGACTTTTAGAAAATGAAAAACGCTGGGAACATAAATGTTATGAGAGGGCTGGTTCAGCCCATATCCGTCCCGGCAGGCGTACGTGAGCTTAAACGTGCCGGTGCATGCTTCTTCCCTCTGCGCCGGTTGGTCTTAGTACTCCGCTGGTTGGTTGAGTATAAAGACCACTTGGGCACGTCGCGGGCGGACAGCTTCGTTCAGTCGCAGCGGTAATTGCGCGTACACAACGGGCTGAGCCAGGAACAGCACATCGCGCAGCACACCCACGATTTTGTGGTAGTCGGCGTCGATGTCTTCGTCTTCGTTTGTTGAAGTGATGCGTCCACCAAGGCCCCATACAGCAGCGCAGGTCGACATGAAGACCAGCATGTAAATGACCTCGGGCCAGTGGTCGAGGGCCTGACGAACGAAGCGCGCAAGCTGCACGTCCCAATACTGGGGAATCATCATGTCGTGATCCTGAGAGCGACTTCGGAAATGCGCTCCATGCAGATGGAGTCGCAGCGACGCTCGCTGCCCATGTGCCTGCCGATGACGTGCCACCGGGACAGTTGAAACTGGAAATGGGACTGCAAAAGTACCTGCTTCCTAGACACCAACAGATGGTGATGGCGTCGATAACCGGTCGCGAAGCTGAAGCGTCGGTGGACTGGGTGCCTGTCACCCACCCAGTCTCGAGATCGAGCGCCAGCAACTATCAACAAACCGTGCATACTTGCATATTTACGAAGTCCTATAACTATTAGCACACCCTCGGGTGCTTTCTGAACTATCCGCGCGGACGCCTCTTCACACGTAGAAAATACTAGTACATCAACAGAGCAACGCTGTTGCTCGCTCTTGCCCGCTTCCTCAGCCAGGGATTGGTGTTCACCCTGTTTCAGGGGTGGGTGGCACCATATTGCAACAACACCCGTACATGGGAATCGATCATTAGTGCACGAGCCAAATGAACGCGACCGTATCGATTAGGCTAATAGTGTCCCCGTGTTCGTGGCTGAGCGGGTGCTGGGTTTCAATGTACAAATAACGCCAATTTTGCGATTATCAATAGCAACACGGCACCGATATAATGTGAATACTTGTGTAGCATCCAGGGGCGGGCGAGCTGTATAGATATAATTGGGGCGAAGCCCCCCCCTATAATGAAATCGCTCTGTTTTATCGCTCAGATTTGCATTCTTTCGATGAATTTATGGATAGGGCTAGGGAAAGGTTTAATGGTTGCCTCTGCCGGGGGCAAAAATGCAGCAATTTACCTCTGTATAAGATCCTTTCAGGCTTAATGTCCGACGGTTCCGAGTGACTATTGATAGAAGTTCTAGGACTTAGCCTCCGGCAAAGGGTGCGAAAGCCATTAAACTGAGGCCCGTCTTTTAGTAGGCCTCTTCCAAATAGGGTATCTATGGGCTGTGAGCCTTCTAAAGTGGATTTGGCTTAAAACCGCATTATTTTAGCTAAATGGGTTCTGAACTATTGACCGTCGTATTGCACGGATATCGGGGTAAGTGCGCTTGTTGAAGGTCTACTTAGAATAGCTCTGCTGCTCAGCGGCTTAGGACGAGCGCGCTCACGAACGCTCTGCGTAGACCCCCCTCCCTCCCAGCCATGCGCGGCAGCCGCAGCGCCTCTGGCTACCGCGGCTCCACCTTCGGCGCAGACGCCGTGCTGTTGCAGCAAGACGCGGGCACGTAACGTGCTGCAGGAGCTGCAGGCGCCAATCCGGTCGCCACCATTACCCACGGCAGTACAAGGAAGCTGAGCAGAGCTCAAGCGGCAGCGTGCGCCCGCTACGAGCATGTGCATGACCCATGCGCGCTGGCTGACAAGCATGATGACGAGCTCGTGATGGCATGGACAAGGGCTACGCCGGTCACGGGTCACCACGGTAGACCACCCGCACAAGCACTTCCCCACCATGTATTAAATACCTGGACTTCAGTGCCCAATAGGCTGAAGCACAACAGACGCTTCAACACGCGGCCGTTCGCCACCGTCTTCGTGCTCACAGACCCCATGTACTGGGACGCAGTGCTGCCGATCGTCATGGACATCTTGTGCTCGTCCTAGGGGCTGCTGTTCCTGTACACGATAAGGAATGACAACAACGGTGAGCGTGAGAACCTCCCGTTGTACTCGGCGTGATTAGGCTTCCGTTGTACTCGGCGTGTCCACTTGCCTTGCTACGCTACGGATCATACCTCGCCATTGACCCACAAAGAAAATCGTATTACTCCTCAGTCTTGAGTGTCGATGCAAGTAACAGCGGTAGGCATACGTATTGTATTGTGGTTGGGCGTAAAATGCATTGCTAAATAATTAATGCTACACAACAGTCGTATTGTCAATACGACTGTTGTGTAAGCACAATACGGTATTGTGCTATTGCTAAATAATTTCGTAAATTCAGTGACCAACTCTTGTTTTGGGTTTCTTCGTTTTGTTGACGATGTTGTGCGGAATCGTGTCCGCGCCGACCGATGCTAAAGCTGATTGACTCGATTGAGCTCTACCTGTGGATCTGCAAACTGGGCTACGTGGTGTTCTAAAAACATGTACTCGTATGCAAAAAGTATTGCTGTCTGCACAGTATAGATCTGTAAGTCTTAGCTATGTGAGCCCCAACACGGGCATACTTGCCGTTAGCGTATGCTGTAAACAATATTTTACAATCGAGAAATATCTTGGGAGGCTTGGGAGAGAGAGAATAAAGTTACGTCCCGAAGATTTAAGCACGCGCTATTATAGTGGAAACGATATGTCGCTACTGATGATATTAAGGTGGTGTATATTGTATTGTGAACGTTAGTGCGCCTTACGCTCAGGGAATAGGTGATCTACATTAAGGTGGTGTAGTGGTGTAGTCCATGTTTCTAGAATTACCGTCGAGGACACATGAATTTGCATACTGCGCCCTAAATAAATGTATCATGCGACCGAAATGATTATATCGTCCTAGAATCCATCCGAAGCAACGGAAACAAAAAGTGTTGCTGCAATCTATCACAGAGCATTTCTGCACGCTGCAAAATAAAAGCACAGTGATAAATAAGTGTCTTCATGCTGTCCTACTTATTGAAATGCCTACAGTCTGCGTGGCCGTACATCCGTACTGGACTGCTAAACTAAGAAGGACATATCAGTAGACAACCAGCTTACGAAGGTGCTCATTAGTTTCCCTAATACTAAAAACTATGTATTTGTGCGAAAGTCTCATATGCAGCACTACATAGTAGTGGAGCATCTCAGTCGCGTTGCTCCGTGAGTTGCTTAGGGGGCCGACGCCCTGCAGTGGAGATTCCGCTGCAGGCCGACGTCCCCGCTCTCCCAATGGATCTGATGAAGCTGTGGATTACTTGGGTCTAAGCGATCACGTGCAGATCAGTGCAGCTTCCGATCTGACATCACATCTTCGATTAGGAATACTATTATCATAGAACTACATGAAGAACTCGTCATTGCATGTAAGAAGTGCATTGCGAGCTTTACATGCTGGGGGTTGCACCCCCCCCCCCCACCCCCACCCCCCTACCCCGACCCCCGCAATAGAAAACTAAGTCCGAGTTGGGGCAACGGGTCCGTTCGCTGGAATGCTCACTACCGCTTCGAGTGCTGCACTCGAGCAGGTCTGGTTGGTAGGCACGAACTTGCAGCGAGAGTCTGTCCAATCTTATTTCTTAAATAAAATGTAGGAGACTGAGTCTGACGCTCCCGTATATAAGCTTGCTGACTGTGTTCCCTCCGCTCTAAATCAGGGTACGAACGTATGCGACGAGGCATTTAGTCACATCATCACAGCGGATAAACTAAACCGTGCTAAAGCACGGAGAAGCTCTGGATTTTATCACGTAGTTTTGATTCTAAGTTACTTTATCTTAAACGTGCATAGCAGTTCTGCCCGAGGTTCTTTGGTTAGAGCGAAGTATCCTTAAATTTCAGCAGTTGGTGCTTTTGTCTTAATTCGGGTTTGCTACCAAGTTCCGAAACCATGAAAGCATGCACTGCCAACTATCTCAAGCCCTTACGCGAGCATGTACTGGTCACTCGCTATGCCTTAGCTATCTTGCAATAATATGCAGCCAACGTCAAGGCTTGAATGCGGCGGTAACGGTACGTATGCACATGCAGAATGGTTGAAACGAGCACGTGCAGAATGGTTGAAACGAGACCAGCATCGTTTGAAGACTTCAGCGACACCCACGACTTTAAATTGAAGTCGTGGGTGTTCGTGGGTGTCGTTCCATGACTTGAACGTGGCGACACCGATGTAACATACATGTGCTGCAAACACAACTGTAGTTATGTTTGGAGGCGACATCCGATCGATCGTGTCACGCGAATGTCGACCCTAAAAGACTCAAGCAACACGCAACTGTAGCATTTTACACTCGTCGTCTTGTTGCTGAGCCAAATTAGCATTTCTCTGGTTGGAAAGTGCCCTCTAAATCGTGTACCTCCGATTTAATGGCGTATGGTCACTAAACTCCACATCTTTATGCAGTGAAATCTCAAATCCTATCCATGTCACAATACAGAAAATGTCAGTAAACACAGGATTTGTTGGTCAAATTTTTTTTAAAAATTTGACTCAAAAATGGCAATCAGAATGTCAGCCCTAACCCGTTTCTTCTAAACTGATATCAGGTAAGTAAATGGGGGTATGGACCCTTGAAAAAGCTAAGTAAAAGTGAGTGCATCAATGTAAGGGGGGACTTCGTCCCCAATTAGTAGCAGTGTTATTAGTGCTTATTATAAGACCAGCAAAATAGTGATCATATTGATACTACTAAACTTGTTGTCATATCCGAAAAAAGTAGCAATTGTGTACATTATAAAACCGTTACTGCTATCGAGTATCTCTCAGCTCATTCCGAGTCACCTTGCAAACGCTCAGCAAACTGCTCGAAAATGCATCGGGTCCCTTCGCCTGTAGCTCTGCCTCGCCCTCGACGAAGATCATCGCCAAGCCGATGTCCATGTGCCAATCGATAAGGCAGTGCATCATCCAGACTCCCGGGTTGTCGGCCATCATGGCTCCTTCCAGTTTGGACGGAGGCAAGTTGTTGTTGTAGATGTCCTCCTCCGACGCTTGGCCACTTCCAACAACCCACGGGGCGTGCGAGTGCAAGTGGAACGGGTGCTGTTCGTTCATGCTGTTCACCACCACCACTTCGATGTGCTTGCCGTATTCAAGAGCTCGAGCATTGGCCGACGCTGGCAAGTCAGCAGTCGTCGATCCGTTTGAAATCGTCAGGAGCGGCGGCTGGTCGGGGATCTGGAGGCTGTTGTACTCTCCTCCATCGAGGGAGATAACTCCACCCAGTTGTGTGATGTTGAACTGGACAATGGAGCGGTCTGATGGAGTAGTGGGAAGCACTGCCGGGGTGACTGGCGTGAAGTTGAACTCGTGTACCGTAATGATGTCCTCGCACTGCTTCGACGTCGGCTCCGAAGTGCTAGCAGCATTGTAGCGGACGATGGCGAGGCCTTCGTCCTTGAAACCTGGCAATCCGGTATCAGCCGAACGTGCCATCCAGGGAAGCCCCGTCAATCCCTTCGCACGCATCCAGAAGGAGTCTTGGGTATCATTCTTGGCCTCCACGATGATATCGTAGCGCTGGCCCGCGTTGATGAAGATCGAGTTGATCGGCGTGGTTGGCTCCACGGGCTCCCCGTCGGCTGCAATCACTTGGAACTCGTGGTCGTCGATACTGAAGTCGAAAGGGGCCATCGCTGCGACGTTGATCAGCCTCAGTAGATACTTTTCCCCGCTTGAAAGTTGTAGGTTGCCAACGGCTGGTCGTCTGAGCATTCCGTGAGATTGTTGATCGCCGCAGCGGTGCAGTTGAAGCGTCCGCGGTTGTTGATCACTATGGTGTCCCAAAGTGCCGGCCCAAACGTGGGAGCAGTGTGGTAAACATCCGCGAGCTGGACGGTGAATTCTTGATCAATTTCTTTCTCGCAGGGACAGAGGTTGCTTGCCGGGGCGTGGGGCCACGGAGACCGAACGCGTACTGGGTCTTGTGGTGGCTGTGCCACCAGAACGTGCCGGCCTTGTCCGGCTTGAAGCGGTACACCGCAGTGGTGTTGGGCTCAATGAAGCACTCGAGACGCCGTCCATCTCCTGCGTGCCGAGTTGCTTCATGCCGTGCCAGTGCAGACACGTCTCGTTGTAGAGCTCGTTGGTGACGCGCACTTCGACTTCTTGTCCGAGTTCAACTTCAATGATGGCTTCGTCGCAGGGCTTACCGTTCACCCCGAGGGTTTCAAGCAGCACGCCGTCGAACGCAGTCATAATGGGGGTCAGGCGCCAGTCGTACGTGACGACATCGGCTGCAGCAAGTAGCGACGACTGCAGCGTGAGGAAGGTGACCAGGACCACGGAGAGCTGAGTGCGGCCCATGGTTCGCAAGACGCGCGCTTGGCGTAGTTGAGTGTCCGTTGAGGAGGAGTCCTGAGTAGCTCAGGGGAGATTGGAGAATGAGAGAACATTGGGTCGGGATCACCGACATGGGATAGCTCTCTGCCCCTACGAGCTTTTTGGTTGTTAGAACGCGAGTCTCCGTTACTACACCCTCGGAATCTTGAATTCCAGTCGCCACTTCGCTGGGTTATGATTCCACCTAGAAGTACTTGAACCCAACGACGTCACGCTGTCTTCGCCCAAACCCAACAAAGTAAGCGTGAGCGGCGTGCTGCCGTGAAAATATCCGAGTCTACAAGTCGTATCAAAGGCGCCGCAAGGAGAGCTGCACCGTGGGAGGTGGTGCCAGAGGCGGCAGAAAATATACAACTTGTGGATCACTGGCACGTTGATGATCCGGATCATCAAACTTCGAGTGATCCAAAAGTTACGTACAGCAAAATGATGCGAGGGGGTCCAATACACGGACGCTGTCTTAATTAGGCGTGAAAGGGTGAATATTCGTAAAAAAAAATTGGACTCACACTGCAGGAGTTCTAGTCCTCGTTAGTGTGTCCGTTGCAGGCACACAGGGGTCAAGTCAGTATCAGTCGAGCGACCCAATGAGCCCGAGCCCATAAAAGGATCAAAGGTGCGTGAGCAGACTGTGACTGTATCATAAGGCGATAGCATCACATTTCGCCTGTGCAGGCTATCCGGACCACTGAGCTCTAGGTGGCGCTGGTGACGATGACCTGGTCGATTTCCTCGGGATGTCCAAGTCCAAGCAGCAAGTGAACTTTATTTCACGATCCTTGACAGAAAACGGTCATCTGTGATATTAATCTAGTAGATTGGGTGCTAAATATAACGAGATTTCAGTATCTCAGGTCGAAAGTGGACCGCCTCTTGTCCCGCTGTCATAATGACGTGTGTTGATTGGCTAGTCGACAGAGGCCACTTCAACCAGGGCAACTTGTGTAGCCTTTGAGATTTCACCACCGCCGCCGGCCCGGCCGCGCAAAGCTTCAAGCTGGGAGTTCATCACGGAGATATCACAGGGGTTGGGACGCCCTGGGGACTTGTTGTGATCGTTCCCTCTGCCGGTGTATAATATGCCACCACCACGTGCTACCACGACGCATAAGCGCGCAGCAATGCTGCAGCAAACTGTGCTTCGTCGCATTTCATTTCTGCTAGGAGGACGCCACACGATGCGCTGCCGCCTTCATGCATTCTTCGCAGCCTCTTGTGTCCCTGCGCACCAGGCGGGGATCGAGCGCATGCTGCTCGATGGCTGCTGCGTACAGCAAAAAGCTGCGGGCGCGTCATTACTTTCGGGGCGCTGTTTACCACGGCACCGCCGAAATCCTTGAACACTGCGATCTCGACATATCGTCGCCCCATCTACGAATGTGATACGCTCGCTTCAATCCCTTGGCGAAGAGCGTTGACGGCAAGAAACCTGGATATTCACGCGCAGACGCTTCGTCGTGCAATGCCCGCTGTGGCGTTTGATTCAAGTGTGTGGATGCAAGTCAACGCAAAGGCCATTGCCGCAATGATAAACTCATCTACTGTGTACCAACGCGACCCATCTGCCGGTGGTCTCCGCAAACCCCGAACTCCAGAGTGTAGCCTTTAGGCGATCACTTGCCGCACGAGTGAAAAATTTGGCTTGGCCTGGAATGTGATGTACGCCCAAAGCTCGCGGTTCCACTGATTGGAGTCGCGAGGATCCGCGCTGCAGCCGCTGGACGGGCGATCTCAAGATCATCTTGAGACCGAGCACGTGATGGGATATTCGACCCAAGTCCTTGCAGACTCACCGAGTCATTCTGCAATTTGCACCCTTCCACCAACCTCCACTGGGCTTGACAAACCTCTTCCACTATGGACATCGCTCGCTACTTCATCGCTGCGTTGCTGGGCCTCTCTCTCCTCACCGCCATCTCTTCGGCGGACACCTCCATCGTCGCCTACGACTGGCACGTGACCTACATCTCGTCGGCCTGCGACGGCGTCCACATGACCAGTTACGGTATCAACGGCAACTCGTCCAACTACGCGCTCATCGAGGTCGAGCTGGGCCAAACCGTCCAAGTGACCGTCACCAACGAGCTCGACGAGCCCACGTGTCTGCACTGGCACGGCCTCCAGCAGCTCGGAACCCAAGAAATGGACGGCACCTCGGACATCACCCAATGCGGCATTGCTGCGGGCGGGACTGCAGTCTACACGTTCACACCGGAGCGCGCTGGCACCTTCTGATGGTACAGTCACCACGGCACGCAGTACGCCTTCGGACTGCGAGGACCGTCGTCCACGCCCCAGCGGACCAACAGCAGTCCTGGGAGCAGGAGGTCGCTGCCGAGTACACGCTGCAGCTCGCCGACCTGTACCACGCGTCGCCCGGCGTCGTGCCCATGTGGGACAGCATCGTTATCAACGATCTCGGTCGCTACAACTGCACGGCGGCGGCGTCCCACGGCTACTCGGAGTGCAACTCGGACCAGCCTCTGTCTCGGTTCAAGTTTGAAGCCGGCAACAAGTATCGCCTCCGCCTCATCAACATGGCTGCGTTGGCGCCGATCGAGTTCAGCATCGACGGCCACGAGTTGTCGGTCGTTGCAGCCGACAGCGAGTACATCGAGCCGTCCGAGCAGATCACCACGCTGCGCATCAACGCTGGCCAGCGCTACGACATCATCGTGGAGGCCAAAGCCGCTTCAGGCAGCGCCATCGGATCGTTCTGGGTTCGAGCCACGGGATTGTACGGACTTCCGTGGACGGCGGGCACTGCGACCGTCGCTGGCGACGGATTCAACTACCAAGGCCACGGTGATATCTACAACGAAGACGACGACGTAGACGACCCGACCTCGTCCGACTGGACGGAGACCACGACCATCAACGAGTTCGAGTTCACGCCGCTCGAGGTGTCCGTGCTTCCGACTGTGCCGTCCGACCGCCCAGTCCTTGAGTTCGACTTCCGTCGTGGTCTCGGGTACTTCTCGATTGACGGAGCGGATTATCTGCACTTTGCCGCTCCAGAGGAACCGCCGCTCTTCACTATCGCTGCCGGTTTGAAGACGGAGGAGCTCCCAGCTACGACGCTGGCTCGCAAGATTGAGTACGGCAAGCACATTGAAGTGGTAGCCGGTGAACGACATGAACGAGCAGCACCCGTTCCACATGCACACGCACTCGCCCTGGGTCGTTGGCAGTGGAACCGCGTCACTGTCGGACATTCAAGCGGGGAACCTCAACCTCAAACTGTCTGGAGCCATGAAACGTGACGTCTACACGATCCCGCCCTGCGATACCGACGATAGCGGAGCGTGCACGAACCACGGATACGTCATGCTCCGCTTCACAGCTGACAACCCCGGGGTCTGGATCATCCACTGCCACATCGACTGGCACCTTGATGCTGGACTGGCGATGGTGCTGGTCGAAGGGGAGGACGAACTCCAAGCGGCAGGCGTCGGTGCCTTTGCCAACAGCATTCTGAGTGTCTGCGGCACCGAGTTTACCAACTCGACGTCTTCCAACTCCACCGCCTAGGAGCGGTGACAACACTGCAACACAAACCCTGTCCATAGTTTAGCTGGTAGCTTGAGTAGCATCGCAACTACAGCGGAGCACACACAACTTGTGAAAAGTACAAACCGTTTAACCGCTGTAATTCGTCTTTAACTATTTGCCTCACACCACCAGTTGGAGCCGACGGCGCTGACTGCAACGGGGGGATCGTTCGGGCAGCTCGAACTTCAAACTCACCCGCACTTTGGGGAAGACGGTCGGGGCTAAAGGAACGCGGAAGGATTCAACAAAGCTTGGACAAGGCAGACAAACGCCTGGAGATAGACTCGCCGTTATTTGACTGATCGGTTCGGCCAAATTCGCTGGAGTGAAGGTGAGTCGTGTGAGAACTTGAGTGTAGAAATGGCGGTGGGTGGGTGGTGGCGAGTTGTTTTGTGCTGGCTTAGATCGGGTCTCGCTGGTTTCCGTCGTTTTGGTCGTCCGTCCACGCACTAGCCACTCGCAGGTGCTTGTTTGCGGGTCGAAGATAATGTTCGGAATGGTATGCAGCAGTGTGCTGCAGCAGTCGATGAAGTGCGGCGTAGCGAAGTAGCACCTCGTCTTGTTTGGACTGTTCTGAGGCGAGTCCTGCGACGGAACACGCCTATAAAGCTGCAGTGTGCACTCCCCCGACGGTAGAGTCTTGATCACTCGAGCCACTTGAGCTTGGTCATCGGGGTCTGTGAACAAATATTCAGCCGGAAGAGCTTCCGACGAGAGGAAATACACGAAAGACCCCTCTTGGAATTCATTCGTGTCCGATGGCAGGTACTTCTTGTTGCCGTCTTGGCTCGCTTGAGGTCTTTCAGGGAAACTTGCTCGTGATATCTGGTCACTTTTCGGCGGAAACACGAACGGAGAAGCTTGAGGCACCCGTGACTTGGCATCGACGCTGGCCGGACGAGCCATCGCCATAGCTGAAAGTGTCGGTTTTGCGTAGTTGGGGATCAGCGGTTGAGTAGAGTTTCGACTTTGCTGGGTATTGAGCTCGAGGGTCGGTGCAGTGTTCGCTCGGCTTCGTGCTTTTGGTTGAAAAGGATTCATGGCATCGTCGAATTCGTGGGTCGTATCCGACATCAGCTGGAGGAGCTGCGAAAATGAGGTGGCGATTGTGTCTTGGGAGTGTGAGCCCTCGCTTGTGCGGATTTTTAGCGAACTTGGTGATAGCTTCTGCTTCGATGGGGTTGGCGTCAATGGCGGTGAACACGTGGCAGCTGAAGAGCGCGAGCGTGGAGATGTACTGGTGGCATCTTTCATCGCCGTAGACGCATGCTTGGCTTGCAAGAATGGACTGTTCGCGGTCTGCAGAACATATTGAATGGATTAGTATCTTCTTTCGGTCAAAGGCAGCGAAGGTTTTGTGCTTTACCGTACAGCTCGTTTAACTTGGATCAGAAGCAGCTCAATTGCGCCTGGCACAGCGTTTGACAGATCTTCCTGGTGCTTGGAAGAAATCCCGCACTTCAGCCGAGTCAACACTTTCCCTGCGGCAAATAATTTGTTGGTATTCCTGCTAATTTTTGTGAAGCGATCAGTGTCATTGCTTACGATTCAGGGTTTCCCAGTTACTCAGTTTCTGCTGGAATCGGAGTGTAGATGGATAGTTGTGAAGCTGCACCCAAGCCGGAACTAATTGAGCTAGAATTTCAGCCAGCAAGACTGTACAACATATAGCAAAAGATTGATATGTGCTTGGAAACCGAAAAAAAAAACTATTGCAGCAACCAACGTACCCGCGTCACTGAAATCCCGTGGTGGGTTTTTCATCGGTCTCGAGAACGCAAACTGGCTGACCCAGACGTAGACGCTGTCCATTCCTCGCGGCATCTCGTCACGCCGTTCGAACCCCATTGCGTTCGTCTGCCAAATTCACGACTGCCTCAAAAGCCTCTCGGGAAGCCATTTCCGTATCGCTATTTCGAGTCGCTATCGATGCCCACTCAACGCCTCCTTCATGAGAATGACTTGCCACAACCCTGCCTCTGCTGCGTAGAAAGAGCCTGGATGCGTCAGCTTGCTGGGCGGATGCTGCTTCAGTGCATCGTGTAAACGCATGCAAATGCACTTTGAGTTTGACTACGAGATCAATCAATCAAAAGCTTTCGGAACGGGCTCCGTTCAGAAGCAGTTAAACCATCTTTCGCCCCATTTCACATCAAGAATTACTCGTCCATCAGGTCACGTGCATGACAAGGATCTTCTCCTTCACACTTCTTTCATGCACAAGTCTTCAACGACGATGAGCGAGTAGATACCGTCACGACACTCTGCGATTTGGCTGCTTCCTGTAACATCCAGCGGGTGGAAGTGCTGTTCTCCGCTGTCTGATCATGGTGCAGTTCCATTTCGCTCTGCTGCTAGCTGCACTCGCCACTGTGCGTACCTTCGCTCAGACCACTGGCCAAGAAGTTGCAATTCTCGTCGGGGCGGGATGCAAGTTCTCCAACTACTCGGCGCTTCCGAAGGCAACGCCAAACGAACCTTCTTACAGCCTCGAGTTGAACCCCGGACTCGGCAAAGGCATCTACGTGCTGCATTTTACGCAGTTTAACCTCCCGGAGGCCGACGTCTTGATCGTGAGAGCGTCTGGGGCCCCGAAATCGTCACCTCCGGCTGCAGTGCTATCTGGGAAGAACGCAACTGGGAAGTTTTACTCGACGGCGATTGCTGGGAGTGGCGTCGAGATTGAACTCCTCAAAGCTGCAGCCCCCGACAACGCCACCCCTTCTTCATGTCGAGGATTCACGATCGGCGGGTACTTGTTCTCACCCAAAGAGCTGGCGGAGGAGGCGCAGCATCTCAAGATTCCTGTCAAAGTTCCTCTCACCAACAGCTCCAATATATGGGAGTCCGACGACGATGACCGCAACAACGAGAGCATTTGCGGTACGGATGAGTCCGTGGAAGCTGCGTGCATCCCAAGCTCTACCAACAGTGGGGAAGGAGCAATTATGCTGGCCAAGTCGCAGCCTGTGGGTAGACTCTCCATCATCAAGGAGAATGGCATGATGGTCGCCTATTGTACGGGCTGGTTGGTGGGCTGCGAAGGCCATCTCATCACGAACCAGCACTGCATTGGCAACGAGCAAGACGCACTCAACACGAAGGTGGAGTTTATGGCCGAGTCGATGAGCTGTGGGGGTGACGAACAGTGTGATAGTCGAGGAGGTTGCCCCGGGCCTGTTGGTGTGACGACTACGACGCTTGTGGCAGTGTCGGAGGACTTGGACTACGCGTTGGTCCGGCTGGGAACTAACACTTCACACGCGAACTACTCCGAGCTGTATGAGAAGACGGGAGGTTATCTGCAGTTCCGAGGCTCTGGAGCGAAGCTGGACGAGACCATCTACATCCCGCAGCATCCGTTGGGCTACGGCAAGAGGATCGCATGGCTGTACAACGGCCAGCCAGGTCGAGTCGAGTCGCTCACGGTCACCGAATGCCGCAAGGACGATGTGGGGTATTACGTGGACACCCAGGAAGGCTCATCAGGCTCCCCGATTATCGCCACGAGTGACAACAATGTGATCGCTCTGCACCATTGCGGCGGCTGCCTGAACGGCGCGATCCCTTCGCAAGCGATCATCGCAGACCTCAAGAAGAAGGGGGTTCTGCCCAACTGCACGGTCGCCCAAGAGAGCAGCAAGAAGTGAAAAAAGTTGTAGCAAAATGCAGCAGCGACGATGTGAATAGCTGGCAGCAGCAAAGACTCAAGACGTCGGAGAGCTTGTACCTTGGAAGTGGTAAAAGCAGAAGCAAACAAATAATCTCCTGGACTAACAAATCGATTCACGAATTCCTTTCGTTTATTCACAGTCTTGACTTGGTTTAATCTCGAATTCTTAAGCTTTGGATCTTCATGTGCCAAAGCATTTTCCAGCTTATAGTCTGGCCTGCAGCACAACGTCGTCGTGGTCCGTGGACGCGGCCAAATCGGCCCACGCCTCGAACTCGCGGCGGTTTTGTTGTAGCACTCCGTCTCCGATCTTCACGGCGTCGTTGCCCAGCAGCATGCGACTGGGGATGGTCTTGCCCGCGCACCGGCCGCTCTTCGTGAGGACCTCGACGATGACTTGAGCCCCCTTGGCCGGATCTCCAGGCTGCTTGGCCTCCGATTGTTCCGCGTTGACGCTGTTGATGCGGTTGTGCAGCGCCTCCGTGATCGGCAGGTAGTCCGGGATGGAGTTCTTCATGGCCGAGAAGCCCTTGCCCAGCATGGCGGTGCGGAACGAACCGGGCTCAATGATGGTCACGTCGATGCCGAACATCGCGAGCTCCTCTCTCAAGGCCAGCGTCAGCCCCGCGAGAGCGAACTTGGTCGAGCCGTACACGCCCATGGTCTTGATGCCGAACCAGCCGCTGGCCGAGCCGATGTTGGCCACCACACCCGAGCGCTTCTCACGCATGTGAGGCAGGACAGCACGCAGCATCCGCAACGTACCGAAGACGTTCGTGTTGAACTGCTGGTACGCTTCTTCGTCCGTGCACTCCTCGATGGCTCCGCCAAGCAAGAACGCGGCGTTGTTGACGAGGATGTCGATGGTGCCGTAGAAGCTCAGGGCGTGGTCGATCACCTTCTTGAGCTCCGCATCGCTGGCCGTCACGTCCAGCGCCAACGCGCGCGCTCCTTGGTCCACGAGGTCCTTGAGCTTGCTGGCGTCACGAGCCGTAGCGATCACGCGGTCTCCGCGCGCGAGCGCCGCGAGGACGATCTCCTTGCTGAAGCCGGAGGAGCAGGCGGTCACGAGCCACACCTTGGGGCCGTCGACTTGCAAGAGCTCAGTCATGTTGAGAGAGAGAGCAATTGGAGAATAACAAGTGCGAAGAGGGCGCCACCGGCGAATTTCTGGGCGGCCTTGGATCCCGAGATTTGTCCACCATGCCCGCCACGTTGGCGGGTGATTGAAGACACATCATGCGGTCCTTCAACGACGTCCACTCCGGATGCTTAACCCTTCTAAGCACTTCACTTCGTTGAGATTCTCTATTATTTTCCAACCATTTCGTTTGATCTACGGCTCGCCGGCGACCTGGAAGTCCGTGGAGCTCGCCAGATCCGCCCACTCGTCCAGCTCGAGCTTGCTCTGCTCCAGTACGCCCTGTCCGAGCTTCACTGCGTCCTTGCCGAGAAGAAGGCGGCTGGGCAGCGTCTTGCCCTTGCAGCGTCCGCTCTTCGTCAAAGCCTCCACCATAAGCTGCGCGCCCTTGGCCGGGTCGCCCGGCTGCTTGCCGCTGAAGCTGGCGACGTGTGTGGTCAGCGGCTTCGTGAGCGGCTCGAAGTCGTCGATCGGGTGCTTCGCAGGCACGAAGCCCTTGCCCAGGATGGACGTGCGGAAGGCGCCCGGCTCCACGACCGTCACTTCAATGCCCAGCGGCGCGACCTCCTCCCGCAGCGCCAGCGTGATCCCAGCGATGGCGAACTTAGTCGAGCCGTACAGTCCGATGCCCGGGATGCCCTTCCAGCCTCCAGCGGAGCCCACGTTCGCCACGATGCCCGCGCGCTTCTCGCGCATGTGAGGCAGGACGGCCCGCAGCACGCGCAGCATGCCGAACACGTTGGTGTTGTACTGGTCCAGCACCTCCTGCTCACTGAGATATCGGAAACGGTTTCGGGTCAGAAAGCATCACCACAGTGACCCTAAAAAGTGTAGGTTCATCCACACTTCAGACTTCAGTGGCTGTTACCTGCACTCTTCAATGGCGCCTTCGAGCAGATACGCCGCGTTGTTCACCAGCACGTCGATGGTACCGTACATGCCGAGCGCTTGGGCCACCACCGCGTGCAGCTCGTCCTGGCTGGCGGTCACATCCAGCGCCAGCGTCCGCGCGCCTTTCTGCTCCAGATCCGCGAGGCGCTCCGGGTTGCGAGCAGTGGCGATGACACAGTCGCCATGGGCCAAGGCGGCCAGCACCACCTCGCGCCCCAAGCCGGAAGCGCAGCCCGTCACGAGCCACACCTTAGCACCGGGAGGAACAGGAGTCATTGTAATTGCAGAGTGTCTGAAGACTATCCGAGAGAGAGTCGATTGGCGAATGGTCCAAGGCGGACTCTTTTTCTCGTCGTCCGATGTATCCGGCGCCGTACAGACAGAGGTCGCTGTCTGCTTGGTCCCCATGGGCATCAAGTGCTGTGTCTATCGACCTGGTGGTGGTACATTTCCACCAATGGCGCCGGCCAACACATCGTCTCCGCGCAATCCCATTACGCGCACTCACGAATGGCGCGAGCGCTTGCTGGCAGCATCTGAAGCTCTTCTACGCGAAAGTGAGAGGCGAGGAGCGGAGGGGAAGCAGTCTCACTAATGGGGTCTTATCAGCTGGAAGAGCTACGCCCTCTCGGAGCTTAAGCTAAGCTGAATTACGGCACGGTGACGGTGATGCTGGTGTCGTACGAAGCTCCGGTGAAGTTGCTGCCGCAGACGCTCAGGATGCTGTTGGAGAAGGCGGCCACGCCCGCTTCTTGCAACTGCGCCTCGCCCTCGACAAAGATCATGGCCAAGCCGTCGTCCAGGTGCCAGTCGATGTGGCAGTGCATCATCCACACGCCCGGGTTGTCGGCCTCGAGCCGCAGCACGACGTAACCCACGCCCGTGCAAGCGTTGGTGTCGTCCGTGGGGCACGGCGGGACGCTGTACACGTCGCGGAACATGGCGCCCGAGAGCTTCAGGGGCGACAAGCTGTTGCTCTCCACTTCGGCCAACGTCGCTTGGCCGCTGCCCACGACCCACGGCGAATGGCCGTGCAGGTGGAACGGGTGCTGCTCGTTCTGCTCATTGACAAGGACGATTTCCACGTAGTCTCGGTAGGTGATTGACCGGGCGTTGGCCGTGACTGGGAGCTCCGAGGCGGACATTCCGTCGGCGATGCTGAGCAGCGGGGCGAACTCCGGCACGAAGAACTGGTTGAAGCTGCTCCCGTCGATCGCGACCTGGCCGATGCCGGGGAAGAGGAACTCGACGATCACGCGGTCGTCGGCCGTCTCCGGCAGCGTGGTGGCGTTCACGGGGGTGAAGTCGAACTCGCCGACTGTAGTGGTCTCGTTCCAGCGCTGCGTGGTCGGCTCCGAGTCGTCGTCCTCCTCGTAGTAGATGATGGCCAGGCCGTCGGCGTTGAACCCCTCGCCGGCGTTGGCCCCCGTCGCTGCGGTCCATGGGAGACCATTGAGGCCCGTGGCTCTCATCCAGAACGAGCCGATGCGTCCATCGGTGGCGGTCTTGGCCTCCACCAGCAGGTCGTAGCGCTGGCCGACGTTGATGGTGATGTTGGTGATGAGCTCCGTGGGCTCGAGCGAGTCTCCGTCCGCTGCGATGACGCGGAACTCGTGGTCGTCGATGCTGAAGGCGAAGGGGGCGAGCGCGCTCATGCACATGAGGCGGAGCAGGTACGTCTTGCCCGCTTCGAAGCGGAAGCGCGTGAGCGGCTGGTCCTCCGAGCACTCCGTGAAGCCGTGCGAGGCTGCGGCCGTGCAGTTGTAGCGCCCCAGGTTGTTGATGAGGATGGAGTCCCACATTGGCGGGACGCCGGGCGGACCGTGGTAGATGTCGGCCAGTTGGACGTTGTATTCGGCGTCGATGTCCATCTCCCAAGACTGAAGTTGGTCCTCTCGAGGGTGGACCACCAGCGGTCCGCGGAGACCGTACGGGTACTGCGTCGAGTGGTGGGCGTGCCACCAGAAGCTGCCGGCCTTGTCCGGCTCGAAGCGGTACACCGCAGTGGCGTTGGGAGGGATGTAGCACTGCGAGATGCCCGACGTGCCGTCCATCTCTTGGGTGCCGAGCTGCTTCATGCCGTGCCAGTGGATGCACGTGGGCTCGGCCAGCTCGTTGGTCACGGTCACTTCAACTTGCTGGCCGAGGGTCACGTCGATCAGCGCCTCGTGGGCCGGGCGGTCGTTGATGCCGAACGAGGTGAGCGCGACGCCGTCGAAGGCCGAGGAGATGTAGGTCACGCGGAAGTCGTACGAGACCACGGACTCGTAGCAGGCGGCGGCGTCGGCGCGGAGCTTGGAGGTGAAGACGCCGAGGCTCAGCAGACAGCCGAGGAGGAGGCGGAGAAGAAGTCCCATGGCTGGAGTGGGGAGGAAGGCGGCGTTGTGGGTGCGAGGCGAACTGGAGAATGAGTGTGGGCGAGCAGCATGCAGGCAGGTAGGCACGCGGATCTTTTTGATCTTGAAGCGCTTGAAGGCGTGAAGTGCTGGAAAGGAGTGGCGGCCAGGGCGTTGAAGTCGTCCCAGAGTCTCTGCTCACCGCAAGAGGTCTCTTGACTCGCAGTTTGGCTGCATTGACGATGGATCCGCAAGGCACCGCAGAGGTCAGATCGGACCTGAAACGGCCAAGACACCAGACCCCCCAAAATTTCGGTGGTAAGCCTCGAGCGTGCGTAATCAGGATTCGCTGGTCGAGGTCTTGGGCGTTTTCGTTTGAGAACAGTGCGTCATTGACGATTCGAATGACGGCGCGACTAGCTCGACAAGATCCGCAGCGTTAACTTGTGGGCCTTCGAGCTCGGATGCAGGTCTGCGAGAGACACCCGCGTGTGTGAAAGCTTTCCGTTGATGTCTGGCTAAGTACATTGGTCTTTTGACGTCGCAACCCACGTCGTCAAGCTCGTGGGTGGACGGGCTTTGCTTCATTCGTCACTGCTGCTGCGTTTCATGCTGCACTCTGGGGCTGCTAGCCCAGATATTCGGTGCACTGCACACGGGTTCGAATTTTCAAGGGCGTGATCCGATTGATCGCTGCCTCAACGATCTTGATCTTGAAGGTGAAGGTCTTACGGACAGCAAAACCTTAATCAAGTCTGAAGCAAGCTTTAACCAAAGTGGCCGCATCCTCTGGCAAGGCACTCGGACCCTTCGCAGTCGCAGCCGAAGTCCGCGCAGACTTCCTCTGCTCATTTCGGAATTCACTTCCTCCCGCTCAAGCCTCGACTCGACTCGACTTGCCTCGCTTCGCTCCACCTCGGCTCTCCGTCCGCAGTACCAACCTTCAACCTTCAAGCTCTGTCCACCGTCCGACTACGATGCGTCTTCTCTCCGGTTTGGGTCTCCTGCTGCTCAGCGCCAACCAAGCCTCGGCCGCCGTCGTCCGCTACGACTGGAACATCACGACGCTCAACACGACCATCTTCGACGGCGTGCGGGGCGCTCTGGGCTACGGCATCAACAACGAGCCGTGCGACCAGCACCCGATCTCGGTGACCTTCGGCGACGAGGTCGAGGTCCACGTGACCAACAAGCTCACGGAGCAGACGTGCATCCACTGGCACGGGCTGCGGCAGTTCGGCACGCAGGAGATGGACGGCGTCTCGGGCATCACGCAGTGCCAAATCCAGCCCAACGTGACGGCCGTCTACCGGTTCAAACCCGACAAGTGCGGCACCTTCTGGTACCACGGCCACGAGGAAGTGCAGTACGCCTACGGACTGCGCGGGCCCCTGATCGTCCACTGCCCCGCCAAGCTGCGGCAGAGCTGGGAGAAGGACGTGTACAAGGAGTACACGGTGCTGCTCGCCGACTGGTATCACGACCTGCCCGTGGGCGCCCCCATTTGGGACACCGTGCTGATTAACAACGTCGGCCGCTATAACTGCACCGTGGCCGAAGCCAACGGCCTGGAGTGCGGCCCTGGCCGTCCGCTGCCTCGGTTCCAGTTCGTGCCCGGCAAGAAGTACTTGCTGCGTCTGATCAACACGTCGGCCATGGCTGCGTTCAAGGTGTCCATCGACGGGCACACGTTCCAGGTGGTCGCCAGCGATACCGACTACCTCAAGCCGTCCACGCTCGTCAACTCGGTGACCATCAACGTGGCTCAGCGCTACGACATCCTGGTGACGGCCAAGTCCTCCGCGTCCCAAGGCCAGAGCCAAGTCGGCCAGAAGAAGACGGCGGCGCTCGGCTCCTTCTGGCTGCGCGTGGACTCGCAGTTCGGCGTCCCATGGACGGCGCGCGAGGCCGACCAAGTGCCCGAGGGCTTTAACCCCAACGCCCTCGCCATCATCGACTATCAGAGCGGAGCGACTGCGGACCCGACGACGTCCAGGTGGGCGACGGAGGTGTCGATCCACGAGTTCGACTACACCCCGGTGGTGCCTGTGAAGCTCCCGACTAAGCCCGACCAGCGCATCGTCGTGGAGTTCACGCTCGGCGTCCTCCCTCCCAACCCGGCGGCCTTCCGTGGCTACATTTCACTCGACGGCGGCGACTTCAGCACGCTCGAGATCCCTCCCAAGCCGCCTCTCTTCACGATCGCTGCAGGCGCCAAGACTGAGGACCTCCCCACCACCGCCAACGCCATCAAGCTCAAGCACAACGACCACGTCGAGGTCGTCGTGGTGAACGAGACGCCCGACCAGCATCCGTTCCACCTGCACGCGCACTCGCCCTGGATCGTCGGCAGCGGCCGCGCTTCGCGTGACGCGATCATCGCCGGCAACTTGACGGCTTTGAGACTCGACGACCCCATGCAGCACGACGTCTTCACGGTGCCCGAGTGCTCGACCGACGCGGACGGCGCGTGCACGGACCTGGGCTACGTCGTGTTCCGCATGAAGGCCGACAACCCGGGCGTCTGGATCATGCACTGCCACATTGACTGGCACTTCGTGCTGGGCCTGGGCATGCTGTTCGTCGAGGCCGAGGAGGTGCTCCACGACGAAGGTCTTGCCGCCTTCTCGCCCAACATGCTGCTCAGCGTGTGCAGTGGCAACTTCACCCTGTAAGGAAGGGGTCAACGACGGAGCTGGCTGTGTTGAGCTGAGTGACCAGTAAGTGAGTGAGTGAGTGAGTTGCCTGCTACTAACTATGATACGTACTTGTATTAGCGGGGGAGGATGTCCTGGTAGGTTGGCGTAGTGGCCCCCCCCCCCCCTCAATGTCCGTAGACTAATGGTGCAATAGTGACGGATTTTGCATGTTCCAAGACGCCTACACTTCGTGCTTCTGCAGCATCTTGCTGAACTCCTCCAGGTCGATCTTGCCGTCGCCGTTGCGGTCCATCTGGTACACGAGCTCGCGCACGTCGTCGTGGTCGAGCGCCTGGCCCAGCGTCTTGAAGATGGAGACGAACTCATCCACGGAAATGGTGCCGCTGCCGTCCGTGTCTACCATGCGGAAGATCTCCTCGACCAGCTCCTCCTTGGAGTGGCGGCTCTCCTGGATCCTCGCGCTGCACCACTTGTAAAAGGCCTCGAACGTGATCTCCTGCGGACCTTCCACCATGGCCCCCTCTGGGCGGAGGCTTTCGTCGTCGCTGTCTAGTTCCTCCGCCACGATGTCCGTCATCAGCCGGTTGAGCTGCATATCGTCCAGGTCGTGCGTAATGGCAAGCAGCAAGCTTGCCATCTCCTCCCGCGACACGGAACCCGAGCCGTCCACGTCGAACAGGCAGAAAATGGTGTGGATCTCACGCCGCTCCATCTCCCGACGGTACGCGTCTCCACGCTTCTCTCTGGGTGAAGTGTACGCTGCTAGTGGAGACAGTGGGGGTTCCATTGCGACTGTGGCTCTCGGCGACAGCTTCAGTGGTGGGGGCACGATTTGGATGGACCGCAGCACTCCAGCGGTAACAGTGGGGTCCAGCTGTGACGATGAGCGACGACGCGCAGCCTTGAAGCTGGCGCTGGCGTCGATCGGCATGATGCTGGAGCGTCGTCGACTCGGGGCTGGCATGGGCACTTCAGGCATCAACTCGATGTTGAGCTTGAGCTGCTGGCTGTTCCGCCGCGCGTTCTCGCGTAGATGGATCTTCATCTCGGCGACGAAGCGAAGAGTCCGCAGCGTTTGCCGCGCGCGCAACAGTCGCGTCACTTGGACGATGACGCGAGACACCTTCATGTGCTCCACGTTGAACGCCAGCAGACCGTCACGAGCGATTCGCGTGGACATGAAGGGCACGGCGAAGCTTGGGATCAGGAAAAAGAAACACAGCAGAGCGGCGAAGGCTGGGTGGTCGCCGAACAACTCGGAGATCTGATAAGTCTCACGCAGCAAGAAAGTCGAAAGGTGCAGCGCTGTGAGCAGGAACACCATGCGCGTGGAGAACAGCGCAAGTAGGACACCGTTCCCCCATCCGGCGCCGATCAAACTCCGCTGGAGAACTTTCAGCTCCTTCTCAGAGAGGTCGCGCCCACCGTTGGGCAACAGCTCAACGTAGGGCGGAGCCCAGCCGTGGGAATCATCATAGTCTCGGCCGACTTCCTCTGAGTCCGCCAGCAGCCAAGTCTTCTCGGTAGACTGTTGTCGCGAAATCGGAGGTAACCCGTGCTGAGTACGCCACACGCTTTTGTGCCGCAGTCTCTCAGCGTCCGTCTGAAGCCTCGGAGGCGTTAGCAAGCACCGCATCGAGTTCACGCGGCGATACACAAAGTCGTTCAGCGCAATCAACGAAAAGCCCGAGGCGAGCAAGATCGCCACCTCCCCGCGCGGGCCAGTGTGCCAGCACAAGCACAGAATGACCACAAGGACGACGTCGAGCGCGATCCACGTGGCCATATCGATCTGGATAAGCCGCCCCATGACCTCGCCAGAGATGATCGAAAGATACTCGTTGAACGGGAACCGCGTGTCATCGCTCTGAAGCTGGAACTCCTTGGCCAACTGCCGTGCGGTCTCTTTGTCTGGATGGTTAGAACGGTAGTCCATAAATCGACGACGAAGCGCCAAGTAGACCACTTCACGCTCCGTTTTCCTTGCCGCAGCAGCTCGGTGCCACGAGAAGCGGTCAAGCCACGACTTTGGCGGCTCGGTAGCCAACGCGTATTCAGATAACACTGACGGAATGTCGGCACAACTGCGCTCAAACTCTCTCCACTCGTGCTGCACGTTCATGCCCAGACGTAGCAACCCGAGACATAAGATCAGGAAGATGACGATGAAGAAGAACAGAGCCATGTGCAGCCTCTCAATGATCTCCTGCAGCTCCGCGCTGCCTCCCAAGACGTTCCGCGAGAGCCACGGCAAGACTTGGATCTTGGTCACGACGAATAGTAGCAGACCGATGAAGCCCAGCGTCGTGAGCTCGCTGAAGACCGTGTTGACGAAGGGCATGTTGAGCTCGTCCGTGTGCTCCCTCAGCTGCACCGTCGAGATCTCGAACAAGATGGAGATGGCCACCAACGTCGAGATGGTCACAGCAGCCACGATGGCCACGCGACCGCCCTCTGCTTCGAGCTCCTCTACCACCTTCTCTCCCCCTGCTTCGACCCCTTCGTGCTCTTGAGGCCCGGCAGGCCCAAAGCCACCTTCCGACGTCGCAGGAGTCGACTTCTCGGTCACTTGGGCAAGCACCAAGGCGAACAGCAGTGCCGCAAAGCCGAGGGCACGCAGTGCCGCCCTCCGCCACGATCGACGCGAGATGGTCGTCATCTTTGGGCGAGGATTGGCGAATGACTCCACAAGATCCAAGATCTCGAAGGAGGGTCTCTTTGACACGGATCGCGCCCCTTCATGGTGCATACAAACTACAAGATATCGGCAGTTGGAAACGTGTGGTCAGGAGAGCTTCAATTCAGTGTCAAGTTGAAGCTGTCTCTGACAAGCAATTGTATCGAGGCCGAGCTGACTGACGTCTGCTTACAGCTGCGGGTAGACGGACTTGGGGCCGATGACTCCGCAAGTGCCAGAGCTGCCGGTGCCAGACCCGCGCTTGAGGCGAATGAAGCCGGCCTCGCCCCACTGGGTGCCCCACGAGTTCTTGATCTTGAAGTAGGGCGTCGAGCCGTCGCTGCCTCCCCCGTAGCCCACCGCCAGCACAGCGTGATCCAGATCCGTCGACGTGCAGGAGGAGACGACGCCGCCCTTGTACTGCTTCCACGTGGGGTTGCCAGCCGCGACACCGACGGCCACGGGACGGCCGCTGATCGCTTGAATCAGGCCACTCTCGGACTCAGGAACAGACACCACCTTGCGGATGGCCACGGCCTCGGGCTTGCACGATGTCTTCTGGCAAATATCGCGATCGCCCGAGTCGCCAGACACGTACGGGTAGGCATCTTCAGTGCAGACACCGCCGGAGCGCTGGATAAACTCGAGCGCATCACCCGGGAAGCCTCCTTGGCAGGCGTACGAAGCCGTGTCGCAGTCCAGCACTTGCTGCTCCGACAGCGTCGTAAGATCACCACCGGAGATACACACGGCGCTCTCGAGCGAAGCGATAGCAGCGAACGCCCAGCATGAGCCGCATTGCCCCTGGTTCTTCACCGCAGCGACGCATCCCGACTTGGTCCAGTCCTTCTCCGTACTGGGCGCCTCCGTCGAGTTGGAAGCCACATCAGCAGAGGCCGTAGCCGTCAGGAGACCAGATCCGCGTTGGTAGGAAGCCCCCACGAACTTCACGAACTCGTCTTCCGTCATGAGCGAGAACGGGGTGTCGGTGGAGAAGACAGCCTCGGGGTTCGTCGCTTGAGCCTCCTCGATCATCAGCTTGGTCAAGAAGAATCGACGCAGCTCCTCGTCCTCTGCTCCACCAGCAGACTTCGAAGACGTGGATGGCATGAAGCCATGCTGCTTGGCGAACGCTCCGGCGTCACTCTGCTTCCACTGGCTCAGCTCGGACTCGATGGCGGCCTTCTCTTGGAGGAACTCGGCCATTCGGTCGGTCGGGACGGCAGGGACAGCGGCGTGCGTGGCAGTCACGAGAGCAGCTAGAGCGAGGAGAAGAGCGATCTTCATGGTCACGAGCAGGAAGCTGGGGGGGGGGGAGATGGTGTTGCTGGAAGTGAGCAAATTCGCAAGTGAGAATGAGCTGCAGCACTGCAGCTTCGACCTCGGCGGGCCAAACACTGGAGTGGCCAACGCTGTGCCACACAGAAGTATTGCACGACGTCCCGGTGGACAACAACATCTTCGACGTCAACCGTGTCAGCAGCGTTGCATCAAAGCGGCCAGTACCCTGGATTTATCGTGCTCGTTCTCAGATTGGGCAAGACATAGAGGTTGCAGCTTCAATCCTCCTGTATCTCGTTCTGGTTGGCTTGGGTTGGATGGCTTGGTCGACAGAATAAATTCCGCGCAAGTGTGTTGCCTCGTTTTTTCGTTGAAGTCGCAGGTGTACTGGAACTGCTGATAGTTTCGCTTCCCCCACCAGGCTTTGAGTAGTATTTCCGGTAAAACACATTCTTGGAGCAGTAGTGGATCGATGCAGAGCCTACGATCTGGCTCAGGAGTGCGAACACCAGGCCTCGAGCCTTGTCAGGCACAACCTCATTCTCGTCTCCCTCGCGCCCAGCCTCCCGTGGGCCCGCCCTCTTTCGGTGCGCTAGCACGTGACCAAACATCCAGGCTTCGCCAACAGCATCTCGGCAGATAGTAGAAACCTTGAGATACAAAACGGATGACAGCGGGTCCGGGAGTATGACTTTATCTTTACCCTTGCGCTTTGGCGGAGCCCCGAGCGAGTAAACGCCCCAAATATTCACTGCAGGACAAAACTCTTCATCATCGTCGCGAAAGATCATGAACTCTTCGTCTTCGGAAGCCTCTAGCGGAATTTCGGCTTCGATTCGAAGCGGTCCGTTGCCAGGATCAATTTGCTTGCGCACTGCCATAGCTGAGTACAGTCGGAACGGGAACGCTGGTCTTCGTTGCTGCAGAAAGCAGGCAGTGCACAGCTGGACGGGTTTGTCGTGGACTGCGCAGGCCTTTGGATTGGTAAGCGTGGCGGCTGCCAGGCCCAGCTTGGCTTCTAAGTTTCGGCACACGACGTACGTACCGAGCCAGATTGCGCTTCGACTGATAGTTGAGCGCTTAGTCGTAACCTCTTCAGTCAGTGCAGGTAGGGGAGACTTCGTTGTACAGGAGCTACCGGATTCATAGTCGTCGTCGATACCATGCTCGCGATGATGGTGCCTAGCATTAACATGATTAATACATTGCAATCTTCTATAATGGTGAGCGTGTATACCTGTTGAGCTCTCGCTGTGAACGAAACTGAAGCTTTTCACACCCTCGATGACTGCATCCGAAGTAGCCAATCATTCGCTGGTGCTCCGCTTCAGTCCATGGAGCTCCTTGCGGCCAATACGAATGCAAGTATTGATCCACCAAGGGGTTGGCACTGGCAAGGCGCTCGCGACCCTCGTGCGATTTTGACTGGTGTAATCGCGCCACCTTCCTTGATCTACAAGTAGAGCATAAGTATAGTTAACTAAGTGCCACGCAGAGTTCAAAGTGAGATTGTTTACGTACGAGAAACATTTCCCGCAAGCAGGATGGCCGCAGACATAAGCATGGGCCTGTCGAGAGGCGATATGAATAATCTGTTCGCGTCTTGCCTCTCGAGGGATAGTCTATGCATTCAGTAGCTTGTTAGAATTGAGCCCACACCAAATTCCCAGCACATGTACGCACCTTCAGCTCGTAGATAAGACGTTGCATGTCCTGTAAGTTTTGAGGAGTTGGGTCTTCTCGAAACAGCATCATATCGTCTACTGTAGACCTGCTACCAGGTCCAGGGGCTGCCTCCCTCTGCACTGGTGTCGTCTCGGGTCTAGTGGTTTCCGCGGTGGCCACCTCCTTCTTCTCGGGTTTGCTGCTGTCTGTGTATGGATCGGCTTGTTTCGAGTCGTGCTCGAACCCTAGCTTCATCATTCGTTCCTCGATAACCTGCGCACGCTCAGGCATCGGGTGAATCGCAGCTACCTCTTCTCGAGCTCGGTCGCCACCAAACTCTGGATGGAGCATTGACAAGACCTTCTGGGTTGTCGCTGGCGCTGCTTCCTTGATGGTGCGTGTGCCGTATCGAATTTGGCTGATCACTTCGAGCCACTTCATCTTCAGCAACTTCACGTTCCTAAAAACAAAATCTACGAACTCGCGCTGATCGTACAGCAGGTCGTGCCCTTCCCTGCAGTCTCGCAGCCGTTCCGCAATGGCATCTACGCATGTCATCGCACTCTCACCTTCCCCGTTTACCGATGTTGTAGAGGTATTACGTTTGCTGAGTTCAATTTCGCGTCGAAGCCCATCGATCGCGGCTTGAATAACTTCACCAGCATTTTGCTTCGCCGTGAGCTCTGTTGAAACAAGGGCGATATGCCGAAGCCGCGCAACGTCCACGCGATATTCAACACTCTCCTCAAGGCGCCCGTAAGAATTTCGTAGAGGCTACAATACAACAACAAATTGGGGAGGGAGGTTAGTGAATGGATACGCCTCAAGCAGGCCATAAAATCACACCAGAATATGGATTTACTTTAATGTACTCGACGTCGAATGTAGCCGATAGTCGTTGGTTCACCCCACCCTCCTTGTGAATTGCCGTGATTTTTGCTCGGCGTAGAGTTGTTTTGCCCTCCACTTTACCAACCACATCCACAAGACAGCCAAGTGGGAAAATTGCCTTCGATACTGGCATCGACTGCTCGAGCGGATCTCGAATGCTCGCGATGTGTCTTCTGAGTGCCTTTGTTGCGATCTCAGCCTCTCTAGCATCGCGTCGAGCCTCCTCCGCTCTCAGCCACTCTTGCTCCTCTTTCAGCTGTCTCGCGTATATCTCCTCCTTTGCGAGACTCCAGCCACGCTTTCCGTCACGATCGCTGATCAGGTCCAGGATGCACTGATACTTGTACGCATGTCCTCGGTTCGGCACGGGCTCGTTGGCAATAGGTCGCATGTGCTGCCTTCTATCCTTGTGGTAAGCGAAAGAAGGAAGCACGAACCCGTAGCGCTGATGGCCCACCGTCATGGTGTCACTAAGTTGTCCGCTGGAATCCGTCGGCGTGATGCCTAGCCACTCCCATCGCTTCAACATTGCAGCCCAGCACTCATTCGCTTCCAGCCGCCCGAGATGTCCTCTGAACACGCGCTGAATCGCCAAGGCGCCATACTGAGCTCGTATTTTCCAGCTCGGGTACGAGTAGGACCTTGAAGGCTGTGGCTCCAGAACAACTTTGCCGTATTGGAAGCCGCTGCGTGGATTGACAAAGTTCCTGACGAAGTGCAAAGCTGGATCCCCACGCCAAAAGTGTCTCGTCAGCCAACCACGGACTCGCTTCTGAATCATTTGCGCGCTTCCGTAGCGCTTCTTGATGATCATATAGCGGTGGTATCGCCTCCATTGGCGCTGGATCTTGACGGTCCCCAGCAAGTTGCGAAGGCGTTCAGCGACTTCCTGCTCGTGCATTTCTTGACGCCGCTTCCACCGCACAATGTGCGCGCGTAGCACTCGGCGCGCACGAAGCCGCCTGAAGGTGTTCATCTGCTTTTCCATCTCGAGGTAATTGGCGTCGGCTTGACGTTGAAGCGCCTGCATGTACGCAATCTCCTCCCTGAAGGCCCGGGCAAGAAGGCGCTGGCGGTACTGTCGGTAGTTGCGCTGGAGACGAATAGCAGCTAAGAGCTCTCGGAAGTGTTTGCGCTCCAAAGCGCCACGCAGAAGGCGCTGGATGTGCGGAACAGCATTGTGGACATTCTCGTGCTCGTGTTCAAACCGCCGCCGCCCCAAGAAACCTCGCACGAATCGCTGAAGCACTCGACACGCCTTCATCCGATCCATTGCCGCCTGCTCATAAAGTAGCAGGCGTACTCGTCGGCGAGCACGGTTGCCTCGAAAGATTCGCTGGATGCGAGTAGCTACAACCTCTGCTCTTCGCAAGAACTGCACCCGCCAAATCACGTCCTTCACGACCACTGACACAGGGTTGGGATGGTTTAGAACCTCACGAATGACTGTCTCCACGAGCACGCGCACCTTCTTGACAATCTTGTCCAATGGGGATCGCGGTGAGCGGGATGGCAATATCACAACAGCGTGGGTTGTCTCCATGGGCAAGTTAGGACTATCTCTTGGGTCAAATGCTGGTGGTGGCGGATACTTCGGAGCTAGAGGATGCCGCACCAGCGGGATCACTACTTCCTCCTTCCTGCACTCTTTGATGCCTGGCACATCGAAGTCGGAATCGATCAGCAAGACGCCCCCACGCTCTTCAAGGCTTAGCGTGCTCAGATGCGCCTCCAAGTGGTTGCGGCACATGCCGTATCGATTCTTGCGGTCGATCAAAGGACACGCCTGCTCCTTCTTCCCCTTGTTCCCGTACTCTTGGATGCATCGCGGAGCATGGAAACCACAGAAGGGGAGATACGACCCACGCAGCACGGGGTGCATCAGTACGCGGTTGCTGCATCGCCACACGTAGTTGACCTCCGAGTGCTCTTTTTGCCACGTGCACACACTTGTTGGTCCCAGCTTTCGTCCTGCCTCACCATCCAGCGACGACTTTGCGCCAGGTAACTTCAACATCGCCTCTCGCTTCAGCTCCTTGCGAGCACTCGTCTCAGAGACGCCAGGGATTTTCAGTGCGCCGATCCTTGGAGGTACCTTTTGCAGAGTAGCGCGAAGCGTTCCGGCGGTGACCTCGTAACAGGACAAGCACATGCCGAACTCGTTGGGTATCTCAATCACCCTTGACTTCTCCATCAGATGGTCATCGTATCGGCACTCTTTGGCGTGCCAGAGACAAAAGCGTTTGCTGGCAGCCAGTGGTGCAGTTGACGGTGTCTCCTGCAGATCCGTCTTCTTCTTTTTCTCTTGAGGGGGGAGGTTGGTGCAGTGGTGCATCTTACCGCCGATCCGCTCTCTAAATCATAGGCAGATACTAGTTAGCTACGGTTCAACAGACCCGCAAAATGGAGCAGTCTTACCTCCAGGAGCACCGGTTGTCTTGGGGGTTGCTTGGCCCAAGCAGCTGCCCACCGTGCTGATCGACGTGGATGGCGCTACTCATTTCCTCCTCCATTGCGGCCTGGACATCCACAAACCGCGCCTTCAGAGACGACTGCACCTCCTCCTTGTCGAACCTGCTCTTGATCGCTGCATTTGCGTTCGCGACGCTCTCCTTCCAGACCCACTTCCCCTCCTCGACTGCTTTCTTCTTCCTGGCGTTCCACTTTGACAGGGACGTGTCTTCATCGCCGTAGGAGTCAAGAGCGTTTCGAAGCATGCGCTTCCCTTTTGTCTTCGCGCGCGCAGTAGCCAACGCGGTCGACATGTTGGGCCCACGGTTGATCCACTAGCACGAGAAGGGGCTACCTGCCATCGAGAGGAATCGCGCTCTTGAAGCGCCGCCTTGGATCCAGTCCAAATATATGGCCATCAGCTCAATTCAAACTCATCAGGTACTACACTGTACGAGTGCCCCGGGGCTGCTGTTTGTCTCGCCAATGGTTCCTCTACGCCGGGAACACGTGACGCCATCGAAGCAGAAGTAGCTGCAGATGGGCTCGTCCTTCGGCGAGATGGCCTTGATGACCTCCTGGCCCAGGATTCCCGCCTCGATGGCGCAGACCGGCACGAGATCCGTGTCCGCGACGCGCACCAGCGCCCTGCCAACAAACACGAACATTGCTATCAGCTTACGACGAGCGTATCGGCAATGCTCCCTGCACCAACTGCAGTTGGTCAGGGTGTCATACAAATGGCTACATCGAACCAAAAACGTACCCATTTTTTATTTCCGCCAATCACAGGTCTGCATATGACTGGCCACTGCAACATTGCGACACCAGCTCGAGTCGCTCTCTCCATCCCCTCCACACCTCCACTCGAACCATGGCTCGTCAGCACCGGAAGAAGGCGCGTGCACACGGCGTGGCGGCGCGCTCCAAGGCCTCCTCGAGCCAGCAGAAGCAGCAGCCGCAGGCGCCCGCGGACTCTCTCAGCGCCGCCGCCGTGGCCGCCACCTTCGGCGCGGAGCCTGAAGACGACGCCAACGCCAACGACGACAACGAAGAGAACGATGACGACGCGGACGTGGCCGGCGACGGGCAGAGCTTGAGCCGCGGCCAGCGCAAGCGCCTGAAGCGCCGCGCCGCCTTCATGCGCAAGATGGGCATGGTGGCCAAGGTGGCCCAGGAGCAGCAGACGCAGGCCAAGAAGAGCGAGAGCGGCGTGTTCGCCGACCTGGAGGAGCTGCAGAGCTCGCTGTTCCAGGAGGACGACGACCAGAAGAAGAAGACGAAGAACAAGGCCCAGACCAAGAAGAAGGCCCTGAGCGGCCGCCAGCGCCAGAAGCTGGCGGTGCGTGAGCTGGGCCAGCTCAAGGCCGTGCAGACCCACTCGAGCTTCAAGAGCGACCCGTTCGCGGCCATCCAGGCCCACCTGCAGAACACGGTGGTGCAGGCGAACCAGGAGCTGCTGAACAAGACCAACGCCGCCTCGGCCAAGAGGGCGGGCGGCAACAACAAGATGGACGTCGAAGCTTGATACCCCGGCGTAGGATATAGACTTTTGTGTTCAGGTGGAACAAGTCTTCAGCAGTGCCCACTACAATAGAATTTTATGTTTTTTACATTCATGTAGCCCACAAGAACGCGATGTTGTATGCACACGTACAAATGATACTGACGCGTCCAGTTAAGTCTGCCACCCCCAGGAATCGCTCAGTGCCGTGGATCCAAATCCGAATATATGACCACCATGAATACAACTTCAAACTCACCAAATACTTGCATTTTCCTTTGAGCGCTTTGGCTCCGGAGCTGCTATATTGTTCACCAAGTTAGTGCCTCTAACCAATACGGCGCACCGTACCCGTGACGCCGTCGAAGCAAAAGTAGTTGCAGATGGGCTCGTCCTTCTGCGAGATAGCCTTGATGACCTCCTGGCCCAGGATTCCGGCGACGATAGCGCAGACCGGCACAAGATCTGCGTCCGCAACGCGCACCAACGCCCTGCAAACAGACACAGCCATTGCTATCAGTTCACGAGCCCATCGGAAATAAACGTAGGGCATTCCCAACGTACTGCAGCTCGTTGGGGGTCAGATAGTCTTCGCTCAGTCCATTGGCCGCGAACTGCTCCCTCGCGTACTGGATAAAGTCCACCTCGTGGTTGTTCGTGATCACGCCCTTCTGGCTCTTGTACCCCTGCAGCACTGCACACAGTAGTCATCAGACACATTCAGCACCAACTACTATAACTCACTCCACTTTTCATGCAACACTCACGTTGGTTCTTGACGAAGACTTGGGGCAGCTGCGGCGCGCGCTTGCGGGCGCTCTGCAGCGAGCTCCACTGCACCTTCTGGGCCTGCTCTAGCGTCGGGAAATGGACGATCACGGGCTCGCTGGGCGTCGCGTCGGCCCCCACGGCGCTACGGCGAAACGTGTGCGCGCCCAGGTCAGCGAACACGATCCCGTCAAAACCGAAGCTGCGCGCGGCGAAGAAGGCCGTGCCTGCGGCGCGGCACAGTGCGTCCACGCGCAGCTCCGTCTTGAGGTCGGCGCCCACGAGGCACACGACCGTGAACTGCGTGAAGAACTCATCCGGTAACTCGGCCAGCGGCTTGGTCTCGCTCGAGACTTGCACCAGCGGGTTGAGCTCCTGCACGCGCGGCAGGCAGGCCTCGGCGCGCTGCAGTCAAAGCGTCGTAGCGTCAGATTTGGGTCAATTGAAGCAAGAATTAAGAGTGAGAGGGGTCTTTTGGCACGCACGTTGGAGCCCACGTCCGCCTCCGAGAGGAAGAACTGGGAGGCGGCCGCCGCCGACGTCGCGCGCTGCGTGTCGTGCAGCGTGACGCCCATGCCGGCCAGCACAAGGTTCTTCACGAGCTCCGAGCCCAGCGCGCTGAGCCCGCTTACCAGCACGCGCGAGCTCTGCAGCCGCTTCTGCGCCTCGACGCCCCACAGACGCATCTGCCGGTCGTACACGGCCGCCTCCGCCGCGCTGAACGTCGTCGCCTGCTGCTCCTCCGCCATGACCTCGATGATCCGTGCGCAATTCATACTTAAGTAATTCATTATATTAAATCATGTGATTGGTTGAAAATGTAGCGTGATTTGACTGGTCATTGGGCGTCTATTAGACCAATAGTATTGGTTGTGCAAGTTGAAGCTAACGTTGTCTAAGTAAGTCTAGTTGACGGCAATGGAGGTGCCGTTGTTGCCCGGGTGGAACTTGCTGTTGGCGCCGCAGACGCTGAGGATCGTGTTGGAGAAGGCGCTGACGCCCTTCGTCTGCAGCTCCTCCTCGCCCTCCACGAGGATCATGGAGAGGCCGGCCTCGAGGTGCCAGTCGATGTGGCAGTGGAAGATCCACACGCCCGGGTTGTCAGCGTTGAAGCGCAGCACGAGGTAGCCGGCGTCCAGGCAGCCGCCGTTGCCGTCGGACGTGCAGGGCGGCACCGTGTACACGTCGCGCGTCATGGGGTTCAGCAGCTTGAGCGGGGCCGGCAGCTGGTTCTTGCGGATCTGGTCGATGGACGCCACGCCGCTGCCCACGACCCACGGCGAGTGCGTGTGCATGTGGAACGGGTGCTGCTCGTCCTTGACGTTCACGAGCACGACCTCGATGTGCTTGCCGAACTCGATCTTGCGCGCGTTGGCCTCCACCGGCAGCTGCTCCGTCTTCATGCCGGCGGCGATCGAGAAGAGCGGCGGCTCCTCCGGGTACATGAAGTGGTGGTACTCACCGCCGTCGATGGCGAAGTGGCCCTTGCCGTCCTGCATCTTGAACTCGAACACGGCGCGGTCCGAGGCGGTCTCCGGCAGCGCGATAGGCACGAGAGGCATGAAGTCGAACTCGTTCACAGTCGTCAGGTTGGCCTGCTTGGTGGTCGTCGGCTCGGCCTCGCTCTCCGATCCGTACGAGATGATGGCCAGACCTTCGTACGTGTAGCCCTCGCCAGCGATCGCAGCCGTTCCGCGCGTCCAGGGAAGGCCGTGGAGGCCGTTCGCGCGCATCCAGAAGGCCGTCTTCTGGTTCTGGCCGGCCGCGGCCTTGGCCTGCACCACGATGTCGTAGCGCTGGCCGGCGTTGAGAGTGACCGAGTTGATGAACTTCGAGGGCTGGAGGTGGTCACCGTCGGCGGCGACGACCTGGAACTCGTGGTCGTCGATGCTGAAGACGATCGGGGACAGCGCGGCCATGTTGATGAGACGCAGCAGGTACTTGTTGCCAGGCACGAAGTTGAACTTGGACAGGGTCTGCTCCTCGGTGCACCCGGTGAAGTTGTGGTGCGCGGCGGCGATGCAGTTGTAGCGGCCACGGTTGTTGATCAGGATGTTGTCCCACATGCGCGTAGGCTGCGGCGGGCGGTGGTAGAGATCCGCCATATGGATCACGAACTCCCCATCGATGTCCTTTTCCCAGTCCTGTCGTTCATTCGCAGGGGCGTGAACAACCAGCGGCCCGCGCAGACCGTACGCGTACTGGGCCATGTGATGGCTGTGCCACCAGAACGTGCCGGCCTTATCGGGCGTGAAGCGGTAGACCGCAGTGCTGTTGGGACTGATGTGGCACTGCGTGATTTCCGACGTGCCGTCCATTTCTTGGGTGCCGAGCTGCTTGAGGCCGTGCCAGTGGAGGCACGTGGGCTCGTCGAGCTCATTGGTGACGCGCACCTCGACGTCTTGGCCAAGCTCCACGTCGATGACGGCCTGGTCCGCAGGCTTGTCATTGATTCCGAGCGAGTGGATGAAGACGCCGTCGTACTCGACGTTGAGGTTCGTGACCCGCCAGTCGTAGGTGACGAGGTCGGCGGCGCTGGAGCCGAGGTGGAGCGCGAGCAAGGCAGCCGTGGCAGCGGTCAGTTGAGCGGCTCGCATGACTTGTGGACCCTACTGCGAGTGGGGTGGGGTATCCGCTGTCGACGGTGGAGTGCAAAATGCAGAATGAGGATCGACTCGAGTGGTAAGGCCAGCAGCTTGCTGGAGCAGCGGAGCTCTCGTCGCCAGGGAAAATCGGACTGGCTCATGTTACCCCGCTGAAGTTACACTCGAAATATGCAGCGCTTGGGTGGATCTCAACTGGGATTGGAGTGCCGTGCTGAAGCTGGCACCGAACTTCAGCCGACAATTAGATATCATCTGGAAGCAACAGAGCCAAGCCGTCGTAGCTCCGTACATGTACACCCCTGCAAAGCGATCTTGAGATCGGCTGCTTATGCATGAATATAGTGGTCTTTCCGACTGATAACTTATGGCTGATCTCCACCTGAATTACAGCCTATCATTTTGCCTGGTGTGGATATTTTATCCAATGCAATACGTTAGGGTTAGGTGAACGCGTTCCGACACTTTCCGACAAATATTTGTCGGAAGGCTGGCCTAAATATGTATATGTGCTTACAAAAGTCAAGTAGCAAACATATTTTTCAAATATTTTTGCCATTCTGACAAGTAGGATGTATCCTAAAGTAGGACGGGAGGTTTGAGTTCAAAAGGTTTGATTGGTCATCTGTCATCTCAAGATTCGGAACATGGCGACCAAGTGACCAAGGAGGGCTGCGACGCGTGTGGCGGCACGCGTCGCAGGCGCGGCCAAGGGCACGATCGTGACCACGACGGCAAGCGGGGAAGTGGGGCTCTCGCGCAACGCCGTCACCACGGCGCACGCGTTCGAGGACATTCGGCAGCATGACGTCTCAAGCACCCGTCGTGGGCTGGAGCATGCCGTGCCTTTGAGGCCGCGGCGCGCTTCGCGAAGGTGGTGCGCGTGCACGCGGCGAGCAGCACCGTGGAGCTGCTGCACGAGGGAACTACATCGGCGAGAACTGCGCGACGGCGAGATGATCAAGAGCGAGTAGAGCTGAAGAAGGCTGCCTGGTGAGCGGATGCGCTGTGCACCAAGGGCAGCTCGGCCAGCAGGTCAGCTGCGGTGGCGGCCAACAACAAGGTCACCGACACAGCGTCCACAACTCCGCCTCCGTCGAGGGCTACTACTCCTGAGGCTTCGGCAAGTCCTACTGCTCGTGCGGCTGTCATGCGTCCCAAGATCGTCGCCGTCAATTGCAAGGTGGTCCTCGTGACCGTGGACACGACCGGTAGCGAGACGACCAAGGCCAAGGGCAAGAAGGTGGGCGGGTGTGCGTGGTTACAGGACCGCACGTTGAGCAAGTTAAAAAAGCGGGGCGTCTGTCAGGCTACATGCAGCAAGTGGCCCACCAACGCCGGTGAAAGCGGCGGACCCGTGCTGGGTTTCCACATGCGCGTCACTGCCACGGATAAGATGCAGCCCAAGGCCCCAGCAACACCGTCATGACCTCGCTGGTGGGCCCGCGTTCGAGGCTGGTGAATTCGAATGAGATGGACAGGAGTGGCAGGACGTTAGACTACTCGTGCTGCAACAACCGGCATGATTGCCGAGGTACAGCATCTTAGAAGGTGACGGACTGCACTAATATATGTAACCATTCTTAGACTCTTTGATTTCTTCTACTACACTTAGTATTAGCTGCTTGTGCTTGTGTTCAACACCATCGCCAATTTCACCGCTGTTGTATTTTGGAGAGAACAACCTACATTTGGTTAATAATTTAGGTATGTGTCCTATTTGTCGGAATATGTAGGGATGTCGGAACGGCCGCGATATGGTAGAGGTGGTGAGAGAGTCCACTTTGTAAACTCGCCACGTCCAAGCACAGCGTACATTCCGTCGGTGCAGCCTGCACCGACGGAATCTTGTGCAAAAAGTGGGTTGTGACGGACTTTTGTCGCTGAAAGGCTGGCAAAGCCACGACACTGTTGGATCACGAGTCTTTATCTGGCGTACAGAAGGGGCCGTCAACACTAAAATATGTGTACATGTACAGACCCTCGAGCACCCACATGGACATTATGCGGTGCTTGAATTGAGCTAGTCCACGCTAACGCCACTATTGATAAGAGGCTACAATGGCCAGTGGATCTTTGCCAGTGGCTCCACTCACCCGATCGACTGCAAAGTTCCCAGCCGCCATGGGGGCTCAAATTACGCTGGCTTGCCGTAAACAGCAGCTCCGAGGATCCAACTTGGATCATGGATCATCCAAGTAGCCGGAGCCGTTGTGAATATCTTTTTTGCTGTTCGTCTTGGCTGGGTTTACCGAGCCGTAAAGATGCGGTAAAAATTAATCATGACATGTAGTCGACGGACGATCGAACGAAAGAAAACGAGTTCCTTTTGATTCAGCAAAGCGAAAACCGAGCGCTCTTGTCATAGAGTAACGGACTGTAGAATAGTTGACGCTCGGCGTGATGCCTCCGCTTGAAGTTTTCTTCCTGCTTGGCCCGTATACTTCTAGTTTTTACTTACGCGAATCTACGACACCATCGTTGAGTTGGACGTCGAGTTGCCGAAGTGTCTCCCGCTTCCGCAGACGCTCAACATACTGTTGGAGAATGCGTTCACCCCCTTCTGCTGTAGTTGCTTTTCACCCTCGACGAAGACCACAGCGAGGCCAGCTAGTAGATGCCAGTCGATGTGACAGTGCATGATCCACACGCCGGGGTTGTCGGCATTACCACGTAGCCGGCATCCAAGCAGCCCCCATTACCGTCCGAAGTGCACGGAGGAATAGTATACACGTCACCCTTCATTGGGCTTACAAGGCGGAGTGCCGGAAGCGTGTTGTTGCGGATCGCGTCCATCGAGGCCACGCCGCTGTCTACCACCCACGGGGTGTGCGAGTGCATGTGGAACGGGTGTTGCTCGTCCTTCGCATTCACTAGGACGACTTCGATGTGGCCCCCGTAGTTAATCTTGCGCGCGTTGGTCGAGGCAGGAAGCTGTTCGGTTTTCAGACCGGCGGCAATCGAGTAGAGCGGTGGGTCGCTAGGGAGAGTGAAGTGGTTGAAGTCACCGTCATCGATCGCGAAATATCCCGAGCCGTTTTGCATCTTGAGCTGGAGAACAGCGCGGTCGGACGGTGTCGAGGGCAGAACCACGGGAACGAGAGGCGTGAAGTCATACTCGCTCACGGTAGTCGTGTTCATCTGCTGCTGAGATGTCGGCTCCTTGTCGCTCTCAGCCTCGTACGATACAATCGCGAGGCCTTCGTAGTTGTAGCCTTCGCCAGCAACGGCCGCTGTTCCTCTCGTCCACGGGAGACCGTGCAGCCCAGTGGCACGCATCCAGAACGAGCCAACATCTTCTTGTTTCCCGCCTTGCTGCTTGCCAACACTGGGCGAGCCTTTCGCTTGAACCAGAATGTCGTAGCGCTGTGCGGCGTTGAGAGTCACCGAGTTGATTGGCTTGGAGGGTTGAAGCGGCTCGCCGTCTGCTGCAACGACCTGGAGCATGTGGTCGTCGATGCTGAATTGAATCGGGGACAGCGCTGCCATGTTGATCAAACGCAGCAGGTACTTGTTGCCGGCCTTGAAGCGGAAATGCGACAGCGGCTGGTTGTCCGTGCACTCAGTGAAGTTGTGGTGCGCCGCGGCAGTGCAGTTGTAGCGTCCGCGGTTGTTGATGAGGATGTTGTCCCACATACGCACAGGCTGCGGTGGTCTATGGTAGAGATCCGCCATTTGGATGATGAACTCGCCGTCGACATCCTTTTCCCACTCTTGTTGCTCGCTAGCAGGCGCGTGGACGACTAAGGGACCGCGCAGACCATACGCATACTGCGCGATGTGGTGGCTGTGCCACCAGAATGTGCCAGCCTTGTCGGGTGTGAAGCGATACACCGCCGTTCCGTTGGGTCAATGTGGCATTGCGTAAGCCCCGACGTTCCGTCCATTTCTTGAGTGCCGAGTTGCTTCAAGCCGTGCCAGTGAAGACACGTAGGCTCGTTGAGCTCGTTCGTAACCCGCACTTCGACCTCCTGACCCAGCTCCACGTCGATGACAGATTGGTCCGAAGGCTTCCCGTTGATACCGAGAGATTGAATCGAGACGCCGTCATATGAGGCGGTACACGCCAGTCGTAGGTGACAACATCGGCAGCGCTGGAGCCGAGGTGGATGGCCAGCAAGGCTGCTGCAAAGGCAGAGAAGAGAGCAGGCCGCATGTCGTGAATCACCGTCGAAGTGCGTTGAAGTGGAGCAGTTGCTGTCGACGGTAGGATGCAAATTGCAGAATGAAAATATTGTGGTGAAGGTTTCTCGAACTCGAGTCGGCTCCTGGGAGCGTGGCGACGCGTTGGGAGCCGCCACGAGTGGCTGCACGGCCCAACAAGCAGGAGCCATGGAGCAAAAGGAGCTCAAAGGGAGCATCGTTTGGCAACGTAGCCAATCTATCTTAGCCTGCCGATGTGCTGTCCGAATGACGGAGAACTTGTTGAACTTTGCTGCCCGGATCGTCGGAATCGGACCGTCTCAGTTAGTCGCCTGCTATACCTGCTCAGGATATGGATCACAACATTGGCGATCATCCTCGTTGCGCTGCTTCTAGTGGGTATCTCCTCGGCGTTTAAGCTCCACTCTAACATGAAACGAGTACTATTTTGCGGGAACGAGAAGCCAACGGCAACCTCAAAAGCAATACAGATACCACCCAGAAACTGCAGACCGTATAAATTGATACCCTTGTGGAATCATCCTAAGAATCAATCAGAAAGACGCGCTGTCCGTCCGTCACAAAATCGTCACGCTTATTCACTAAGTACGATTCCCACTAAGTACGAGTAGCTGCCGAGCGCAGCGAAGGCGGCTCCGTCGCCGAAGGCGACCCCCTCATACGATATTGCGGGGCCGCAGGACCCGCCCCGGCCTCTGTAATACTAACCTGACATTGAGAGTAGTGCAGCGAGCCGACGAGGCGAGCGGAACGGGTCCGCCACTGCAGTAGCGAAGCGTAGGCAGTCTGCTCCAATAGCGGAGCGAGCATAGCGAGCGAAGCGCCAACAAACTAAAAAAAATCACCGCCGCGTAGCGTCGGCGCTGGGCTAGTGATATCAAGGGACATCATCTCAGGAGGGAGCGCCCGTCACATTGAAGTACCGCCACGGTGTGGTCTACACATTCCATTTTCATTTGAATCATCCCGCCAAAAGCATGGCGCACTTTTTCCACAGACAAACTCAAGGCAGCACTGAGCACAGGACGCCCAGCCTCCAGAAGCGTTCTAAGGGCACTCAGAAGCGTACCAAGGGTGTGTGGCTAACCATCTAGCAGAAGTGCGATGTTATTGAGGAGTATCACCCTCTCTCTTAGAAGTAAAAATGAATTTTGAGGAAATAGTGGTAGGTACGCACCTCAATCACTTATCTCCTCAGATTATATAATTTCCTGTAGGAACTTGGATGTACCACTCTTTGTAGCTGTTTGAACGTCAAAGATGTCTACAGATTGAAGTGCAAAGCATATAGGCATCCGCAAAGAGTCAAGCGCAAAGAATATACATGTATCGCTAAAAGCACGATTTGAAGCTGTCCGGAAATCCGAAGAGACGGTTGTGTGGCTTGCATACAAAGTTTACGGCAGGAACCGAAAAACCGAAAGCGCTACAGTACGACTACAGCGTTGCTGGTGGTGGTGATGTCGCGTTGGTGTGGTGCATCCCCCCGCAGACGCTCAACATACTGTTGGAGAATGCGCTCACACCCTTCTGCTGCAGTTGCTCCTCGCCCTCCACGAAGATCATGCCGAGACCTGCGATCAGATGCCAGTCGATGTGGCAGTGCATGATCCATACGCCCGGGTTGTCGGCGTTAAAGCGCAGCACCACATACCCCGCATCCAAGCAGCCACCGTTGCCGTCCGACGTACATTGGGGGACTGTATAGACATCGCGGATCATGGGATTGACGAGCTTCAATGGAGGCAACGCGTTGTTCCGGATATCCTCGATCGATGCTACGCCGCTTCCCACGACCCAGGGGGCGTGTCCGTGCATGTGGAAGGGGTGCTGCTCGTCCTTCACGTTCACGAGCACAACCTCAATGTGCTTGCCGTACTCGATCTTGCGGGCATTGGCCTCAACAGGTAACTGCTCGGTCTTCAGCCCACCCGCGATCGTAAAAAGTGGCGGCTCGCTTGGAGCCACAAAGTGGTGGTAGTCTCCTCCGTCGATTGCGAAATGCCCGAGAGCCGATTGCATCTTGAATTCGAGGACGGTGCGGTCTGATGGGGTCGATGGTAGCGTGCTGGGCGATAGAGGAAGGAAGTCAAATTCATCTACGGTCCTCGCTTCGGTGACTGCTTTCGAAGTTGGCTCCGCGGTGTCTTCCGCTTCGTACGATACAATCGCGAGCCCTTCGTAGTTGTATCCCTCACCAGCAGTTGCTGCAGTTCCTCTAGTCCACGGGAGTCCATGGAGGCCAGTAGCACGCATCCAAACTGAGCCGATTTTACCACTATTGAGTCCGAGAAGCGGTGAAGTCTTTGCGCGCACCAAAAGATCATAGCGATGCCCGCAGTTGAGGGTGATAGAGTTGATGAACTTTGAAGGCTGGAGTGGTTCACTGTCAGCCGCAACGACCTGGAATTCGTGGTCGTCGATGCTGAACACGACCGGAGACAATGCAGCCATGTTGACGAGACGTAAGAGATAGTTCTTGCCGGCCTCGAAGCGGAACCGCGACAGCGGTTGGTTCTCGGAGCACTCCTCGAATCCGTGAGACGCTGCAGCAGTGCAGTTGTAGCGTCCGCGGTTATTAATGAGCATCGTATCCCACATACGCACTGGGCCAGGCTCAGCGTGGTAATAATCGGCGAGTTGAATGGTATACTCGCCCGCGATGTCTTTCTCCCACGGCTCTTGTTCATCCACAGGGGAACGCACGATCAGCGGGCCACGAAGTCCAAAGGCAAACTGTGAGGACTCATGACTGTGCCACCAAAAGGTACCAGCCTTTTCCGGTTTGTAGTGGTAGACTGCCGTGCCGTTCGGCGGGATGTGGCATTGGGTAACCCCAGATGTGCCGTCCATTTCTTGCGTACCCGGTTGATTAAGTCCGTGCCAGTGAAGGCACGTAGGCACGGCCAGCTCGTTCGTGACGTGCACTTCAACCTCTTGGCCCAGCTTCACGTCGATTACTGCTTGGTCTGACGGCTTGTCGTTGATGCCGAGCATGGGTCGAGGAATACCGTCAAACACCGCAGTGATTTCGGTGACGCGCCAGTTGTACGTGACGAGGTCAGCCGTGCTGGGCCCGATATGAAGCGCCAGCAAGGCTGCTATGTATGCCGAGAGTCGACGGAAGCCCATGGCACAACGTAGCTGAGTTTGCTGGGAACAGAGTAAATTGCCGAATGATGGAAATGGCCTGCTTCCAACACTTGCACCATTGCATCTAACTGATAAATGTGCTTAAACGCCTTGAATAGGCGCGTGTCTGTTGCGCCTCCAAGTATTCGGTCAGCCTAGAGTGGAGCGGAGCAACCTCACGATACCAAAGCTGAGCATCTGGCCAGCAAGAAGCCCCTTAATTAATCTATAGAAATACAATCCTCTCTCCAAAGAACTTTCATAACAATCGGCACTGCCGCATAAAAACACAAACTTCCCAACATGTGCGAGTCGCTCGTCGCAGTTTAATCGACACATTGCAAACGCTTAGTTGATCGACCGTTGGGGATTATAATATCGTGTCTTGTTCAACAATTAGAGCAGACATGGAGCAGGAGCCTACAAAACGTCGAGATATATCTGCATGTACTATACCGTGGATAGAGTTGAAGTTGGTACATGACTTCTTAGTGTTGGTCCTGTCATCTTCTAAATTGGGCAACTACATGTAAGTGAATCACTATCAACAAAGACATTGCATTGCATTGTACTGTACATGTATGCACCAACCAGGATCGGACTGCGTAAACAACTGGGTCGATTTTCGTGATGTGCCAACGGAAAACCCTAAATAGTATGTACTAAGTACAGTATTGTGCTTTGCATACTTTTTGGCACTTCGGACTGTAACGACGACTTATCTATAAATCGTACTCGAGTACGAATTGCTGTATGTCGTGAATGGTCAATCAAGTGCGCATATGTCATCTCCTGCATGATTTAGCACATCCAACATGGATTAGCATCCTTTTGGCACTTTCCGAAAGTGCCATTTCCGAGCCAAACTGGTTTCGAAACACGACTTGAGCAAGTCGCATTCAAAGCCACTATGATTTACCACTAAGTACGAACACTAACTAGTGCACTAATTAGGAGGGCAAACTGGTTGCAAAGCACAATACATGTATTGAGGAATTAAACTGGCTAAGTAGATTGGCCCGATTTGTCAAAACGTAAGTAGGTATGTGCCACTCCGTAGGTATGAAATAAAGAAAAAATAGCACTACAGATTTAGAATCCCACCAGTTCTATTTTTGCAGTTATTTTTTACGCCTTTTTTTGCGATTTGCAGTTTTCTACGACTAGTTTTGTTTTACGACTAGTGTTGAAAGACTCATGCTTGGAGCAAGTTGTAGAGTTAACGAGTCGTACAATTTAAGAGTCGTAGGAATTAAAGCGACGTAGCGTTTTAAGTTTTACGAGATAGCAACACGCGAGAGTGTACGACTTTTATTTTAACGGCGCCGCTGTACACACTAATAGCATTGAAGGCGTCCCATACGTAGGTTTCGAATGACTATCTTTTGCGCGAGCCCTTTGGGATACGTCGTGTTCGTTACGAAACCACTCTAGAGTTTGCCTCATACAAGACGGGAAAAGCCCTCCCCCCATTCAACAATTTCTCTTGTTGTACCGAAGTCAACTCTTCAGCACTCACTGGCACTTGTCGCGGCTCCTCGCTCCACGCCAACCATGTCCGAACCTCAAGCGGCCACACCAACTTCTGTGTTATCGGTGAACGACGGCTCTGATCAGATTGGGCCCACTCCTGGAATTCCTCGTCGCACTGCTAACGTCGACGACTTGCAACTGGAGGTTGCTCCAACCGCATTGGAAGCCGTGCCAGTTGTCGAAGCGGGGCACACTCCCGCGGACCCTGCCGATGGGGCCACGCAAGCTGCGGTGGCGACGCCCGAACATGAGTCTTCCGCGCACGTAACTGCAACTCGTGGCGAAAGAGGGGCTACGATTGAGCCGATGACGCCAGAAGAAACGGCGTTGTTCCTGAGCTCAGTCGAAAAAGTCGACGTCACGATTCTTCGCGAGATGGGATTGCTCAGGCGTGAGTTGGAGGTCGGCACTGATCGCTGCGCTTTGGATTCGTTAGGACAAGTCTCCTATCATGGGCGGAACCTGGCGACTGTGGATTTTGAATCGAGGACAGCGTTGCAGTCGCGCTGTGAGAATTCGCTCGTCGGACTGGCTTCTCGCTACGGGTTGGCAACAATAGCTGGCATAAAGAACGACAGGAGGGCAACGCCAAGTACGTGTGCAAGCTGCTGAAAGGCCAACAGCAGTTAACGCGAGGGAGTACACCAAATTGTCCCTTCCATTTTACAGTCTACGGGATTCGCGATCAGTGGAAGATTACCCAGATGTGCCTCGCTCATGATCACTACCGCAACGCAGGCTTTCAAGAGGCCACTTTCGTCGAAGGAGAGCTTGCCGACGATACCTCTCGACAGCGCCAACGGGATATGCCGTTTACTGTGCTTCGCGGCATCGTAGAGCGTGAAATGCTCCCTGCGCACAGTGATCGTGGGCTACGGTGAAAGGAAAAGCTATCACTAACTTTCTCAAGCCGAAGCAGATTACAACGAATCGGCAAACAGCTTCGAAGATCAAACGTCAGTTGTTGGATGTGCTGCGCGGGAATATGGTGGAGAGCTACCAGAAGCTGGAGTCATTCTTGCGCGCCAATGCTCTGCAAAATCCCAAGTCGCACCAAGGCTTCGAGAAGACGAAAGATGGCCTCTTTCAGCGTGTGTACTTCTTTCCAAGCGCGTGTCTACAAGCCGTGCAGTTTTGCCGGCATATCATCGGGTTGGACGGCACGCATCTGAAGGGTGACATGAATAAGCGAGGTGTTTTTCTTCTCGCTACGACAAAAGACCTGAATGGGCACATCGTAGTGTTTGGGCTAGCTCTGGTGGGCCAAGAGGACTACTCCAACTGGCGTTGGTTTCTTCAGGAGATGCAATCAGCACTCGCCGTCATCGAGAATATGTGGAATCCCGTTTTCGTGTCCGATCGTCAAAAAGGTCCTCTGGCATTGGTGACGGAGATTTACCCACGCAGTGGGCATCGGTATTGCGTGCGACACATCATCTCAAACATTGAGAAGAAGGAGTCGACTCTCACTCCAAGCGAGCAAGTGATTATCTTTCAGATGGCACGCAGCGAGTGTGAGAACGACTACAACTACTACAGTTCGAGACTGTGTGACACAAGTCCACCTGCTGTGGAATACCTGGACGGCATCGATAAGTCACATTGGGTGACTTATGCGTTCAGCGAGGCTCACAACCAGCCGTCCTACGACGAGGTGACTTCTAACCTGTCCGAGGCTGCAAACAATTAGCTTGGAAACTCGTGCCGGACTTCGTATCCCCTGCAAGCCTTCGAGCAGTATGCAGTGAAAGTGGTGGAGCAGTTCGCCGCTCGAAGCCAAAGCACAGGCGTAAATCAGCTCGACCCGGATCAGCAGCTTCGCCGAGCATCGCCATGACACAGTAAACAAAAGTAGTTTGTGGGTGCTAACGACTTCAAATACATTCATCCTTCATAATACTACTCAAACAGTCCCTCTCATGCGAACCGAACGCGCACAAGTCGTAGAAAATAAAATTATATGACCTGAACATAGCTGCAATTTTGCGCGACTTGCAAAGTAAAACTTTACTAGTCGTTCAGCGTAAAATGTTACGATTCGCAAGTAAACTACTACGACGTACACGAATTAAAATAAAACGAGCCGTACAAAATAAAATGTTAGGACTCGGACAAAGTAAAATATTACGACTCGTTCAAAGCAAACTGTTGCGACTGTAAGTAAAATGTCACGACTCGATCGAAGTAAACTATTACGAGTCGCACAAAGTAAAATATTACGACTCGGGCAAAGACACACATCGAATCATAATCACCTACGCTAGTATAAGCCATAACCAACAATTTGTACAGAAGCAGAAACCTCTGCGGACATCAATTTTTTTAGTGCTCAAAACAACTCTTTAGGCAACGCCCATACACATCTACAAACGTAGGGTGACGCGGCACAACGGACACTGAGCCTCCTCTTCCATCTCCAACGCATGCCCTACGTGCATTGAAATGCACTCACTGCACATGGCATGGCGGCACGAGAAGGGGATTACCGGGGCTGTAGGGGGATCCAGACAAATCGGCATGGGAAGACTTCTATCGGGATGTTGTTGTCTTCCTCGTCACCAATGATGTCGATTATTTCGTGCTGACGTCGGACTCGTGACGAGCGCACCGGCGACAGAAGCGGTCCTTGCCGAATTGACGCACTCTCGGTTGACGTAGAGGTAGACGTCGTCGAGATTGGAGAGGTGGTCATGGCCTGGGACGTGGAGCTGGGAGGCGACGGCGGTGCTGGAAGCACATCAGCCAGACTACGAACACGAAGCGGGATAGCAGGGGAGGTGCCAATAACTCGCAACGCGAGAATGGTTATCGCTTCCCACTTCTTCTGTGCGTACATTCGGTCGTATTCCTTCGTAGCTTGTTGTGCTACCAGCACCCGCTGTCGCCGAAGCTCAGGGAACCGTCGCTCCAAACACGTCCTCCTGCCAGCGTGGGCCTTGATGCTGGTAGCAGCCAAGATTACCCCGCAAAGCGGGCAGGGCACTCTTGGTGCAGGAGTCTTTGAGGTAGGCATCGTAAATCGATCAATGAACGTATCTACTTACATTCTGGTCAGTTCTTCATTTCCTCATTTCTTATTGTAGCTCGTTTCAGATTTTTATTTCGGTTTTTCCTCGTCTACTTATAAGTAGGCTCTCTACCTACTTACGTTTTGACAAATCGGGTCAACCTACTTAGCCAGTCTAATTCCTCGTACTGTATTACTTTTTTCAGAGAGACGCCGTCCCAACCTCGTCCCCACACCGTCCCTCGCCTGTCAGTCTGATAAGTGAACTACCGCATTTCGCATGTAGAGAATCACACCCATGTCATAGGTTTAGGTTAATTACTGCACTCGAGCCTAAAAACAATGTAAAACCTAAAAACTGGGTCACGCGATCATTTCGTACACAAAATTGGCAAGGTGGTTGGCCTACCGTAGTCATGCGGATGGCGCGGAGCGATCTACTCTAGGATGGCGCTTAAGCTAGCAACAAGTCTAGGCCCCATCTACAACTATGCTCCACAGGAACCACATCACTCAACCAATTATCTACTGCGTTACTTCTTCTACTACCATCGCTGCAGCAGCCGTGTTGTGCGCTCTCTCGAGCTTGCGTGTTGTGGTTTAACCTCGTGCTCCCCATATCCCGCACTCAGGCGCGCCTCAACTGGGCCCACACCAGGTGTGGCTACTAACTATCACTCCGACGAGGCGTATGCCTCCAAGCGCGCGGGGAGGGGGTAGCGCGACGTTGGCGAGCGGTGCGCAGCTCTTCCCCTCTGCCTTCGCGCGCTTGGAACTGGTGGCTCAATGAGAGACTTCCAAAAATCGCCTATACGTTGTACCAAACCCAGATTTCAGAGCGATATAGTTCACCACTTGGCGCCGGTATAGTCCTCATTTGGCCATCCGACTGCCACTAAAAATCCGAGTTCATTTCAGAAGTCTCAGCCTTCGAGTCGGCTCTTGCGTCCCCGTATCGTGTCCGTCCCTCACCATGCACACTGGTCGCCTCCTTGCTCGCGTCAACGCATCGCTTTCCGTCCAACGTCAGCAACAGAGAAGGAGGCAACACGCACTACTGAAGAAGCTGATGTGCTTGATAAGGATGCGCATCTACATAACGACTGCTGCTCTAACCTCTAACGCAGTTTGCGCATGGACGTTCATGTACAAGTCGTGGTGCGAGAAGTCGTTCATCAATACCGTCTTTCTCCTTCCCCATACCTACGACATGTTGCTCGAGGCGTTCTCACGGCACTACGTTGTCAAGTCCGGGCCTTCACAAAGGAGCCGTCCACGGCGGTTCGTGTCGAAGAATAACGTACTAGCATGCTTGATGCACATGTACACTGCTGCTGTGAAGCTCAAAACGCTATGCGTGTTGTTCGGCGTACCTCCGTCGACGATGAGCAGAACGCTGTGCCAAGCGGAGGTGGCTCTAGCAGCTTCGCTGCGCGAGATACCCCTGGCTGCCGTTCAGTGGCCGTCTAGCTAATTGCAAGCTACGTGGGCAAGCCAAGTGACGAAGCGAGAAGGACTGTTGAAGGGCTGCTTCTGTGTGGTCGACGGGAAGAACTACGCGGTACAAGCTCCAACGAACAGTGACGTCCAAAACGCATACTACAACGGTGAGATACGTTCTATCTTATACATGTACTACGAACACTAAATTGATTTTCATCGTGATGTAGGTTGGCTACACAGCGTCAAGGTAACTGGTGTTTTATGCTATGGCTTCGACGGCATCTTGATCTGGGGAAAACATAATTTTCCTGGGTCTTGGAACGACGGCGAGATGAGTCGCCAATTACAGCGGCTAGTTGCCGATCCCAGCAAACCAATTGAAGGCGGGTGCTGTGCAACCGATTCAGCGTTTCCGGTTAGTGACACGTGCAGGAAAAGGATCGTAACTCCTCTGCAAGACGGAGATCTGGAGCGAGCTAGCCCCGAATGCAGGGCCGGTTTACTCGTCATGAGTGCCGCGATCACTTCAGTCAGACAGGCGGCGGAATGGGGAATGGGCTGTGCTCCTAAGTGTTTTCGCCGCTTGCAGCTACTACTTCCGTTCGATCCTGACAAGCGCGCGAGGTTGTTATGGAATATATACCACTTGTACAACCTACGTGTGAGAACGACGGATATTAGCCAAATACGAACGGTATTTGCATAGACTTCAGCAACAGAACAAACATAAACGTACATCAAAATATTTTTTCTTTTTGTATACAACGACACTTTATGCAATTCAGACTTCCTCTTCAGCTTGTCCTTCTAACAAGCTTCGCCAACCGAACTCTATTCTAGCTTGTTCTCTAGGCCAGCGTCTGTGCCGTTTCCATGCTGCTCCCCGCTTGACGCAGCTCCACCGCCACTTTCAACGAGGCGTACCAACAGCATCATCATCATTTGCTGGTTGACAGCTTCATGCTCATCTCTCTGTCGCTGGTAGAGCTCACGCTCATGACGATACTGCGCATCTCTCGCTTGTTGGCGCTCTTCCATCGCCATCATCATGGCCAGCATCGACTGCGAGGGGTCCGAGGCATTATGGCTGGCTAGAATGCCGTTGTTCACCGTGTCGATGATACGGTCTAGCTTGATGCGTGGGCGGGCGGTTTGACTGAGTGACACGGCGGCCGAAGCTGCTGAACTTTTCCAAGCGAAGCAGAAAGTTCCGCTAGCTCTGAGGGCTCTAGACCAGCTCGCGGCGTTGCTTGTAGTGGGGTCGACGGAGCGGCGGGTGTACTTGAAGTTGTTGTGGGTGTTTGGGTTAATTGTGAGTCCGTCGAGGCTGCTAGAGGTGAACTAGCAGTCACAAGCACGGAGCTTGCAGCTTCCTCGTCGGTGTCGTGGTCGGGGTCTCCCTCCTCGGACTCTTCGTCCGAAAAGTTGTCGTGGAGCTGAACAACAGCCAATGAAGCCTCAATGGCATATTGTAGACGCTTGGCGCGCTGCACCACCTCAGGACATGTTCCGTTCCCATACAAATAAATCGAAATAGGTCAGTTGAAAACCACACAAATGCCAGCACATCAAATACGCCGTACCTCAACGCGAACCAGCTTTTGGAATTTACGTTTGAGGCTGTCGCCATCTCGCTCAGTCCCCCTGATGGAATATTTGTATTGAACTGAGACGCAGCGTTTCGCCACTGCTCAGCTCCAAAGGGAAGGATAGCTTCCACAACATCCAGCATTCCTGTGACCAACACATCATATTTGTGAGTCGCCTACTCAGATCTCTCAGTAATGCTAGTGTACACGCACGTGAGACTTCGGACTTGGTGAAGTTCTTGCCCTTTGTCTTCTTTTTTTGCTGCCTTCGTCATGGCTGGTATCATACGGCGGTCTTGGCAAGGAAATTGCGGAGTGGGGGCGGCTTTATCGTACAGAGCAGCATCTTCGTCTTCGATCAGGCTGTGAAGTCAAGGCTAATTGGAGGCTTTGGTCAGTACCAAGGACGGCACTTGATCAGACGCCTTTTGCGTCTGAGCATCCGTTAGTTCAAGTTTAGTACCGGCATCCTCCGTTCTTTACTGACGTTCGCTTATTACTGACAATTGATTGTAGCCAATCAACCTTATCGTGTGCCTCCACTTGTTACTGACAACACAACATGGGCAAGTGTCAGTCATTTCCCAATCTCCAAGATGCCACCTGCCCGCAGACGCACCGCAATTGCGGCGGCAGAGAAGCTCGCGAGAAGACAGTCAAGGTGGGTACAAGAAGTCAGGGCTCGCAGTACAGGAAGTAGACGTTGTAGCTAGTGAGGTGATCGCGGTGCTTTCTAGTCTGAGCCTGGTAGATCATCGCATTGGGGCTGTGGCCGACGAGCATGATACCATCGAGAGCAGCTCGGTCTGCGACGAGCTTCTCGAGTAAACAACGAACTTTTTTCTGTTTCACAATGCGCGGCAGACATCACGTTTTTTACCCATTTATTGAAGCCAAGATGTAGCCAAACAGGGTTGTCAGTAAAGAGCGGAGGATGCCGGTACACACATGGTTCAGCAGATGGGAGCAATTTGGTACATTAGAATAGGCGATTTTTGGAAGTCTCCCAATGTGAATGCAAAAATGCGCAAAATACCCAAATTAGGGGTGTATCTCTCTACATGCGATCCCACAGACTTTTCTCTCGCATCTCTGATTGGTCTAAATGAAGGTGTATCTCTTAAACCTCTGTAGTGCTCTACATGCGAAATGCGGTATTTGAGGTGACTGCTTTCAAATAAAGTCACATACCGTCATACACAAAAACACAAATTCACATTTTGCTAACACACATTTCCACAAACCGCATTTGACAGAACGCCAACAGCCAACAAGACGCCAGGAGCAGCAGAACGACGATGGTCGCGCCAGTGCCGAAGGGGGTGATGGCCTGGAGGGCTGCGCGGCGGCCACGAGCAACAGGACGACGGCGGTCAGGAGCAGCAGAACGACGATGGCCGCGCCAGGGCCGAAGGGGGTGATGGCCTGGAGGACGGCGTAGCCTTGGAAGAGGAGTTGACTGCCCATCTCAAGGCAGATCTGAGGTGAGTGAGGGGCACGCAAGGTGGGGTGCAAGTGTACGTCCGGAATTATTGTATCGATGATATACAACGATGTATTAACCAATTGTGACCTTCTTTATGTGATCTATGGGTTTCCTTTTAGACTGTCGCTAAGTGCATTAAGTGTAAGCTTGTGCTGTGTTCGGTGTGCCTCGAGCGCACACACCGCTTGCTCGTGAGTAATACATTGCGCTTGAGCTGTTGTTATGATATGATCGATGATTCTCTTTCGCCGAAAGAAATACCGTTTGTCTGCTGGTGTGCTGCGCCAGGTCGAGCCATGGCTTTCGTCGAGGTTACGCACAGCGGGACCACCATGAATTCCGGCAGACCATTCTTACCAGACTTGATGTACGGTCTTCAGAGACCTCGCCATCTTGTAGGTCACCGGAACCGATGAAGCTGGTAAGGTGGTGTTGGTTGTGGATGGAGTACCTGTCGTTCCAGGCCAGTTGACACTCAGCCGCACCGCAGCGGTGCCCGAGGTGAGTTGTGTGAACGCTCCAGTCAAGTGTTTAACTGATGCACCAACCTCGCTAAACTTGTTATCAATGTGCGCTATCGTTTGTAGGTGCTGCTGGTATATATGGTCCATCAAGTCAGGCACTACTTCCTCCAGGCGCGTTGCTTGCGGTGACACCTCAGTGACCATTTTTGCTTTGAGGGCAGTCGCAAATGCGTTAAACGCAGTCGTGTTGAACGGAGGGTTCCCCCACAACTGGTGAGCTGGATGCACTTCGCGCAGCAGCACTGCGTCCTGGAGGACAAAGCAACAAGTGCATCTTAGCTGCTGTCACTTGGTAGCGCGTAGTTTCGTGAAAGCCCTTTCGATCACACCAAGCCTTAAACTCTATTTGCTTCGGCGCGTATGCGCGGGTCGTGTTGGCGGGCCTTGTCTCGCGGTAGCGATCTAAGGTTGCATTGGCGCTTTCCTCGAGCTCGACTTGTAGCCCCGGTGGCTCCATGGTGCCCCTCCAGCACAATTTTGGTTATGGACTATTTTTTGCTATCAACTAGAGGCCGCCTGCAAGGAGGGACGTCGTCTCCAATCTATAGTGCGGCCAAGTGTAATAACACCTAGCCCTAGGGGGATAACCACTCATTGTCATAGTGAAAGCAGCCCGAAAAACCCTGAGAGTTAGAGTCCATTGGCTACCGATTGTACGAAAGCTGGGGTCATTCCTGACCTCGATATTGACCACTCGGACGATCAAGAAAACGCTCGTTGCTGATGTTATCAAGGTAGCGGCTGCCAACATGTGATTACGGCAGGGTGACTACTCCTCTCATTCGCTACGCATTGGAGGCGCCTACGCACTCCAAGCAGCCGGCAAGGGTGACCTGGCCATCCGCCTCATGGGACGGTGGTCGAGCTGGTGCTTTTCCGTGTACACTCGGCTGCGACCTGGAATGATTCGTGATGCAACAAGTTGCATGATCAAGGCCTCTACCTGGGAATGCCACGAGCCAGGCATCATACCCAGCCAAAGCTCGCGACACTCGAGAGGGGAACTCCAGGGAGTCTAACTCTTTGAGTTAATCAAGTCAACTTGCCCCTAGTCGTGAAGCCCGAAGGAGGAAGACGACAATAAAAAATAGAGGGTGTTGAGGCTCGAATTGGATTGATTCTTAGACGGAATTGGTTAGACAATCGTCAGACGTAAAAATTCGTATGATGTTCGAAAGGATATTGATGACGTTGGATAGGATAGTGGTAGCACTTGACCGCTTTAGTTGCCGCAGTTGCCCTACAGTGCCAACTACGAAGTGCAACTAGCAGTGCGTAGTTGGCACTGGAGCGGTCGAGTTCTTGCCTCAGTACGCACACAGTCTCGCCGTTGCGTGCCCATTAATTGCAGCCAAACGAGTCATTTCCGCTACTATGCATTAAGACTTGGCTGTGAGCTTAGCCCTTCATGGTGAGTGCTCTACTGTAGCCCAGCTCAACTGTCCGCCCAATTGCTCCTACATGTATCGTTAAGTAGACTCAGCAAATGCGGCACTAACCGCGTAACGCATGCAGAGACGCATTGCTAGGCTTCGACAAGCTGCAGATCTGTCCCTATTTGAGCCCAACTCCCTCATGTACTCTATTGCCTGTAATACAGTGAGGGCCCACTTGGGCCTCTCGAACTAACACACGCGCCAACAGTAGATTACCGGCGGTAAAAGCCGTCGATTGTACAGTAGTTCAGGGCTTTTCAGGAATCTTTAGTTAAATAAACGCCTGTGGTTACTTCGGAGACTCTATTACATTTTGTGCACAGGCAAATCGAAGGCACCAGTCTTGCAGGCCTGCATGCGCACGGCCAAGTCGCTGTAGAGCGCTCTACAGCATTTATTCCACTGCCACCTCTGCGCGCAACGTATCGTAAGCATTATAATATCTCGTGGGCGGGTGGCGTGCCGCCAATCACATACTCTGTAATACTGCTACATTACTGTCCTTGTTGCTACACTGCCTTGAAAATGCTCTTGAACGCGAGGCGTGCCTTGTTGGGGGTATGCAAGTCCGAGTAGGAACGCTTGAGCGCGCACAGGAAATTGGTTTGCTACCCATCATGGTCGTGTGAATCCTGGTTCGACAACTTGTCCAACGGATTCGGTGCGAATTACGATTTGCTAGTGTAGCCACACAATATTAATTAGGGAAGCGAATTAAGACTTTGAAAAATGGCAGACACGGAGTCTACAGTAAGCGCGCCCACTTCCGGTACTGGTATAAATTAATATCCCGAATAAAACGATGTAATCTATTTGGAAAGGTTTATTTTTACTAAACCTGGCGGGAGTTTTGACGCGAACTACTGCACACCAGTCATTGCCACAGAGCAACAGCAGCAAGCCCGAAGCAGGTCTTCATACCAGAATTTTCACTGAGCCAAACATGTACAAGCACGCCATGGGGACCTGGATGAAAATACATCAGAAGCGAGGCCTCATACAGAAGGCAGCCGACTGCCCCACGATGTCACAAGCAGTGCTCGCAGCGTGGACAAAAGCGCACTACTAACTCAAGCGCGCACCAGCCCAGTCGACCGTGTCCGGCATACTCAAGAAGGCTGCGTTGATCATGAGCAAGGAATACGGCGATGGCAACCGCCGCAAGCCCCTGAAGGTGACCTCGGCGGCGCTGGAGGCGCGACTGTGGGCGTGGATTCAAGCGGTGGAGGCCCAGAACGTCTGTCTGTCCCGCGAGCTGATAAGGATGAAAGCGATCGACATTCAGCGTGAGCTGTGCGACGCATGGGACCTGAGGTTTTCCGACGGCTGGCTCACTGCATTTGAACATAGGCATCGCCTTCGCTACTGCAATTGACCCGGCGAGTCTGGATCCGCTGATCCCGCTGCTGTAGCTCAAGGTCGTCAACGACTCCAAGAAATCACGGATCTCTACCCTGCAAAGCACATCTACAATATGGACGAGACGGAGCTTTGCTACGCAATGGCCCCGGCTCGGTCTATTTGTACGAAGCGGGCGCGAGGAGTCAAGAAGAAGAAGACCCGTATTACGCTTGCTCTCACGGTGAACGCTGACGGCACGGACGCACTACCGCCGTTGTTCCTGGGTCGCGCCAAGCAGCCTCATTGCTTTGAGAAGCGCTCTGCAGAAGCCTCGGCTTCTCATACCGGGCTAATGCGAAGGCCTGGATGACAGGACCGATATTCCGAGAATGGCTACACAAACTGGATCGGGACATGCGAGCGGCAGGGCGTCATATCTTGCTGCTGCTAGATAACGCGTCTTCTCATAAGACGGGCGATCTGGTGTGTACAAACATTCGCGTGGAGTTCCTACCCCCGAATACTACTACCTACTTGCAACCTATGGACGCCGGCATCATTGCACTGTTCAAGCGGGCGTACAGGAGAAGGCAGATTCTGTGGGTGTACGAAAAGATCAAGGACGTGAAGAAGCTGAAGAAGGAGCCCTACGCCGTCGATCAGTTGCAAGCAATGCGGTGGAGCAAGGAGATCTGGCAAGAGCTGCAGGATAAGTCGGCCATCGGAAACTGCTTCCGCCATACTGGAATTGTTTTTAACGGTGTAGATGAAAGGTGCGGCGATTCCAACGACACTACTTATGACAAAGACGTCAGTGTAGAAGATATTATAATTCGTGCTTCGCAGTTGAGCTTTTAAAATGTATTTTACGTGTACAGTACTTCATTGTGGTCCCTTTATAATAAAATGGCAAATCTTAGGAGATGGTTACCGGAAGTGAGAGCTTTTACTGTAAGAGCCTGTTCGCGTTGTACTAGAGATGGAGATGGTGGTTGATCTCCACCTACAGCTCGTTCGCTATGTATCCATCTCCAGACAAATTTTCAGCCAATCACAGGACAGATATGGGATGGCTCTCCTCCCCACTTGAGAAAATGCCGACTCGCCTCACCAGTGCGGCCACGCGTGGGGCACATGCCGCTGCTCAAGGCTCTTCGGTTCTTGCGCCCCCCGCACGTCATGACGAAACGCCAGCGTCCGAGCCCCTCGTCTCGCTGACACCATCTGCCGGTGATGAAGGTCTGCTGCTAGAAGGCGCCGAGACTGCGTCCACATTTGTTCCGCTAGCTCAAGTATCAGTGGCGATGTCGGCTACGCCAGAGCCTACTCCCGCTCCATCTCGCATGCTCGAGCGTCTGCAAGCCTCGGCCGCACCGCAAGCAGCACAGGGCCGAGGCAAGTCTCGTCTGAAAGGAGCTTCTAACGTCTACCTCCGTAGTGATCTCCATGACGTAGCTTCTAGCCATGCCCATTGCAGCTCCCACCTCGCGATATCCACCCGCTGAGCCCAGGAAGTACAGCGCCGCTGCCACCTTCTTTTCGTAGGAATGCTTCTTGACCTTAGCTTGTGCAAAAGCGACCCCATGATCTTGTAGAAAGCTAGCTATACGGAAGAAGGTGGATCTCGTACAGCGCAGATTGGTCTCGAACCAGCTTGAATAGGCTGATGATTGAAGCATCGACTCGAAGCGCAGAGTGGTGACGGTAAAACGGTTCTTCTTGCCAGCAGGAGGTCCTGTCTGCATACAAAGCCACAGCCTGTGCCACGGCGGAGCACGCAGCGAGGACAATTGCATCTTCGTCTCCCATGTTGTGCCTGGCCCTGTAAATCTCTAGGTAGAGCCGCCCCTCTCCACCTCAAAGAGCTGGAGACGAATTCACAGTGCCATCTCTAGTTGTCTTGTTGTGTGCTACCTACTTTTGACCAATCCGGTCACACTTTTGGTTTTCGTCTCCATCTCCAGCTACGTAGCGAACAGGCTCTAACGCAAATTCAGATGTGGCCCACATTGTCATACGAATTTCCATTTGACTTTGTCGGATATGACATTCGCTATACTGTACATGACATGTACATTGTACCGGTCTAGGGGTACAGTATACAAGCTGATACGAACTTCAGTCTTCCGCATACAAAGTCCCAGTCACGTGTTGCACGTCAATCGCGCCGTGGTTCCTCGCTCCTCATCATGTGGAGTGCCAGCGCCGCGCTGCTCGTGCTCGTAGGGATCGTCGGCTTCCTGTCGGCATGCATCGCCACGCTCATGATGCTGTTCGGGCCTGGCATCGACCGCCAGAACACGCGCCGAGGGGCTCCGCACATCGCGTCGCACCAGGAATTCCTGCTCACGCACGTGCACGCCGGCAGCGAGGAGTCCAGTCTCATGGAGCGCCCGCGACCCAACGGCCAGGTCGTGCGGCTGTTCTACCGTTTCTGGCTGCCCAAGCACCTGGACAGCGCCAAGGATGCACGCGCGGTTGTGGTCGTGCTGCACGGCGTCAACTCACACAGCGCCCGCAACAATAAATTCATGGTGGAGGTGTTGCAGCACGGCTTCCTGGTGGCGGGCATGGACCACGAGGGCATGGGCCGCAGTGACGGCAGACACGGATACTTCTCCAGCGTCGACATGCTGGTGGACGACGCCATGGCCTTCGTGGACTTGGTGAAGGCCAAGTATCCGGGGAAGAAGGTCTTCCTACTCGGCGCGTACGTGGGCGTCGAGTTGAACGTGGTGAGGTTACATGGAGAAGCTGATGTCTTTTTCTTTTCTTATGTATTGATGATGATAGGTCGCTGGGGGGACTGATGATCCTGCACGCGCTGAGCAAGGGTGGGCCGAAGCTGGTGGACGGCGCCGTCATTTTGTGCCCAGCGACGGAGATTCACAAGGCGTCGCGGCCGTCGCACTTGATGGAAGCCATCGGCCGACTGCTGCAGGAGTACATGCCCAAGCTGCCGCTGGTGAAGGCGAACAGTGGCAAGAACAGCTCTCCGGAGGTGGCGGCGGTGATTGACGCTGAGAAGCACGCAGACCCGCTATATTACCCTGGAAAGATGCGTGTTGGCACTGGGCTGGCACTCCTGGAAGGCATCACTAGTATTCAGGACAAGCTGCAGCTGATCGAGACCCCGTATCTGCTGCAGCACGGTTCTGCAGACCAAGCTTGCAGCGTCACTGGCTCGGCGGCGCTCCACCTCAAGACGCGCAGCGTTGACAAGACTTTCAAGACGTACGAAGGAGGTCATCACGACCTGGCTAGCGAACCCCCACGCATTCGTGACGCGGTTGTACGCGATTTTGTGGCGTGGCTAGAAGACCGTTCCAAGCCGTAGTCGAAGTTGAATTGAATGGTAGACTGTTGAAGCTTTCTGTGTTTGTTGGTATTTACTGATGCGGTGTTGTTGCTCCTACTACTACTGGGTATTAATATCACTCACAATAAAAAGATGCAGAAGATCGGAGAGAGAAAGACTGCAGGACCGAGCAGAGAGCTCATAGCTGCAGGGCGGCTTACTTGCCGTCGATCTTGCCGTCCATGGCGTCCACCAGAATGACCCGCTTGGCCATGTACTTGTGAATGAACTTGCGGCCGAACGGGATGTACGACAGGCTGTACCAGATCATGCTGCAGAACTGCGCAAGCAGCAGCAGGATGACGATGAACCAGTGCGAGGGCCAGAAGAAGGCCACAAGGACTGTGAGCCCCAGCGATCCCATCCAGGCGCGGCCACTCACACTGCGCTTGCGCGAGAGCATGCGCTTCTGCAGTCGGTTCTGGCCCATGATGAAAATGAGGCTCGAGAAGGTGGCGATGTTGCTCAGCGAGTAGAAGAGCGCGTAGAAGCGCACGTGGTGCACGCCCGTGCACAGGATCACCGTGGCCGCGAAGGCGAACAGGCCGCTGAGCACGTAGCAGCCCACAGCGCCCAGCGCGCGCTGGTTGAGCGTGAGCTGGTCGAACTCGTCGCCGATGTCGTCCAGCAGTCCCTCCTCCTCGTCGCTGTCCGAGTCGCTCGAGTCCTTGCGGCGCGGCTTGGTCTTCTTCTTGTCCTCCTTGATGTCGATGTGGAAGGCCTCCCTGGCCGAGTCCATCAGGCCGCTGGCGCTGCTCGCGCTCTCCGAGGCCTCCTTGCCCTGCTTGGTGGCCTTGTTGATGCTCTCCTTGGCCTGCTTGGTGGCTCGCTCGATGCTCTCCTGCGCCTTCTTGCTGGTCTTCTCCAGGTCCTGCTGCGTCTTCTTGGCGAAGTCCTCCAGCTTGTCGCTGGCCTTCTTGCTCTGCTCCTTCAGCTGGTCCATCATGATCTCACGCGCGGATCTTCTCGGCACTGACTGAGCTGCTTGGCTTGGGCTCAAATCTCGAAGTGGGCGGAAAAATCAGCTCGTCGATGGCTTCACTTGCGCTGTGCCCCACATGATTAACGCCATAAGCTTGGTAACGTTGCTCCTAGACGACAAAGCCGTGCGGCGCGCAACTTGGCGTCGCTTGAGTTGCGTATCATCGAAAATGACCAGCATTCCCGTTCAACCGAGAGCGGCAGGGACTGCAGCCCGCCTTCCACCAAGCACACAAACGGTCTGGATTCCCTATGAAAGGCGTATGGGAGGCCACCTGGGAATGGCATGTGTAAATTGGCGGCGTATCGCTAGAAATGGGATTGGTGTCTGCTAATTCAGAGTTGGCCCTGTAACATGGATCCAAGGACTTAGTCAATGAAAACTACGTGCACGAGTAGCGCGAGTCAGGCAGCCAACTTACAACGGAAGTTTTACAAATACAAAATCTACTACTGCAGCCTCCTCTCTCTCCATATCTTTAGCTGTAGGTGAGTCGGGAGATATCTGGGCAGCGCAGGGCTTTGCCGCGCATCATCTGCGTGGCGAAGCGCAGTAGCTGCACCCAGCTCGCTGCATCTTGTTCGTTCCTCGACCGCAAGAGCAGCATGTTGCCGCTCCTGAACTCGATGCGGAAGCCTCCATGCCCCATCATCTCGACTTTCGTAGCCGAGCGCAGATCCAACTCGCCACGCGGACTCCGCCAGTAGCTGCGCTTGTACATTCGAACGATGAAGGCCTGGAAGTCCAGCGTGCACCAGCGCTTGCTCCAACTGCGTCGGAGCAGCGCAATCGACTCGCGTAGCACAAACAAGTTGCCGCTGTACGGAGGCAGATCTAGAAGCGCCACCGGAGGCGGAATGGGCGGGAGATCAATGATCTTGGGGTCAATGTCCTCTTCATCTGGTGTTGGGCTGCCATCGGAGTTTTCTTGGTAGAGCGCTCGGTAGAGAACTCGCTGGAATCGGTACTTCTCCACCCGGATTACCTCAATCGCTTGGTTCATGCAGACCAGTTCTTTCTCGAGCTCAGCCACGTCGTCGTCATCGAGCTCCAAACTTTTCACCTTCAGACGGTCTTCTCGCTCCATCTCCAACAGATCGTCCTCGGTCACGGGGTTCCCGTCTTCATCCAGCAGTGTGAATCGCCCCGAGTCGGTGCGATGCATTTCACTTCGCATGCGGCTGCTTGGCACTTTGCTCTGCGTGCCGAACGGGTACACGGTAGCTCTCTGGATCGGGTCGAAGGTGTCGAAGTCTTCGCGGTCATCCCAAAACTCGTCCAGGCCCACGTTCTCGCGGAACATTTGAACGGTGTTGGCATTGTCGCTGACGTCGAAGTAGCCATGGCCTTCAAAGAACGCGAGGCCGTCAGGTGCGCGGCCCGCGTAGATGTCGAGAAGGTGAAGATCGAACGGAGATGCCATTTCGTTGGCGCTCGCAAGACGGCGCATTGCACAACGGCACGGTACGGGATGTTTGGCTGCGCGCCTTTTTCGAAACAAAACGAGAAGGCATTTGAGCGCCAGCAGGCAGAGCTGGCTGGCTTTGGGTCTGCCAAGACTAAAAAAGCAGCACATGGCGCCGTACGAGCTCATGGGACAGGCTTGGAGAACCACGTGCTCATATTACAGCATCGGGCTCGGGTTGATTCCAGCCGCCAAACGATCAGCACCGCTCAAATCGAGTCGAAGGTGCTTGAGCTATTACTGCCGAGTGAAATGCTTGTCAGCGGAAGTATCCTTGAGTGTATTTTTAGGCTTGCCGTTTGAAGATGTTTATAGCGATCTTCTGTGCAGCCATCTCTGCTTGGAGAGCCACATTTAGGAAAGTTCGTCAGCGAGTCCACAGTGCCATCCATGATCCAGCATCCGGTGCATGTGCCATGGTATATCGTACATGCCGCGCGAGATTCACCACGATGATGAAAGATCCCCCTCTTCAACCAGCAACACCAATGCTTCAATGCATACAATGATGCCATTATATAAAATAAGTTCTCGCGAGGGTATCCGCCAGTCGTCTTAGCTGGAGACGTAGCTGGCCGCCTTCGAGCAGCCCTTCCGTAGGATGGCTCGGCCGTACGGGATGAAGGATGCGCCGTACCACAGCATCGCCGCGTATTGAATAATCACAAGCAGCAGCACAAGCGGCCCGGCCTTCGGGAAGCCGAATGCAATGATGAGCGTCGTGACCATGGCACCCATCCAGATGCAACAGGCCACGCGCCGCACGGGCATGCACATGACCTTGAGCTGCCTCATGGGGCCAATTAGAAACAGCGAGCTGCCGATGCTGCAGAGGCTGCCCAGCGTGTAGAAGAAGGCGAACTGCTTGAGGTGCTTGGGGCCTCCCCACATCATCAACGTCGACAGGAAGCCGCAGAGGGCGCCGAACAGGTAGCAGCCGATGGCCCCGTAGAGCCGCTGGCGCTTGGTGAGACCGCACTCCTGCCCCAGCTCGTTCAGCAGCCCCTCCTTCTCCTGGTTGGCGTTGCCGGGCGATTTGCCTCCCTCCAAGTCGCTCTCATTGGCCGTGTCAGCGCCGCTTGACAGCGACGAGGACGAGCCCGAGGGCTTCACCACCGCCGGCACCTTGATGTTCAGCGCGCCTGCTTTGGCCTGCAGCGCCGCTGACCCCTTCTGCGTCGCGTCCTTGAGCGAGCTGGCGATGGTCGACTTCTGCGCCACGTCCTTGAGCGATCCGGCCGTGTCCAGCGCCATCGCCGCCGCCTGCGTCGACTTGGCCTTCAACTGCTCCAGCATCGTTGCCGTCTCTTGATGCTTCTTGACAACTGACGACGGCACTCGAAAATAAAACACAACAATACGAATAAATAGCAATATTAAGACAAACGTAGTACAGAAATAGATGCAGTTACTTCTGTGGTCTCAGAATCAGATATCCTATTTCAGCTGTGCTGAACTACATTTCTAGCCTCAATAACCCTACTGTAATTACGTCAATCCTAGCCTCAGTCTGCAGGCGTCACTTTTTGAACGCAGTTTCTCCGTATCCATCGCCAAGTGACAGCAACAAGGATGTCGGACTCGGAGGAGTACGAGTACGAGTACGACAGCGACGAGCAGTTCGACAGCGACGAGCAGGGCTCGGCGGCCGACGGCGAGGACGACGAGGCCGCCAAGCAGCGCAGCGCCGCGCGCGAGGCGCAGATCGCGCTGGAGAACACGTTTTACGAGGCCGAGGACTTCCGCCAGCGCGGCGACCTGACGCAGGCGCTCGAGTTCTTCCAGCGCGTGGTGGCGCTGGAGCGCGAGACGACGCCGCTGGAGGAGCGCAAGTGGAGCTTCCAGGCGCTGGAGCACGTGGTCAAGATCTGCGTGAGCCGGTGCCAGTGGGACGAGATGCTGCGCCACTACGAGCAGATGCTGGAGCACTTGGCCTTCGTGACGCGCAACGAGAGCACGGACTCCATCTCGTCCATCCTGGACGTGGTCTCGGGCGCCACGGGCAAGGAGGGCGAGACGGACAGCGCCGCCAAGTACACGTCCAAGATGTACGAACTGACGCTGGACAAGCTCAAGGACGTCAACAACGACCGCCTCTGGTTCAGCATGAACGTCAAGCTGGGCAAGCTCTACCTGGACATGCACGAGTTCGACCTGCTGCAGAAGCTGCTGAACCAGCTCTACGAGTACTGCCAGACGCCCGACGGCGTGCAGGACCACTCGAAGGCCACGTCGCTGCTGGACGTCTACGCTCTGGAGATCCAGGTAATGAAGGGTCAGAAGTGTGTAGATTATGATGAGGAGCTCACTGTTGCTGTCTTGTTTTGTAGCTGTGTGTCGCCACCAAGAACAGCGCCAAGATGCGCGTCATCTACCCGAAGACTCTCGACTTGGACGCTGCCGTTGCTGACCCGCGAATCATGGGGTGCGAACTGCTGTAGCTCAGCGCTTTGTGAACAGTATCTAACTCTGTTTATTTGATGCTGCAGTGTGATCCGTGAGGAGGGTGGCAAGATGTACTTGGAGGAAAAGGAGTGGATGCTGGCCTACAACGAGTTCTTTGAGAGCTTCCGCAACTATCAGGAGGCAGGCAACTCGCGGGCCACGCAGTGCCTCAAGTATGTCGTCCTGGCCAACATGCTGGCGAGCTCAGATATCAACCCATTCGATTCACGAGAGGCGAAGGTGTACCAGGACGTGGACGAGATTGGCGCGATGCTGCTGCTGCGTGGCGCCTACGAGACCAACGACATTGTGCAGTTCGAAAAGATCCTGAAGAATCCGAAGTACAAGTTGCTGAGTGATCCCATTATGAAGAGGTACCTGAACCCACTGCTGCGCAACATTCGCTGCCAAGTTATGAAGAAGATCGTGCGCCCGTACCAGGCGATCCGCATTGAAAGCCTGTCGAAGAGCATGAACATTGCCACGGAAGACGTTGAAGATATCGCCGTGGCACTGATTCAAAACCTCGAGCTGGACGCCAAGATCGATCAAAGTAGGGGGCTACTTGTGCTCCAAACGCGGCAAAAGTACGTTTTGTTACCTACCCAACTATCACTTGCTCTCGAGTATCTTTTCTCACAATAACTTTTTCTGCGCTGCTGTTATCAGGGCGCGTGATGCTAGCAAGATGTATGACGCATTAGACCGATGGACGCGGGCGTTGGCATCGACGCATGCAACCATTGCAGCTCGGGTGACGGCGCACCCGTGAGCTCGGTGCCTCGTTGTGCCACAAAACAAACGCATCAATTGGTATCGTGTCGTTTGACGCCTCCTCATTTTAACACGTTGGTCACATGTGACTGGAAATGCAACTAGTTCATCCATCCCACACAAGCAAATGAAGGCCAGAATAAAGAAGCTCTATCTATTGCTCATCTAACCGCAACCAAGCTATTACGCAAGCAGGCATTGCGCGTTATGCTCCTTGATGTAGCTCGTCACCGCTTCGTCGGATGCAGCCGATGGGACCACCTGATACAGAGCGCGAGACGCCAAGTCCACGAGAGTAGCCGATTCAGACACAAGTAGCGTCTCGCAGTTTCGCGTTTCGATTCGACCATCTGCAGGAAGCGCCTTCGCGACATCCACCGATGCAACGACGTTAAACGACGCTCCATTCTGGGCAACTTGCTCAAGCAGCGCCTGCGTCGACGGTACCGAGTAGTTGGTGACGATACGAACGTTTCCAGCGCCCACGAGTGTCGCGAGGGCATCGAGGAGGTCACGGCGCTTGATAGCAGCGTCTGCCGGGACGTCCCCAGCGTTGCCGTCGCTAGTGGTTCCAAGTAGAATATTCAAGTCCACCAACACGGACAACACCGGCACCGAGAGTGGCTTGGCAACGTATCGAACGGTGGGGTTGGTAATCACGTGGCGACTCTGGATGAGTTTCAGGTCGCAGTCCTTCCCACCAAGTTTCAGGGTGATGCGGAGCACGTCCTGAATTGTCGAAATTACGTTCTCCAGCGCACGCTTGAAGTCGTTCGGGAAGCGGTAGAGCCAAGCGAGCAGCAGCGCCGCGAACAGATCCCCCGTTCCGGTGTAGTAGCTGTCAATCCACGGGAAGCGCACTTCGTACTGTTCACAGCGAGGCTCACCTCCTTCAATGCCAGCAATCACCTTGCTGCCAATGACCACCAGCTCCTTCGGCGTCTCACCCTCCGAGGCTTCCTGGAAGCTGCTGATCACCACGACCTTCGGTCCGAGCGTGTGGAGCTTCTTGCAGGCACGCATGGCGTCCTTCACCGTGCGCAGCTCCATCTCCGCCAGCAGCTCGCACTCGTACTGGTTCGGCGTCAAGACGTCGCAAATCGGCAGCACCTTGGATCGGTACAAGTCCACTTCAACAGCAGCAACAACATCCGAAAAGATCTCCAGTAAGCATCACCCCACCCCCTCTCAATACTCTCCGCGTATAATACGTACCCAGCTCCATAGGCACGTAGAGCTTGCCCAGATCGCCCATCACCGGGTCGCACACGTACACCAGGCGCTCCGGGTGGGTCTGCGCAGCTCGCAGCCGCTCGTAGACGCGCACGATGGCGTCCAGCAGCGAGATGGACCCGATGTAGCCCGTGAGCAGGTGCGTGTGTGCGTCCCGCAGCAGGTCGTTGATCTCCATGCCGTCCAGCAGCTCGTGCAGCTCGTCGCCCGTGAGGCGGCGGCCCGTGAACTTGGCGTACCCCGTGTGGTTGGAGAACTGCACGCTGTTGATGGGGTCCACGTCCATGCCCAGGAGCTGCAGCGGGAACACGGCGCTCTTGTTGCCCACGTAGCCCTGCACCACGTGCGACTGGATGCTCAGCACGCGGCCGCCGTCGTCGCCCACCTCCAGCTCCTCGTGCTCCGCCATGGCGCTCGTCTGATCTTGGGCACTCCCTAAGATCAGCCCCCACTACGCTTTTTGACAAAACTTTAGTCCGACACAAATTACATATTAAGTGCACCCATGTATCAGTTTGCGTTGCGCGCGTACTCGTGTGAACCCGAGGAGCGCCCCCACTATTCGCGCCCACGGCGATGCCGCCACAACACAAACACTATCACTTTCGAAAAAGAGCCCCCGCCCCAAGACACGCAACGCACCATGGCCCCAGCCAAGAAATCATCCTCGAAGACGACTCCGCGCTCTGCACGCGCGCCACGCAAGCGCGCATCACGGTCGGAGCGCGTGCGCGCATCCAGAGCGCCGCCCAACACCGCGCCCAAGGAGCCCGTCGTGTACAACTCGCCGTACGCGTACGCGGTGGCGGATCCGGCGGTGTCCCCGTTCACGTTCGACAACATAATGGCGGCGACCACGAGCGAGGACACCGCCGTGAGCTTCCTAATGCGTTACGGCCTCCTCGCCTCCTCTAAGACATGCGAGTACTGCGACTATCCCATGAACCTGTGCCTCTACAAACGCGGCACGGAGGACGAGGACCGCCGCTGACGATGCCGCCGTAGCGGCCACCCGGACAAGGAGCTCAGCCTGAAGAAAGGCTCCTTCTTCGACGGCACCAAGCTAGCGTACCGCACTGTGCTGCGCCTGATGTTCTTCTGGGCGTCGGACATCCCCGTCGGAACCGCGGAGCAGTTCCTGGGCATCTCTGACGTCACGGCGATCGACTGGTACGGCTTCTGCCGCGACATCTGCTCCGCCGAGATGCTGCAGTACAGCATGATGGTATGTACACCTAATATTCGACTACAATATGTGGCATATGTTTTTATACAGATCGGCGGCGTGGGCCACACCGTCGAGATCGACGAGACGAGCCTAAAGAAGAAGTCCAAGTTCGGGCGCAGCAAGCAGCACGAGGACTACTGGCTCTTCGGCGGTGTCGATCGGGCCACGGGGCGGTGGTTCGGCATCGTCACCGGCCCCGACCGCAAAAAGAAGACGCTGTCTCCTCTCATCGGCAAGCATATCATGGCCGGGTCGACCATCATCTCCGACCAGTTCTCCTCGTATGTTTCTGTCAACGGTAAGCATACGTTGGAGAACAACAAGTGGCTAAAGGGCAAGAACTACACCCACAAGTGGGTCAACCACGACAAGTTCTTCGTGGACCCCAAGACGGGGGCCCATACGAACCGCATTGAAGGGGCGTGGGAAGTGCGCGTGAAGCGCTACATCAAGGCTATGCGCGGCGTCCCCAAGGAGCGCCTGGACCAGTATCTGGACATGTACCTGTGGAAGTCCTGGTACTTCAACGGCACTGTCCCGAAGTGCCAGTACCTTGACGGCCTCGTGCAGGGCATCCGCAAACACTACCCAGTTTAGATCAAGATTGTAATTCACAAATGTAAATTTGTGTCGGACTAAAGTTTTATCAAAAAGCGTAGTGGGGGCTGATCTTAGGGAGTGCCTGATCTTGGCGGTCTCCCCTCGAGTGAGTGCGTGGTCCGTTACTGATTCCGGTAATCGAGCTTGGTGTGTGGCACACCAAACTTCACGACTGAAGTTGAGTCAAGCGTTTTTCGGAGGTGATTCCTTTGCTGCATGGCGTTGGGCCTTGCCGGCTATGTAGCCACGGTCTTATTCAACGCTCCACTGGGCGCCTTCCAAAAACCTACATAAAACGGGTTAATCACGGTCGGTTTGATGCCCCCTTTAATAACAGTTTTATAAGTTTTATCCGCATTAAATTTTCGGTCAAAATTCCGACGTCCAAAACCTGCAGTAAACGGTTAGTCTGGTCGTCTCAATGTGTCCCATTCATTAAAACTATATGGGAGATTGTATGACACAGAAATGAGGCACATTAGATCTGGACAAATATCACAAAATAATCTCGATATCTTTCGATACGAAAAGCCGCGAACTCTCGTTGAGCAACACGTCAATCACTTCCAGGATTCCCCCCCCCCTTCCGCACACCCGGCAGAACGTCGACGCCTCCCTGTGCGCCGACACCGCGTCCACATGACTGACCCCAGGCAGCTGGTGTTGTTATGCATGATGTCTGAGACCCGTCAGCGAATGCTGGATGCTGTCAAAGATCTCTTGGTGAGGAGAGGAAACGCGCCGAACACGCTCGCATGGTCCGTATCCGACACTACGTGACCACTTCCTGTCTACCAGCTCCGCGGCTAGCCCCCTGGATGTATATCTGGTGGTTCGGCAGCGATAAGAATTTCATAACGATCACCAGCCTCTGCCGGTACGCTATCTTGTGATCGTATTTAGCGCTCTAGGCCTAACCTTTTGTATTGGTTGCTATGTGTCGTAGGCGTTCGTTCATGCGCCTGCTAGAGCGATTCAGCATGTTCTACGATATCCCGGGATACAGCCCCAAAGGAGGGAGGTAAGAAAGCTTCAGAACCACCACCAGGTGCTGGGTGTCTTAATGGCCTTCTACGTGGACTCGATGGCGTACAAAACGCTGTGCGGGTACTTCGGAGTCCCTCATGCTACTCTCAGTCGTGTTCTGAATGCCGCTGAGGATGCTATGGGGCGGGCTCTAGCAGGGTTTTCCCCAGCAAGAATTGTGTGGCCTACTTTGGCCCGCCAGAAGGCATTAGCTCGACTTACTGCAGCTCGGGAACCCCTGATGCCGTTTACGTGGGGCTTTCTCGATGGGAAGAATTATCGCGTACGTATTTGGTTTTGCTTGTTTGAGAGCGAGTATGAATCGGCCAGTAACTAACGCGAGATAGGATGCTCTGTATTGTGGTTATGGTGCTAGGTTCTTGAGCCCCCCCCCCCACACACACACACCCAGACTTTCAAAATGCGCATTACAACGGTTGGCTGCATGCGGTTTTCGTGACGGGCACGCTGTGCTTCGGGGCGGACGGTTTGATCGTGTGGTGCAAACATAACTGCCCAGGGAGTTGGAACGACTCTGACACCAGCCTCCAGTTTCGCCAGAAACTCCTGGATGCCGAGTTGAATCCCGACCCTCGTTATGGTGTCGTCTCGGACAGCGCTTTCCCGTGTGGCGACGACATGATCGGGAGAATCTTAACGCCGCTGAAAGAGGGAGATTTGGGGAGGCTTGTTCCGTCCGTGCGTCCCGCAGCACAACGCATGTCTGCTGCTATCACCTCAGTGCGCCAAGATGCTGAGTGGGGCATGGGATCTATCGAGAAAGTATACCATCGCTTGTTGCACCCGCTACCTTACGATGTAGGCAAGCGTAAGCAGAGGCTCGACAATTTGTTTCGCCTGTTGAACTACAGGGTGCGAACTCTTGAGATAAGCCAGATTCGAACTACGTTTGTGCACTGGAGAGAAGATAATGCATAAATGTATTGTTTGCTACGCTTCAATCGATCTGCTACAAGTAATGCACCCCAAGCCGCTCTTACTCCCCCCCCCCCATCTTCGCCAGGAACAGCATCATTTGGTCGTGGCGCTGTCGAGCTTCCTCACGATCGTGAGCTAGACGTTCTTCGTAGCGACGTCTGTTCTCCTCCCGTTCTTGCTCGAACCTGGCATCTCGAACTGCTTCGATGCGTCGTAGCTCCTCTCGGGCCTCTCGAGCTTCTCGCAGTTCCTCCTGGCGTCGAGCTTCGAGTACAGCAGCATCAGCACGCCGAACACGTTCATGCTCTTCGCGCTCGATTCGGCGTTTCTTCTCGGCTGCTTCAGCATCCGCTCGACGCACTTGTTCGCGTTCATCTCGCTCGGCCTTTTCAGCTGTCAAACGCTCCTCGCGCTCTGCGCGCCTGCGAGTCTCTGCAGCTTCAGCCTTTCGCTCGCTGTCTTGTTGGAAAAAGACAAGCATCTGCGTCATCTCCGCTCCTGACGCCGACCGCTTCTTCTCCAGGTAGTCAATTTCCTGCTGCATTTGGTCGCGCCGCTTTTTGGAACTGATTCGCTTGTTCCCAGCGTAGGAAGCGTTGCTGGTGGACCCGTCGGTTCTGTTGCTCTCCGAAGGAGAGGGTGTCCCGTCTGAAGTCATGAGGCCCTGAGTCATGGTGTTGAAGTAGTCACGCAGCACACGCATGTCGCGTCCGCCGAGGCGATTACTGGTGATACTAAGGTTTGGGTTTTCTGCCACCTCATGCGTATCATCTTGGGCACGTCCAGGATCTCGAAGTAGAACGGGGCCGTCTGGGGAAGCGACGGTGTCCAGCGGTTGGCGTCGACTACCTCGTGGGCGACCTCGGGATGAAGCTGGTGTTGCTGGTGTATTACTGGCAGAGACCGCCGATGTACTTGTGTCGCCAGTTCCCGCCCTGGTTGACGGGCGTCTCGAGGCACCTGGACTGACGCGGGCGCTAGCACGTCGTTGTGCGACTTGGGGGGTACGTTGGGTGTCGGGGGTGGCTTCTTCCTCAGCAACCAACGCCACATCGCCACTAGCTCCCGCAGCCTCGCGAGATGATCGGGTTCGGTTGTCTTGCGGGTCGATATTGGCGCTAACGGCTGGGGTATCTGCATTAGCGTCCTCACCAGACGAAAGAGGGGGGAAGTCGAGATCCGCTCCAAAAGCCGCGTCGATAGGGCCATTGCTGGCCATAATCGTGCCTTGTGCAACAACAGGAGGCGATGGGGGCGGAGTTCGCTGGGCGTATTGGCTGATTTCATCGTCTCCGTTGCGATTCGTCCACACTTGACTCTCCCCAGATGGAGCACGCCCGTCACCGCTCTCCCTGCGGAATGCTTGATCTACCGCTGCGTCATTTTGGTCGGCCTCCTCACGGTCGTCGTCCTCAGCAACTTCTCCGTTCGTCTCAGCATCAGCGACTTGCCCACCTGCAGCAGCATTAGCAGTTAGCAAAGCACAACGAGGAGATGTAGCGCTTCATGCTAAGACAGACTCACCGGTAACCTGGTCTACCAGTTGGAGCAGGTGATCATCATCTTCCCCTTCATCCAGACCGTCGTGTGAGGTGTGAACGCCCCCCCCCCCCCCCCCCCCCCCCCCCCCCCGAAGATTCGATCCGATATTGGATTTCTTGAGCATACGCGATAGGCCTGAGGCGAGCGAGTATCTCGCCATTTCGCCCCGTCGGCTTGGGCTTGGCGTACATTTTTCTGAACTTGCGGCGCAGGGATTCGAAGTCGCGCTCTGGCGCGTTTCGGTTTCGGCTCGCGTTGTATTGAACAGCGACTCGTTCCCACATGTTGCGCCCGAGAGGCAGGACTCTGTCCACAATGGTGCACAAGAGCATCTGCTCGTCGATAGAGTAGTTGATGTACCCAGCTCGACGTCCACGCTGCACGGCAAAGTCAACAATGAATAAAGTCGTAAGGCGTTCGTCAGCTTCAAAATGTGCAACCGTCGAACTGTACCGCTGCCATGGCGACCACAGCTCCGTCGTCCGAGTAGCGCGATTCCGGAAGATTGAAAAATGAAGCTTCAGTAACGATGCTCTTGGAGCAAGATCAATTTGGAGATGCAAACAACTTGACCCCACTATGAAAGCAAACGACTCGACTTCATTATGCCCCATATATATGGAATGAATCAGCTCTTCGGTTTGCACATCAACTTGAACATCACGTTGCCCATCCGAGGCGTAACGCGTCACGCCTCAACACTTTGACGTCGGGCAGGCCCTGGTCGGACTTTCACGTCAGGAAGATGCTGGATGTCACGGTGTTGGCAACCCTCCCAACCGCAGCGGCATACAAACCACAGTTTGTTCCCGTATGAAACGGTCACCTGCTCACCTGCCTTCACGTCCCGAATCGTGACGGCGACAACACTTAGCTTCGAGCCAGTCTGCACTTCGTGGAAGCGTGCACTGGGATCACAAGCATGATTCATCAGCCGCAACTTGCCACCGCATTCCAAGGCGTCAATACCCACATGCTTGTTTCCGGTAGTGCGCGTCTTCAGATGCATGCGAAAGCCTTCATTCACAGGTCCATTCTTGCACGGTGGGCCAAACAACTGGATGTGGCCGAGGTAGTCGCCAATAACCTCGCCCGCAGGGATGGCCTCCTTCGCCACCAACCCCCGCATTCCCGATCGCGAGCTACGCGCAATGACCAAAGCAGAACTCTCCCGAAGCGCGTTGCCACAAACGCCGCCAAATGAGCAGTTGTTCCCGGTGCAGAAGCGGCTCTCCTTTGCGTTCAAGCATTTTATGGCGTTGCAACGAGCTTCGCACCCGCATCCAGCTCCGCCACGAACTCCGATAGTGACGAAGGGGAACCTCCAGCGTCTTGGATTGAACTGGTCTGTCAGGAATTCCACGTCTGCAGGCCACGCCTCTGGAGTCCATTCCTCGCTTGTCGTCGTAGAGGAGATTTGAGCCCTCTCTCCAGAACCCTTCTGCATAGCTTCCGCTGATTGCCTTGGTATTTTAGGCAGCGATGCGATTATCGCAAGCGCCTCGGAATCGTAGCCATCAGATTCAAAGGCTTCAGAGAACCAAGCCGGAATATCCACCTCTGACGTGAAATGGTCTGCGTTACTCGGACGAGACGTGTTACTTGATGACGCCGAAGGCTTCTCCACGTGCTGCGACCGAGACATCATCGAAGCCTCCGTTGTTGGGCACGACCGAGGCATCTTCGGTGAACCAGCCGCCGACTGCGAGCGATGCGTCGTAGGCGTTGACTGGAAGCGAGGAGTCCTTGGGGTCGACTGGGAACTTGGAGCCGGCGACCAAATTGCAATGATTGAAGCGTCCGAAGAGTCCTCTTGTGAGCACAACTACCCAGAAGCGATGGCAGATGGGCGGCGGCTAGCACTTTGCCCTGGCGACAGCTCGAAGTGGCCCTAAAGACTCAACTTGCATCGTCGCCGCTTCGACAATCAGAGGGTGCTTCACAAGTAGTCCACTCCGGAGACTTGTTAGCGACGTCGTCGAAGTCGGAGATGCTCTCAAGTCTTTCGAACGCTTCGTTCTGCTGCCCAGAATTACACCGCCCTCGTCGGACCCGAAGACCCGCTTCTTCATCGCCCACATCTCTACAAAAAACCATTATGTAGAAGTAAGACACCCGCCGATAACATCAAACACAGATAAGGGTTTTGAACAAACGTACGATGTTGCTGGCGATCGATTCGAGCTTGCACAAAGTTGCGATATGCTTCTCGCGAAGCTGCTAGGCGTTTTCGGGCAGATTCCGGCCAAAGATATTCCTACAGATCGCACAGCTCAGCAATGACAAAGCAACTTATGATACGCCAGCCACGAACTTACAGGGATTGGCCGCCACTGCGTGGGCGTGATATCGCTGTCGGAGCCTCGCAACGCTCCTGGAGCTGTCATAACGAAGCAAAAATCAGTCCAGCAGCACCTCATCATTATATCTATATTAGAGGCGTACCAACATGCGCGGACTGGGTGGCCTCAGCTTGATCGGCTTGAGCACGACCAGGTAAATCTTCAAATGAAAACTGGAGGCGCGAAACACACAGCGTCTGCGCGCGAAAGTGGGCAGCTTCCCTTGAAGATCCAATTTTTAAAAATCTTTGCTACATGGGGGTTTGCTTTGATCATATAGTGAACACAAGTGTCTTTTTGATGCGGTTGCAAGTTGAGGGGCTCATAAACCCCGATAAACGATGATTAAACGAATAGTTTGATGAAACCACTTTTTGGTCTCATCAAACAATTCAAGTTTAATCACAAGGTTTAGCAACAGTTTAATCTGCCCTACCCCTAGGAATAAAAGTTTCTTATGTAGGTTTTGGAAGGCGCCCACTGCAGAGATCAAGGGCGGAATGGATTTATTTGGCGCCATTGCATGGACATCGTACGAGTTGTCGCAAGTACACCAACTCCGCGGCGGAACTGCATGTACTAGTACACAAGATTACTATGGATCAATCGCCAGAGCCAGCAGCATTTGGCGGGTTGAACCTACATGTTGGGGCGATTGCGCTCTCTCCGAAAGCCAAAAGCGTTGAGCTGCACGGAAGTCAACGTGGCATGCACCGCTGTATGAATGTATGAATGTATGAATGTACACTGGTGGGAAAGGCCAGCGTAGCGTTTGAACATCGTCGATGTTGCGTCGAGAGTGCCCACGCAGACGACGACAAGGGCAAGTAAGCCGGCATTACAGCCGCGACCTTGACACTGTATTCTTGTCGGGGGCAGACCGTCTCGCGCGGTTGAATTGACCTGCCACTCAGGTGAGCGGCAACCAGACATGGTGCAGGGATTGCCATCTTCCGCTAAGGTTTTGAGCCCGCCACCCGAAGGGCTCCACGCTAAAAATGCCCCTGTCAGCAGCCCACGCAGTACTCGCTCGACGCTCTCACCTGCTGTCTGCGCTTCCGGCTGGGAGCCCGCCACCGACGTCTTTCCTGACTGCGCAGTGCGCCAATATCGCTCGAAAGAAATCGGGCCTCTCGCTGTCCGCGCCTTCAACCAAAGTGTCAAGGCATCTGCGGGCTCTGGGCTTGGTAACCTTACAATGTCTGCAGCTGGCGCAGCACGCATGTGTTCGAACGCATTGCGTTTGAAAACACTGAGGGCATTTCCTGGACGCCACTGCAGCCAGCACCAACGGCATCAAGTCATGGTTGTCACCTTCACGATCGGCGCTGGCAGGCACATCGAGATCGGGCGCCGATAAAGTTGACGTCAAGTGTCCGGCTAGCGTGTCGAAGCCCGGTCACGCCGCGATGCGTCCACAGGGCATCGCGGACAAGCACGTTACACCCCGAGGTGACTGCAGTCCGGCTTGCCGCCAGCCGCTGGTGACTTACTCAGTACAACTCCCGCTTTGGCCGGGGTCTTACCGGCATAAGCGCGGGGAGGCCCGAACAGCGTCCGGACTTATCTTCCGTGGACTTGCAAAGTTATGGTCTCGACATGGATAATCGAAAACAGCGGGTTGGTGCAGCTGGTTCTGCGGCGCCGCCGCGCGTGCGCGAGAAACTAAGGTCCATGGCGGCAACGGCAGAGAGACATTGCTCGCCCTTCCCGCATTCGTGTGCTCGCATTGGGGTCGGGGCGTCGGCTGTCGAAGCGGCGCTCATTTTCCTACTTGGGTCAGACGAGTACAGGACGGCGGTACAGCTCCACCAGTAACGCCGACCCGGTTGCCTTCCAGCCTAGGAGGACAGGAACATTAGGAGCATGGGCTCCGCTCGCGAGGTGCTGCTGGCCGCGGCCGTGGCGGTCGCCATCGCTGCAGGTACGAGCAACCCGTCGCCACCATGGCGCTGTATTGGCGACGACACTCGAGGCTAATGTGTGAATTGTTATTCTGTTTAGATGCACGCGCGGACTTGGCGCTGTCGAGCTTGACGCTGTCCCCGGACGCCGACTCGCTGATCACCACGCGCGGTGACTCCACCACGGCCGGCACGTCCCCCAGTGCCGTCATTGGTAGCGCGGCGTCGAACACGCAGACCCAGGCGACGGATGCTCCGGTCACCGAAGCTCCGTTCACGTGGGCCCCTGCCACGACGGCTCCGTCCACGACGGCACCGCCGACCACATACTGGTATTCGACGTCGGACAGCCGCGAGCAGGACACGATCGACTCCCCTTCCACCGCGACGGTCGCGCCGTCGAACAAGGCGTCGCAGACGGAAACTCAAACCGCGGCGTCCTCTGCGTCCAAGTCCACCACCGCTACCGTGGACCAGCTCAATGACAAGAACGGAGGTTTCAGCTCTGGTAACTCGTCGAGTGGCATGTTGGGCACGGCCGTTCCGGCGGTGCTTGGAGCTCTCGCGTGTGTCGGTGCGATCGTCATGGCTGTGACCTACAAGAGGAAGTCGAACACCAGCGATGAGGACGGCGCTCGCCCCAATTCGGACTGCGAGTACACCGGCGACATCGACTTTACCCCGGAGAACCGGAAGCTGACTTCAGTACCGGAAAACTCGCCGACTGCAGGAGTCAAGGCGGCCATCAAAAGCTCCCAGACTCAAAGCGTCGACTTCAGCGCCAGCAACTCGTCGGTCCGGTCCCCTTTCGCCAGCTCGGGCTGCAAGGCTCGAGTGAGCTCTCCGATCCACAACTTTTATTCCAATAGCGAAGCCAACATGGAGTTCCAGGACCCATGTGTGCGCCACGAAGGCGGTAGCCACGTGGTGCTCACGTTCAACGAGCAGTCAGACTCGCATGGGGCCCCGCAAGTTCAGCTGTAAATACCTAACGCGCTTTGCAAGTCCATTCAGTCGCCTCTGTCTGCTTGCGCGACCGCGTCGAGGGGAGCGCCACAACAATTTTGTCGTAAGCTTAACAGGTCGCTCGTTGCCACCGCTCAATACACCACGTCTTGAGCTCTCGGTCACCAACACACGCCAACCAAGTTCCACACACAACCCAACAAACAGTCCTCAGCACAAATAAAGTTGGTTTCTGCTTGTATTCACGAAAATGGATGTTGATTGAGTTCACAACAATGAAAATCGAGAAAAGCACACCATGCTGATTCCTAGTAGGAATTTCCTACCTATCGGCTCGGTTCTCTCCGGTTCTGCTCTCTTCTTGCCTAACCATCTCCCCTGCTTCCCGTTTCCTTCTACTTGCTATTACGTGTTTAGTGGCCACCCCACGGGCCACCATTGTGGCCGGCTCGCCCAATGTTGCGGTGCGAGAACCCGTCGAAGAACGGGGTGTTGAGCGCCTCCTTGGCTGTCACTCGGTTCTCGGGGTCCAGCACCAGCATGAGCTGCAGCAGCTCAAGCAAGCCGCTCTGGGCGTCCTCTGGCGAGATCAAGTCAGCCAGCCTGCGCATCTTCCGCACGTGGTCTACACTCTCTTCACTCGACGAACCACCAGGCCAGTTCAATCGCCCGCGATGGAAAAACTTGGAAGTTGACGAGTGCTTGGAGGCCTGGGCCGCCATCTTCACAGGTAGAGGACCGATGCAGCGCTCGATGAGGGCGAGATGTTCCATGTTCTCGTGGGTCGCGAACAACAGCTCGCCTAAGTACAGCTCGGCGATGATACATCCAGCCGACCAAATGTCCGATGGGTAACTCCAGCCGAGCCCAAGAATCACCTCCGGTGAACGGTACTGACGCGTATTGATGATGGAGCTCTTGGACTCGTCTTCGTACGTGGCGCCGCCAAAATCAATCAGCTTCACCGCGTTGTTTGCAGGCGGACGCAGCGCCAGTCGCCCGCTGTCAGCGTCGGACATTCCGCGCTCGCCCTTCTTCCACTGCCGCCCGTTAGACCACTGCTCGCGCCCAGAAGACCCGTAGGAAGACGTTGACGACGGTGAGGAAGAGTCGCACGAAAGCCGCTCCTCTTCGTCATCCACCAGCAGAATGTTTTCGGGCTTGAGGTCTGTGTGGATGAGCCGGATGCTGTGGATGAACTCCAACGACGTCAAAAGCTGCCAGGCGTACGCGCGTATGCAGTGCAGCGGGAACGGCTTGTAGTCGTGGTTCTTCAGATAGTCGTACAGCGAGCAGCCGAGGCGCTCGAAGACCATGCACACGTGGCCCTTATACTCAAACCACTTGTACATACGCACGCAGAGCGACTCGTTGTTCTTGTCCTTGTCGTTCACATCCTGCAGAATCGCCGCCTCGATCTTGGCCGACTCCGTGTACTTGTCCACCTTGCGGACGACCTTGATGGCCACCAGGATGTTGCGCTGCTTGTCCTGACACTCCAGCACGCGGCCGAACGTGCCCAGCCCCGCCTCTCGGAGGATCTTGTAACGGCCTGCGATGTACTCGCCCGTCTTGCCGGTGTAGCTGCCCACAGTGTCGTCGTGCGCCACGCTGTCGTCACTGCCATCCTTCTGGGCAGGGGGCGGGGGCGGCAGCGGCTCCCGGTCGTGGTACGAGTCGCGCCGCCGCGAGTGGCGCTGCTTGTTCGAGCGACGCCGCCCGTTGTAGTCGTTCTCGGGGCTGTTCCGGCGGCCGCGCGTCTGGCTGTCGGTCCTCGAGGACCGCGTCTTCCTCCCGCTGTATCTGCAGGGCAGCAACGACAACAGCAAGTTAGTCAAACAGCAGCCAACGGGGCAGCAGCTTCATAAGTTTTACGCACCGTCGGTGGTGGCGGTGACTGCCGCTGGACCCGGTGCGCGAGCGGGTACCCGAGTGTCTCCTCTTGCGGGACCCGGACCTGGATCTGGACTTGGATCTGGGCGCTCGCGAGTCTGCAGAGGGCAAAAGAGTTAACAGCTAAAAGTTAGCACAAAAGTGCGTCCAAAAACGGCGCAAAAGACCGCGATTTGAGCCCTTACCTGCAGTTCTCCGCCTCGAGCGGCTTCCGGCGTGGTGCGAGCGGCTGCGGCTGCGGCTTCGGCTGCGCTTGCCGTTCTTCTTCTTCTTCTTGTCGTCGAGCTCGGCGTCCTTCGTGGCGCGTCGGCGGCGCCGGTGGGCGGAGCTGGGCGCCGGGGGCGGCCGCGTGGTGCCGCGCCGACGCGGCTGGTAGCGCAGGCGCGAGGACACGGGGCTGAAGCTGCGGCTGCGACTGCGCCGGCGCCGGCCGTCCGCGCGCCGCTCCATCGTCACGCGCTGGTGCTCGGGTCGGTCGGCTTGTCTGGCGGCTCGAAGGAGTCGAGAAGCTCGAAAATAGGGGGAACTGCGGTGCCGATAGGTACAGTGTACCGCTTATTATCTGTGTGCGCCACACCAATTTTAGTGTTCTGCACACCGCCCAACACTACAGCAACAACCGCCGCAGCCTGCTGCAAGATGACGACGCTCGTCGTGGGGAAGAACCTGCCCGGCAGCCGCAACGACGAGTTCTTCGGCTGGGAGGAGGCCGCGGGAGGCCGCGGCGCCGACACCGGCGGCGCCTTCGAGGTGGAGCAGCTGATCCAGCGTCAGATCCGCGCGGACCCGACGGCGCTCTCGCAGATCTACGACGTGCCCGACGACCAGGACACGTACCTGTGGCAGTACGAGCACCTGCGCCAGGTGATGAAGGAGCTGAACGTGCTGGTGGCGCGTCTGGACGGCAGCTGCACGCGCGAGTCGTGCCCCGTGATGAAGGCCACGGACGACTGGGTCTTCCTGTGCGCGGCCCACAAGGCGCCCAAGGAGTGCTGCGCCTTCGAGTACATCGTGCACACGATGGACAACGTCAACACGCTGCTCACGAGCAGCCGCGTGTTCCCGTCGCGCGTGAGCATCAGCTCCAACGCCACGCAGTACTTCCAGTCGGTCTCGCGCCGCCTGTACCGCATCTTCTCGCACACGTACTTCCACCACCCGGAGGTCTTCAAGGAGTTCGAGGACACCTCGTATTTATGCCATCGCTTCGTCTACTTCGCGCTGCACTTCTGCCTCATCCCCAAGACGCTGCTCATCATCCCCGACATTGGCTGAGGAAGCGGGTGAACCTGTGTGCGACGATGGCCATGAGGACGGGACCGCAAGTATCGAAACGATGTGAGATAACGTGGCATGTATTTCCTCCAGTGTGTGAAGACGTTCGGTCTCTTTATGCATACAAGATCGTTTATTACTGAGTGTCGTAGTCTGGAGACGAAGAGGAGAACAGTGAGAACTGTTCTCTATCTTCCGCTACGAACTAACGGCCATTTCCCGCAACCTTGAAGTAAGCAACTCGCTGCCTACTGTTTGTCGTAGATTATAGCACAATCCTCTCCTCCTGCCAAACCGAAGGTCTGTACAGCTACGTCTCTCTTGAGAATAAGCTAAGCCCCGCAGCTCTCACGACCGTCGCAGGTTGTTCAGCCGAGCTTCAAGGTCGCTGATGGCCGAATCCGTCGACTCGCCTCCTCCGGCTGCCACGGGGGCAGCAGGCGGCAGCACCGCCGCGGGTGCTGCCTGTGCTGCTGCTGAGGCCGGCGCTGCGTGGGCCGTAGGGGCCTCGGGCACCGCCCCCGTCATGTCGATGCCGATCTCGTCCAGCACCTGGCCGACGATCTTCTCTTCCTCCTCCTCGTCCTGGTCAGCGTCCATGACGTCGTCGATGGTGTCGCCCAGCATCTCCTGGGTCATCTCCATCTTCTCGCTCTCCTTGGTGTACTCCATCATGATTTGGTTGAGCCGCGGCAAGTTCATGGTCGAGGCCATGGCCTTCATGGCCGTGGTGGTGCCCTGCAGAGCCGACGTCATGGCCTCCGCCGACTTGGCCGTCTCCAGCCGCAGCGAGACGGCCTGCAGCTGCGAGCGCATGGTGTAGAACTTAGTGATGTGCTGGCGCGTGCGCACCAGGTCCTTGGCCATGATCTTGACGCTGGCAATCTGGCCCTGCTTGGCCATCTTCTTGATCTCGATGATGAGCTTCTTCTCCTGCAGCTGCAGGTTGGTGCGCTCGCGGTCCAGCTGCCGCACGGCGCGGTTGATCTCGCGCTTGTTCTCGCGCAGCTGCTCCTTCAGCGTCTTCTTGGTGCCCAGCGCGTTGCCCATGGCGCGTGGATCGGTTGACTAGCGCCTAGCTGCAGGTGCAAGTGGCGTACTCCGCCCGGGTCGATGTTGATTATTGCCTGCACGGTTGCACTGCACTGAAAACGGGAACATCGTACTTAGCCGGGACGTGTTAGATTTGGCCAATCGGGACTGGATTTTCTGGATGTGGTGTACATAAATCCATACACGTAAACCGGATAAATACCTGGCAGGTTCTGTTTTAGAGCGTTACAGATAAAGTTTTTCGACGCAGCAACATTTAATTTTAGTGATAATTTTTCGGACTCGCGCAACTGTGTGGAGCTGCGATAGCTCCACTTTCGCGCTCCCCTCTTTAAACCGATTTCGAGCAGCTACAGACCTGCGAGTGCGCTCATGCGGTTTTAGCTCCTCGTGCTCATTCCCGCGAGCTATGCCCCCGTTCAGCTCGCGGGGTGCTTGGCTAAAAGGTTGGATAATCTGTATTCTAAATCCTCCTTATTTCTAAGTCATTATTATTTCCAAGTAATCCTTATTTCTAAGCCAAAACCTTCTCATTGTGAAGTTTTTTGTTATCCTATTATCCTTATTTCTTAGTCCTAGGCCATCCTTACTATTAGAACCCTTCCTTCTCTTTAAAACCTCACGCATTTCATGATCCTCAGTCATCCTTAGTTGAAGACATCCTTGATTCTAAACCCTTATTCTGAGCCATCCTTTCTAAATCCTACTCATTTCTTAATCGTCCCATTTTCTAGAGTATTAAGTCATCCTTGATTGTAAGTTCTACTTTATTACGAAGGTCTTTGATTAAATAGTTAAAACATGTATTGAAGGAAGATAAGAACACAAACTGGGCGTAAACATGCAATCCTATGCGAACTTGGCTAAACCAGGACCGTTCCACCACAAGGTTCATTTTGAGGAGGCGTCCTGGATCATTTGCAGCGGGGGGCACAGCACGTACCTGTCGTCGCACAATCTCATCACACATTCCAGATGGAATGCTGCGGCCGGTGACGCGCTCGTCGCGGGCGACGGGCAGCTGGCAGCCGTCCCATGCAGGGTCAGGCTGATGTACCCGGCCGCCCGCGGCACGGCCACCAGACATATCGGACACGCCGGGCGTAGCCGCAGGCTGCGGATCCGGTAGTTGTGGCAGATCGCCAGCCCGCACTGGGAGGCCTACGATGTCACGGTCCACCTCCTATGGGAGCCGCGCATGCGCCGACGCAGGCAGTCCTTGCGCTCGGCCAGATGGCTCGGGCATCGGAGGCGCAGGCGCAGGCGGGGCCACAAGCGCATTGGGCGCGGGCACAGCAGGCGCGGACACTGCCGGCGCAGCGCTTACTTGCGGCGGCGCGGGCGCGACACAGCGGGCGGCAACAACACGTTCATGAGCTGGTAGACCCCTATCACCACAAGCAGAGCCCCCACGCCTATCATCTGCATGGCGGCGGCGCTGCTCGCGGTCCTTGTCGTAGCCCTCCTGGGCCCAGCGCGCGCACCCCTGGGTGCGCTGGTGGACCGCGAGCGCCGCTGCTCCAGCTGCTACCACAGGCCCGCCGCACCGAGGGCACACCTGCGCCGGGGTCCCACGACACACGTGGCGCTTGAGGTAAGCGAGTCGTGTGTACCGGTGTAGACACACCGGGCACGGGAACATTTCGCCTGCGTTTGTTTTTTTTGGAATGGAACATGTCAGATCTATCTAGCTAGTGTGCTATCTGCATGTACCTACAGGAGCTGGCCATTAGTGGGACACTCAAGGATGGGGGACAAAACGCCTCTCCGCCGCTATAAAGGTGCGCGCCAGGTAGGACGCGCCTCGCAGTCGATGTCACTATGTGGTTGTGGTGAGGTGCCTCCAGAGATCCAAGAAGCTCAGATCCTTAGATTCCAGGACTAAACCCAGAACCCCGAGATCCAAACTCCCAGATCACTCTACTCTCGGAAAGAGTCGAGTGGGCGTGTCCCCACTTGTGATCCCTGGGGTTGTTTCTTGTTGCGGGGTGAGACTTGAGGCCGAAGACGAAGAAGACTTGAGTAGGAAGATGAAAAAGAAGTTGTGTTGAATTTAAAACAAGTTCGGACACCAGGGGTGGCACCGGAGCCTCGCTCCGGTGCCAACCATTGGTGTCCTCTTAAACATGATCAAACAGAACTTACAGGGTATATGTACCCGTACACAAACTTACAGTGCTAGTACACAGTTTGTGATCTTAGCCATATTGTGCTAGATTGGGTATTCATGCCACTATTTGAGATACTAACTTTGATAGCCTCTGTGTCAAAATTGTGGTATCTTATTATCCCAGCTGGTAAACCAGAATTTGAGGCAACGAGGATGAGGAGAGAAGATTTTGTGGTAAAACTTTTAGCGGTAGGGCATTTTCCAGGCGCTGCCTCCGCTCAGAATTTGAGGTTAGTTCTCTGATAGGTTTAAGCATGTAGTGAGCAGGCCTAATGTATGGCTTTGAGAAATCGAGCACTGAGAGCTCATTTGCAAACTTCCAAGTTCCAGTCAAGTTACACTTTCTGTGTTTTATTCGGCCCTAACAGTTTGTTGGATTTAGGAGAGGCAAATCCAGATTCCGGTCAGAGATTCTGTGGATGCTTGTCTGACGCCGCAGTCGGGCTAGACCTTAAAAGCGAAACGTCTTCACAGTCCTCAAGGACTCGGAGTTTGGAGATGCCGATCTCATGCTCAGCTCACTGTTATGACATTATGTAATGTTTTGGAAGATGCTAACTTTTTGTGATTTGTATTGTTACAGATGCCTCGTAGTCTCCGTACATCTGTGCTTTGTCAGCACCAGGAGATGCTGCCAGACCGCTATTCGATGTGCGGCTTACTGTCGGTGAGCAATGCTCTCCAGGTGAGAGATTTCCTCACTCCTGTGATGATGCGCCCCGTACTGGCCCGGTTTACTGCTGTGAGGCCCGCGGAGGATCACGGACACCCACGTACACAATGGACGCGTTGCAGAAGGGTCTGCAGCGGCTTCGCAAACAGCTGGTGTACCTGAACTCCAAGTCCGGTTTCGCGAGCAGGCCCAAGCGACCTGGTGCTATCGTCCGCAGCCGGAAGCCTGCCTTGCTCATTATTGGGCGGCGCCCAGGTCAGCGTGCAGGCACATGGCACTGCATCGCTCGCGCCTGGGTTGGCAACAAGTTCCTGTTCATTGACTCGGATCGGTATCATTATTTTCCGAACCGGGAGGAGTTGTTAGCTAGTTTCTTTGAGAAGATCGACGGTGTGTACTCCATTGAGAACGTTTAGGAACAGAAAGTTTCATTTTTGTATATATATTTTTTCTTTAGTAACATCTTTAGAATATATTTCAATTCTTTAAAGAAATTTGGTATCTTCTTCTTTAACTATTTGTTTTAGTCAGTCTTTGTAATCTTTTGTTGTGTAGTGTTTTTTAGATTCGCATTTTGTAGTACATATATATATTTCTGTAGTGGAAGTTTTTAAGATGAAAGAAGATTCTTAAAGTTATTTATAATAAGATGTATAACCATTTTGTTTGAAATCGTTGGGTTTTTTTAAGATTATTTAATTGTTCTGCGCTATGTTATATAATATTTTAAGGATTGTGGGATGTGTATACACTACTCTTATGTATTAAAATTGATTATAATTTGGAAGAGCTATTATTTATTGTAAGTTCGGTTAGAAATATTAAAGTGTATTTGTTTTTTTTGTTTACTTGTAAGTTAACTGATATTTGATTCCGTTGCTGAAATTTACTTTTAAATATGTGAGATTGTTGTTTTAATATTCCTAGTATTGAAAGTTTTTGTTTGGATATCGTTCAAGTGTGCGGGTTTTTATTGTATTTTACCTCTTCGCTTTCTGGTTACATAGTGACTGTCTTCGTTTAAGATATGTGGGCTTTGATAGAGACTTTGTGAAGATATCTGCTACCATTTCTTTGGTGTTACAGTATTTGACTTCAAATTCTTTTCTGTCTACTTTCTCTTGTACAAAACAGTAGCGAATGTGGATGTGCTTGCTTCTACCATGTAGTTCTGGGTTGTATGAGAGTTTGATACAACTTTGGTTATCCTCATATATGGTGATAGCATTTGGGCTTTTGTGGTTCAGCTCCAACAACAGTAAGTTCAGGAATATGAGTTCCTGCATGCAGTGGCACAGGGCTATGTATTCTGCCTCCGTAGTGGAGAGCACGACTGTGTGGTGCTTTCTAGATTGCCAGGAGATCGGGCTGCCACACATGTATGTGATGTAGCCTCCAACAGATCGTCTAGTGTCTGGACAGTTGGCATAGTCTGCGTCGGAATACGCCGTAAGGTAGCGTTGCAGGTTGTACTGCTTCACGTTGTGGATTCCTCCGAGGGTAATACCCAGTTTGCGAGTACCGTTGAGGTATCTAAGGCCTCTCTTAACAGCATTCCAGTGAGCCTTACCAGGGTTGGTTAGGAATTGGCTGACTTCTCTCAGAAAGTATGCCAGGTCAGGTCGAGTTCCCATCATCAAGTACATGAAGCTACCGACTGCCTCTCTGTACGGGATCGCTTTTATCTCGTTCTTTTCAGAGTCTGTTTTGGGACACATATCCAGGCAAAGCTTTATGCTCTTGTCCGTGGGAGTTGCTACTGGATGTGCATCGAGGTGGTTGAAGCGGTCCAGTACTTTGGTAGCGTACTTCTCTTGGTGGAGGAAGATGAATCGGTTTTTGCGATCACGAACAATGGACCACCCCAAAAGGTACTGGGCTTCACCAAGATCAGACATTTTAAAGCACTTCTTGAGCGCGTCTTTAATGTGGTTGATGATGCGAGTCGTCGGTGCAATAATGAGGAGGTCATCGACATAGACCAAGACATAGCATGTCTGACCGTCAATTTCTCCGATGAAGACACACTGATCTTTAATCAGCTTGCGGAACTTCATGGTTTTGAGAAATGCACACAGCGTGAGATACCAGATGCGGGGTGCTTGCTTTAGGCCGTAAAGGCTCTTGAGCAGTTTGCACACGAGATGTTCTTTGCCTCGGACGGTGAAACCTTCAGGTTGTTCCATGTAGATTTCTTCATCTAGGTATCCATTAAGAAACGCTGTCTTGACATCCATTTGGTTGATTTCTAGGTCAAGTAGTGCGGCGATCGTCAAGAGAAGGCGTAAGACTTCCATGCGGATGACGGGTGAGAAGATCTCATCGTAGTCAATGCCATACTTTTGGAGAAAACCTTTAATGACAAGGCGGGCTTTATAGCGATCGATGGTGCCATCGCCTTTGTATTTGACGACAAACACCCATCGACACAGGAGTGTTTTCCTTCCTTTTGGGAGAGCTGTGAGAACCCAAGTGTTATTGTCCATTAAGGACTTGTATTCCGATCGGGCAGCCGCCTTCCAGTGGCGGGCTTCAGGCAGGTTCATTGCAGCAGAATAGGTATTTGGTTCTGAAATGTGCCTAATGGCCAACAATGTGTAGATCTGCGAGAGGTGCGCTTTGCGTTCTTCCTGGTCCTCTTCATCGTTAAGTAGTGTCTTTGTTGCATCAATTGCTGCATTAACATCAGCGATTTTCGCTTTCTTGCTTGAGGTCGTGATTGTTTCCGCCGTGAGTGCGTCAGCAGTGCGTTTTAGCATGGCAGAAAGTGGTGGTAGCGCCTGTGGTGTTGGTAGAATGGGTGCCCGTTCAGTTGTCGGGTTGAGCACATTCGGGGCAGTGGTTGGATTAAGAAACTCCAGTTGAGGGAATTCATGTTCCCGGAAAGTTACATCTCTGTGTATATAATGCGGTTCGCTTGGGTGTCAAGGAGTCTGTATCCCTTTTTGTTGGATGGGAGGCCCAGGTACATGCACTTGCGAGCTCTGGCCTCAAGTTTGTTTCGGTAAAGTTCCGGTATGTGGGCGTAAGCCGTGCAGCCGAACACCTTAATGTAGTGAGCGGATGGTTGTTTCTTAAACCACTTTTCATGAGGTGTGATATTGTCCGTCACAGAGCTAGGTGTGATATTGAGTAGGTTGGCAACGTGTTTGATGCATTCCCCCCACAGTACCTGCGGCAGGTTGCCGTCAATGAGGAAAGCTCTTGTGCGCTCAAGTAGAGTGCGCATGCGCCTCTCTGCTACTCCATATGGTTGTGGAGTGTAGGCGTTTGTGAACTGCGCATGGGTGTTGTATTTCTGAAAGATGATACGACCCAGTTTCTCGTATTCTCGAGCATTGTCACTTTGCAAGTATTTGACTTCGTCGTCGTGCAAGTTCTCGTGGTAGTGGATTTCACCCACTTCTGCACGGAAAATGTTCTGGGTTTTCTTCCTAAAGTCCTCGTAGGACTCGTACAGGTCTGACTTTCGTTTAATGATGTAAATGAACATGTAACGAGTGTAGTCGTCAATGAAGGTCAGGAAATATTGACATCCTGAGAGTGTTGGGACTGGCAGGGGTCCTGCCATGTCTATGTGAACTTTTTCAAGAGGAAACTTCGCCCTTTCAACGATACGTTTATTGAATGGGTTACGGTGGGACTTAGCGTAAATGCAGGACGAGCACAAGTAGTCTTGCTTTGGGTCGAAGTTCGACAGTCCCATGTCCGTGACGGCAGATCCTGCATAATGCGGAAGTTAGGATGACCCATTCGTTTGTGCCATAACAGAACATTGTCCAACTTACCTGAGGCGGCCACATGGGCGCCTTCGTCAGAGTTCGTTGGTTTGGCTTGAAACTGGTAGAGGGACTTGCCGTCTCCAGTCTTGGCTTCCAACTTGATGCGGTGGGCGAAGAACAGCGCGCACTTCTTGGCGTTGGGGAAGTTGATCTTGAAATCGTTTCCAACCGCTTGGCGGACGGAGAGCAGGTTAAACTTCAGCTCAGGTGCATACAGCACGTCGTTGAGAACAATGACCCGCTCCTTTCCCTTGGTGTCCTTGATCTTCAGCTCCACATCACCAGCTCCCTTGATTGGAATTTGGTGGTTTCCACCGACCGTGATGGCCTTTCCCGCCATTGGCTTGAGTGGTTTGAACCACTTCGAGCTCGAGGTGACATGACGGGAACAGCCAGAGTCGACAGTCCACATGGGATCATGGTCAGACTCAAGAGCAGTGAGGCTCACCGCTTCGGTGTCTTGGCTGAGGTCCAGTGTCGTGATGGCGATGATGCCGTAGTCGCTGTTGTCCTCATCATCACGGTTGCGGCGGCCATGGTACTTGTTCCGTCCTTGGGACCTGCTATTGTCGTTGCGGTTTCCATTGCGCGGCCCGCGGTTGTTATTGCGAGACTGGTTTCCGCTGTTGCCATTGTAGTTGCCCTTGTAGGGGTGGTGGCGCTGCGACGTTTGTTGCTGTCGCTGGTGTTGCTGTTGTTGTGACCGCGGTTCCTGGAGTGGCTTCAGCTTGAAATTGGCTGGTAGTACTGTGCCGGCCTTGACATGTCCGTTGTGGGGGTGGCGTTGCAGCACAAAGCACTCCACTGTGTCGTGGTTGTCACGATGGCAGTAGGTGCACTTGAGCGATGCCGCCAGCGCTGTATCCTCCTTGGGTGGAGCCGCCACGAGCACTTGCTCAGGTGCTGAGGCTGGCATGGCTGTTTTAGCACGGGTCTCCTGGGATTCTGGGGTCCCCTGCTTGAGAACGTAGCGATTGCGCGCAAGTTCGTTCTGGACCTGGTCGCTTCCTTCCTTGTACTTCAGTGCCATCAGGTACGACTGGATAAAGTACGGGTCGCCGTGGATGGCTGCATCCTCGTACTTGCTACAGAGAGTATGATAGATCTCATACGCTTTAGTCTTTTCCTTGACCATGAGGACGTGTTGGTCGTCAATGGTATTGATCAGGAACGCCTTGGCTTTCGCTTCCATGTGGCGTAGCTTCTTGGCGCTCAGCTGTCGGCTCTTGGCCTTCAGCTTCTCAGCATGGTCCAACTCCTGCTTCTTCTGGGCAGTGAAGGACAGGACCACGGGAGGTATTTCCTTCTCCATGTCCACATCGCCGTCGTCTCCGGCGGAATCATCCGAGCTGCCATCAGAAGCCTCACTTGACGAGGAGTCTTGCGGCGAGTCGGGCTTGGCCACACCGTGGATGTCCGGATGGCAGGCCGGGTTGAGCTCTTCGTCATCGCCGAGGTCGACGTCCGAGTCCCCAGCGTAGTCTGCTTGAGTGACGAAGCCGAGGAGGTTCTTGCCGTCGAGAGCTGCGGCGACACGGGTCTTCCAGATGATGAAATTATTGCCGTTCAGGCGAGGAAAGTCGCGGTCTTTGGCGGGCGAGGCTTGCGTAGGGATCATGACCTGTTGCGGGGTGAGACTTGAGGCCGAAGACGAAGAAGACTTGAGTAGGAAGATGAAAAAGAAGTTGTGTTGAATTTAAAACAAGTTCGGACACCAGGGGTGGCACCGGAGCCTCGCTCCGGTGCCAACCATTGGTGTCCTCTTAAACATGATCAAACAGAACTTACAGGGTATATGTACCCGTACACAAACTTACAGTGCTAGTACACAGTTTGTGATCTTAGCCATATTGTGCTAGATTGGGTATTCATGCCACTATTTGAGATACTAACTTTAACATTTCTTGATGGGAGCTACGCTGTGGGCCCAGACGTGGGTCGGCCACACCCAACTTCATCACAAAATCGGAAAAGGAATTGTAACGGGCTAACTGCAGCCCGTCACGTGCCCAGAGGTTTGAGGAAGTAACATTGAACTCTGGTATTTAGTGTTGATACGCTCACTTTTTACCACATTGCGATCGTTCGCAGCAGGAGGGAGTAGATGGCGAGTAGTAGTCCACCATCCAGATTGCTAGTGGCAGCGAGGTACTGAGTTAGATATGACAATGTAGCTCAAGATGTCAGCTATCAGAGACGATATTTGCTCAGTTAATCCACGCAATACATGTATGCAGCTCACTTAACAAGGTAACTTAGTTGTGACTTGATTAATTTCAGTTTATATTGAAATGCTACCGGCTCACCGGCAAAACGAGCCCAATATTTAGAACGATACAAATTTAGAAATGATGTTCCAAAAGTATGAGACACACAATTGTGTACACATTATGTGAGGTACATTTTTGCATGATAAGCCCACGTAAATCCAAATTCCAAGGTTTTTTTCAAGTAAATTTGGATTTTAGGTTTTTTTTTCACTTGTGCTTTGTATACTTTTGAAAAACAAGCCCACTGCTAACTGCCAGTCAGCGTCTAGCCAGTTTTGCGAACTTAAGCCCACACAATCCAATCTACCTACAAGCCCGCAGCCGCCGCAGCCCCAACGACATGAGCACCCCCTTCCAGTACCACATCGAGGACGAAGGTCTCTTCGCCCTTCCCCACGTCATGGAAGTGACGTGCGACGAGGAGACCTGCGCCCTCTGGTGTATGGAGGTGGGCCTCATCGACAGGTCCAAGCTCTGCCCTCTCTGCGGGGCCAACATGAAGCCATCATTTGTGCGGAAGCGCTGGAAGTGCTCCCGCCGTGCGGAGCATGCCGAGGGGAAGGAGGTATCCCGCGGCATGCTCACCAGCTCGTTCCTAAACGAGTCCAAGCTGAAACTGCATCGCGCGGCGCGGCTCCTGCTGGCGTGGTGCATGCGGCTATCCCAAGTGCAAGCCTCCGAGATGGCGGACGTGTGCGAGCGCACTGTGCGGGACTGGTACGCGTACTGCCGCTCCACATGCTCGAAGGAGTTGCTAAAGGCGGAGTTCAAGGTACTGTTGAGTTGCGCTTTGTCGCTTAATGTTGCGATAATGTTGCGCTAATGTTGCGGTTTGTTGCTCAACAGATTGGAGGCGAAGGACATCTCGTCGAGATCGATGAGACCAGCCTCGCTAAGAAGCGTGAATACAACCGTGGTCGTTACTATCAAGGGTTCAGGCTATTTGGCGGCGTTGAGCGCTCAACTGGACGCTGGTTCGGGCGCATCGTGCACGACAAGCGTACCAAGGAAACCCTGCTCCCATCATCAAAAAAATTATCAAGCCTCGGTAAGTTTTTTATTTCTATCACGTTTTTACATGCAACTAACGTATTTGTACGATGTTAAATCTAGAACCAAGATCATGTCCGACATGTTTGCCACGTATGTCTGTGAACGTGGCAACAAGCAGCACACTCTAGAGAACAACCGCCTACTGCTGAGTATGCACTATACCCACAGTTGGGTAAACCACAACCTCAACTTCGTCGACCCCATCACCGGCACACACACCAATACCATCGAGGGGCTGTGGGAGACTAGAATCAAACGCCACATCAAAAGCATGCGAGGTATGACTAAGGAGAAGCTGGACTCCTATCTGGACGAGTATATGTGGCGCTCCTGGTTCTTCCCTCCTAAGGCCAGCATAAGTCACTATCTAGGTGGCCTCGTTGTAGCCATAATCAGGAATGAATAAAAATTTTGGAACATCATTTCTAAATTTGTATCGTTCTAAGTAGTAGGCTCGTTTTACCGGTGAGCCATGCTACCTGTTCCTCCCTCCGAGATCAGGAGTCCCTCATGTCATGGAAATTATATTATCGACCAATTATAGAAGCTAAATGCGGAATACAGACAACGACGTAAAAAATTATTTCAGAGAAGATCGGAGAGGGAGGAAGAGTGCTTGGGGCTGGCGGAGAGAAACGAAAAAGGCTAGCTTCTTCCCATGCCAATATTGCTGCAGCCATACACGTGACTCCTCTAGCTGGTCTACTGCTATAATACGTAACACTCATCCGTTCATACTTGGCTAGGCCTTCATATGTGATCTTGAACGTCTTCAGGTCTTGTCTAATCTTGGCACCGTCTTTATGTCCTGTGCGCAGCTCTACTCCTTGGCGCACGCAGTTGTCTTGAGCTGGGGTTCTAATCTTGCTACTTGCAAAATTGCGCCGCTTCGCTGCCTTCCCACGCTCGTTTTCCTTCTTGCTCCAGCCTTGCGCATAGAATGTGCTCATCGGGTTGCCATGGATCGAGCTACTTCGGTTGTTGCGCGCGTGAATTTCGGTATTATGCCTCGCCAGATTCAGCGTCAACTTGAACTCGCTCGCCACAAAGCTGCCGCGGCTGCTGCTGTATTTTCTGACATCTGCTCGATACATACGTATACTGAACATAAATCCATTTTTTCATAAACAAGACCCCTAGTCACTCAAAATGAAATGAAACTAACCTAAAGTAACAAAAATCGACTTCATTTTCAAAGAGCATGCATGACCAACTGCACAGTATATATCCCTTTCATGCAAGCGCATCTGTACTTTATAAGTTTTCATAGGTATATCAATCAAAATACAAAACCCCAAGACATTATGGAAACAAAACGGATCAAAATAACACTAACGAAAAGTCATTCTGCTAATTTAAGAGACACTTACTTCTTCATTTTCTTTGCATTCGCACGAGGAATATACTCAGTAGGGTAGACCGCTCAAAATACGAGCTAAGCTCACGCTCGTTGTTAGCAAAGTACATGTAGTTGTCGGACTCTATGAATAAAGGCTTGGTAGCTACGTTGTCTAAGCGCAATGCAGTGTCAGGTACCCTCTGCTGACCCGGGCGACGATCAATGATGATCAGGGCTGGTTTCTGAGACCAGACGATGCGCCTTGTACGGTTATCGGGGCCGCACTTGAACTTCTTGTCCATGTACAGGAGATGTTTTCCCACTGCTGGGACGGCGTGCTTCGTGTAGGCATCATCACAAAGGTTCCCGTGGTCCTCACCGGGGCGCTCCGTCTTGAGTTTCACCAAGGCATGCCTCATCAATCTAGCCGAAGGAAGTCCAGCTGCTGCGGGCACTGTTGTCCGAGAAGAGCCCGCAGAAAGAAACCTAAGGCCTCCTGATTCTTACAGAGGCGGAAGCGCGAAGTACACGGGGTGCCGTAAATCACGACGATCATGTAGCGTGCAGTACCGTAATTTTCAGGTCCTCAGTAGCCAACAAATCCAGCGAAACCATCCGTTACGACCAAATCATCTAAAGTGGACCCCCTCCACCAACAACTTCCATCCTCCAAGTGCACATATAAAGTTTTAGCCACTTACAAAAATATGGATGTCGTGTTTTCCTTTGCAGCCAAAGTAGCAAGAGAATGTGGATTTTATGTAGAACAGATGGCCCGTTCCTATTTAACAGCTAAACTTCTGACCAATCATAAAAAGTTTACAAACTGTATGCATGATGCATGCCACATGTCGATCTTCATGTGATCTCTTTTTTCTCGTATCAGCGACTACTTAGGCTCGAAGGAGTACGGTACTCCATGTTACATGTCCATCGTGATTTACGGTATCTAAACTGTAATGCAAGAAAAAATTAGCTTCAAATGAAATATAATAATCAGATTAAATGATGCAATCAGATCAGTACAACCACAAAACCCACACACTTTGACATTTTCGACATATAACATTACTGCTGCATCCTAGCTCCGCTGAGACGCTTGACAGGCTCAACAGGGAGCGTGTGGTATATGTAGTGGTGTACTGAAAACGCGCTTGCGTGAAACAGCACAACATACATGTAGCGTACGGTAGGAAGCTGTAAGACAAAGGGAGCTGAACAATGGCAATCGAGTAGGTCGAGCGCCATCAATGCAAGTCGCTCAATCCAGATGATCATGCGGTAGCTCAATGGCAGATGCACTCTCTAACTGATATGTTAAGCACAACATTGTAGGCGTGCGATAGTGGACTCTCTAGCTAACCACAGTCGCATAAAGATAGTTGATAAACAACTGGAGATTTTTTTTTGGATCAACCGCGGGACAGGCCAACTTTTGGATCAACATTTTAAGCGACGAATTTAGCTAATTCCTTGTATATTATATAAATCGTAGGTCAAGTTTGATCCAAAAGTTGATCCTTCTCGTAGTGTTGTTGCCTTCATAATTTTATGTTATATTTTCAAAAATAATATTTTTACTGAACACCATTCTGGGAAAATGCCGCGCCGCTCCAAGACCTGCCCCAAGTGCAAGAAGCGTTTCGCCACTCATGGCAACATGAAGCACCACCAGAAGAAGGTGTTTGCGTGTGGCAAGCAGTTTGTTAAGCAACGCGAGGAGCTAGCTAAACAAAAGAAAGCCTACCGAAACCGCTACGACTATCTCAGGCGCCTCGGCCGTCTGCACGAGTATCAAGGCCCCCTCCCACCATTCGACGGCCCTACGCCAACCCAGACGCCGCCTCCACGACGGTCGACACGTCGCTCGACCACGGCCGTCGAATCGTCGGGTACTGCCCCGTCCATTATCGGTCCCATCATTGTCCATGTTCACTACTACATGGACGGGCGCGCAGTTGACGATTTCTATGATTAGAAAAGTAGGTTTCTGCAGGCGATTGCAGCCGGGCTTGTGCTCTCCTCTCTGAATTATGGTCCCGTCAGCGCGGTGGTACACCATGGCCTTGCACTTGGTCCGCTTGTGGGAGCTGCACCGATAGTTTGTTGATCTTGCGGAGTCGTGATATCGCGCATAGTAGAATCCGTTGTAGTCGATAGGCCCGGTTCTGACGCGACCGGCTTCCTCTGTCTTCGTCTCTTAATCTTCTAACTCCGTCTCTTGCTCTTCACTGCCTGCCTCTTCTTCACCACCATCTTGTTCTCCGACTTCGAACAGCTCATCCATGTCGCTTGACTCCTCGAAGGGAACGGCTCAGTGTCCCCAGATGCCTGTGAGGAGGATGACCTTGGGCTGAGAAACTCCATAGTCGGTAGTCGATAAGGCAGGTCGTCGTCGGTTGATGGGAATTGTGCGAATGACCTCCAGGAAGTGTCAGGACACCAACTGGATCCACAATACCAACCTAACACTAGCGATAAGAGTGCATTTGTACTGCTAAATTTATGGATAAGATTTTTACGCATGGGATGTGTGAAAACCTCGAGTTCGGACGCTCTAGAGATACCAGACTATTAGCCAAAAGCAAAAAAACAATCTAACATTAGCGATAAGATTATGTATGTATTGCTATATTTAGGGGAAACTTTTTTATGCATCCATCGGCTACTTTCTATTACATGGGGATTTATTGTATTACATAGGATTAATTCTATTATCGACAGCTACTTTTGACGCCAGTAAAAATTTAATTAGACGCCAGCTCCGTGAGCAGTTGGAGTTCGGATATGCACCGCTACTAAGCCTTCATGGACTACAAACATGCATTGAAGAGGCCGGAAGACTTGATATATGACTGCTACCAAGCCTCTGGGTGTACTGTAGGCTTGATTTACAACTGTCACTTAGTCGCACTACACAGTACTGTAGTTGATTTAAAGTAGAGCTTTGCATAGTTTATTCCACGATTAACTATCCACACAACTGTACTTATCTACAGGACAGGATTTTGCCGCGGCGGACTGATGTAGTCACTGTGCATTTGCGATGCGACCAATCAAGCGACTGCGAACCTCGATCGACCGTGCCGTCGATGTTATCGACCGCCTCCGACAGGACCTGTTGAGGGCAGAGCGGGTCCTTGCCGATGAAATTTCCCGCCTCGACAGAAACGCGTCGCGCACCCTGCGCCAAGTCGATGGCGAACCACTATCGTCATCGTCCGACGAGAGCAGTGATGATTCGTCTCGGCCTAGAACCCCACCGTTTGTCGACAATTTTGATGACGACGAGATCCTTTTTGGCCAACCAGGACCCCCGCGCAACAATTTCAGTCAATCCGAGCGCACTCCTAGCATTTCTGACCGATCAGAGAGTTTTACTGATGCCTCTCCTAGCCAATCGGATTACTCGTCCCCTTCGCTCAGTCAATCAGGAAGCGATGAAAGCGAAGAAGAGTACAAGATCGAGACGGCAGGGTCTGCGAACAATCCAGTTGATTTAACTTACGATAGCGAGTAAGTTTTCTGTTTTCTTTTCCTTTTTTCCGTTAAGAAATACATACGTTCTGAACTGCTGTGTTTGTATTAGGTTGATTTAATTTGGGCCTTTCTGGATTTAAATTTTACCTTTTCCGGCTTTCGTACGGTAAGTAAACACATAAATTACCTCAGAGACTGGACATACAACCGCCGCGGTCCCTGCGCTTTTGCTAAGACCTCTCAGTTTACAATTTCCAAGCATCCGAACAAGTCTTTACCTCAGCTACTGTCAACAACCCCGTCCGTGACCTCCACACCCGGCTATCCTTTCCGACCTTTGCAAGCCTGTATCGAAGACTGCTGCCAACGCACCGCTTACTGTTGCGAGGCGTCGACCGTGCCTGGAATGGAGACCGAACCGACCGGCCGCTCTACCGGGCCCCCGTCCTCAATATCGCTCACCCCATCTTCAAGTGATAGCGAGGATTTTTCGGGTGTGGTAACGCGATGTCGATCAGCCGCCATTCTGTGTCGCAGACAGCGTAGTGCTGACAGCGAAGAAAAGACCGCCGAACTCGACTTCGATGACGGGGCTGGTAAAAGGCCAAGTGGCAGTGATGAGGACTACGAGTACGAAAGTGACAACGAGGGAAGCAGTGGCGACTCCCCACCGCAGCAAGACAATACCACTCCTCCAGAAACCCGTCCCGATGAAAGTGAACGAGCTGTCATGGCACACCCGGTGCTGTTCGATACGATGGAAGAGGCAAGGGCAGTTTTGGATGGGCTTGAGAACGCTCGTTTTTCCATCGACATCAATGGGAGAACGACGACGCTGTTATCGTGCACGTCTCATGTCGACTGCGCTGCGGTGGCACGGATCAAATGCAACAAAGATGAGCAGTATGTTTTATCCAGAAGTGGGATGCACACTACTGAGCCAGCCCCCCTTGAAGAGCAGCGAACCGGTATTCACAAGCCGCTGCTGCCGGAGATCGACAATTTGTTGCTCGGAGGCCAAGGACCCAAAAAGTGTTTGAACACGCTTCGCATAACTTGCTGCCAAGCACCAGCCAGCTCAAAAACCGAGCTCACAAGCTGAGAAAGCGCGGCGATTTCTCCATCACGACGTACGCAGATGCGATGGAGTGGGCATCGCCGAGGATGTGCACAACGAAGGAGCAATTCTTCCAGCATATGAGTTACCTGGTGGAGTCGGATGATGTGCGGATATTACAAGAGCCCTTCGGCTACCAGCACGAACTGCTGGTCCTGGACTGCTTTACCGATCGCCTGGACGATGGCGAACTCTCGCTCGGCATTATATTCACTTCCCGGCGGTTGTTTCGGACTCTGCCACGAGTGATTCTCGGTCAGCGGTCGCAAGTACTGGGTGCACCCGATGGAACGTACAAGCTCCACTTTGGTGGATGGACGCTTGTTTCGTTTGGTACTTTCGGTGTTCGATACACAGCGTCACACAAGTACCAGCACAAGTTCTATCCGATGGCATTCATGTTTGTGCGAACGGAGACGGCGTTTGCTTACGCGCGGCTCTTCACAGTTTGCAGAGAGCGCGGTGAATCGTTTTTCGGCGGCACCCTAACGCTTCAGCATGGATCCATGGACCACTCGACGTCTATTGCAAACGCGTTCCGACAAGAGTGGCCTGACATCAAGCTCCTGAACTGCTGGCCTCATTTGCATCTTAAAGCCCGCGGCAAGAAGGCACATCAGCAAACAGCATCACAGGTCACTGTTAACTTCAGTCTTAGTGTGCGCATAGTCATACAAAAGCTAGTATATATATGTGTATTCATGACCAAAACGAAATGTGCATACTTAAGCAAACTTGTAGCTTTTTCCCCGTTTGGGTGTGTGGCGGGGGAAACCGCCTCTGCCACTCCAGCAACGTCTCTGTCTCTTAATCCTACGGCGTCCTCGAACCCAAGGTGCTTGCGCGAGTCTTGCGCCGCCGCCGCGCGTGCGTCCGAAACCTCGTCCCGACTTGGGATAGATATAATATTTCAATATGTCGTGTGTTGAACGCAAACCTGTCTTAAAGTTTTGATAGGGTTAACATGAATGGATCTAAGGAGAAACCAGCACCAGAACTGACAGTTAACGCAATCAATCACAACTCATTCTATATTCTTTAGACTTAAGTCGCCTTCTTCTCCCAAGTTCAAGACCCTCTCCGCAACACCACCGATCCGAAATCTGACAAATCTCACCAGATTATGTACTTTTACTACAGGCACCGACTTCGACGGCACTTAATTTTAGTCGTTTTTGATTTAGCTATGGTTAATGTTTTGTGTGCATCAAGTCGATGCACTGTCGAGTGGGCATCGTCGTCAAACCATATTTTGACAAAATTCAACAGTTTATCCAGTTTTAAAAAGTATTTGCAAACGCTTCTGCGAGTGGTGTTTCCGCTGGTTTGGAGACATCGCCGAGGTAAAGCTACAAGCGCTACAAATTCTTAGCGAGATGTTCTAACCTAACCAATCTTACCAGGTGACCAAGTTGCTTGCATCACAAAATTAAATGAATAAACAATTTATGTGCTGCTAGATATTTTGCAAAGATAAAACAACTATGCACGAGGAACGTCCTCGACGGCAAATCCACTTCAAGCAGGCCTACGTTTCGCCAGGGAAGCATCTGGAGCACAAAGCGCTTGCACATTAGCTGTTGAGTTCTGCTGGCCAACGCAAGATACTATTAGTTATTCCCCGATATATATCAGGCATAAACTCGATATACATTATTGTTATACGTAGATAATCCATTTATAAGCATTTTTTCACTTCATGTCTATCAAAGAGATTACATCGCTTTGGCTAGATGACCCGTTGTCGTGGTGATGGCAACTGCTGCGTCCACGAATAGATCATCGAGATCGAGGCGGTAAAGCATGTTGTTCTGACAAAAGGTTTATGCAGATTTCAAGTGAAACATTGATGTTGACCGTCATGCTAAATCTTGAATGAACTAACACCAGATACTACGTCTTCGTGGCGAATGTACCGTGCTTCTTGTCTACTGCAACATCGGAGTCGCGCGGCACTAGGCAATGCGTTTGTAAGATTGGGTAGTAACTTTAGCTCCAATATGTAACGGGCTAAGTGCACGTGCTTAGTGATTGCGGGCTTGGTCATTGGAAACGGAGAAGCAGGAGAAAAGCTGGAGACGGACATCGACGATGGCGGACGACGAACACCAGAACACGAGCGCGGGGAACGTACCGCGCCGGCGGAGGCGGCCGAAACGACGACGAACAGTGAGGACATGGGACGATGGGCGCTCTACGACTGCAGCGGTCTGCGAGCGCCGCTGGGCAATGAGAAGATGCAGAGTTTGTTCCACTGAAATAGCGTAGCTCGCAGTAAGTCTGACACGGTGCTGCGCACTGTGACCATGTAGTCGTTGGATGCTGCGTGGACGCCGTTCGTGCGCCGATGGAATGTCGAAGTACCCGCTATGTTTATCCGATGACTGGAGCGTCGTGAGGGAGAGCAATGAGCGCGCTCTGTGTGCGCGCTGGCGAAGCAACTTCACGATGCGCCGTATGGCACCGACCGCAACTGCGACTACGTCCACCTGTGCACACTGTCGCGGGTACAATCTCCCGCGACCGGACGAAGCTGCGTGGAAGCGTCTCCTTGCTGCAACTCCTTTGACGGACCTGATATCGTGAAGCTGTTGATATCGCTATGCGCGGCAGACGGCCGCGCCACGTCGAAGCCTCGCCGCCCCTCCAAGAGATGCCTCGTACGCCGCCACGCAATCCGGTACGTCTTTGATCAGGACCTCGAGGCTCCCAACTATCGGCATTGGCCCCAGCCAACGCACAAGGTACTGACGGTGCATGGCAACGTGAGGATCGCAGCGGATGGTGCCTGGGAACGTGAGGATCGCAGCCGCGGACGCCGCGATGCGGAAGATCAGCACGTGGGGCAGCGCAATGATCGTCGTGTTCAGGGTCGCCTTCACGATATGGCGAACGTGACCAGCGCTATCTACAAGCGGCGCAGGGCCGTCACGCTGAAACCGTGCAGCGTTATCGTCGGGATGGCTTGGAGGAGGAGCACCGACGTCGTCGCGCTGCTGTGCGACAGCAGCAGTACCAAGATCAAACAGCAACAGGAGCGTAGGCGCAGCGAGATCAGACGGATCACCAGTAGCAGCGGTGCACTCGCTGACGGAGGTCAGCGAGTTCAGGCGCTGTGAACTCCTGGGCGACCAGGCATTGTTGCTCCTCGGATCCCGCCGTCAACAGTGTCTTGATCAATGCATCGCCGGACACCGCTGCGAGGCGGTGTAGCGCTTCCCACTCGATCGCCGACAGGTGCGGAAAGCTGGCGCGCTTGAGTGAAGTGGCGGTCGTCCGGAACGCGTCGGGCATCGACGAGTCGTTCATGTTCACCACGATCTTGGGCGTTGGACGGATTAGCGAAGTGTTACCAGATGTAACGGGCTGACTGCAGGTCGTTACGTGCTTACACCAGCAGAGGGATATAGTAGACGAGTTGAACTTTGTTTGATTGATTGGCACGGTACAAACGCCGTGCCCACTTAAACCTATGCTGAGTGTTAATTGGCCATCGTGCGAGCACGATGGCGACTGTGTGGCGAAAGCCCGTCACACAATATAAGTTTAAGGACACGTTTCCAGCAAACTTGAAATTTTCCTTATGACACTGCTCCACTCCACACAAATTTTGAGCTATTCGTAGATATTGTTGCTAAGAGATTCATCGTGTTAAGGTGAAGGAGTGATTCCGCGTGAAAAGGCTCTTGCGTTGAAAGTGATCGAGACAGTTCACGCTGTGCGCGTAGCACTGTCCAATACCCTGAATTGGTGTGTTTTGTTCTCCCCGCCGGTGGATTTGTAGAAATCGGTCCGAATCGACTCCTCGACTAACGAGTACTGGTAGTCGCTTCAAGATCTCTCAAAATGTTGATCAAAGCAGTGTATCTGGTGCATCTAGGACGACTTCGAGTAAAGAAAACGGGTACAAACTGGTTGCAAATGAGGTCAATATGCGGTTAAGAGCGTTCGCCCTAGACAAACTTGATGGGCTAGCCGGTGATCGGATTCTCGCTATCCGCGTGGGTGCTAAATTTAAGGATCATGTCAAACACGGCGTACAATATCATGTATTTACGACGGCGGGTTGACTTCCTAGATTACGTGGGGGAAATTCGCTTTATCTATAACGTTGTAAAATCATTAAGCAAGGCTAGCAAATGATGTTGTCATTTTTTGTGCGATTGTAGCGTAATGTGTAAACTAGATTGCCATTTAGTGGAGGGTGAGACGAATAGATCGACGATACAGACAGCGACGTACCCCCCCCCCCCTCCCCCCCCCCCACCCACCCACTCACTCACCCAGCAAAACACATCAACTAGAAAAGGGGTTATCGGTGCGAGAAAAAAATAACGGAAATAATTTATCTAATCCAATGCAATAAAAATTGTTAGCTTTCGTAGTCAGCTCGACCAGGCAGCTCGCGCTGGCAGTTTTATTCAACAAGGGGTTTTCGAAGCAACATTATATACTATCAGCCAAAAAGCGGGAGGCTATCGCTTTGGCAGAAAAAATTGGCGTCAATCCAGCTGGCAACGGACGCTACAAGACTGGGACTGAACAAGACGATCATGGCTTCAACGGTTCTGCACGAAGTACTAAAGGGTCAAGGGCGGCGGGAATCAATCCCGTTCTCCAGATGGTGCTGACCTACATGAAAGACGCTCGCCGTGACGAGCAGCAGTTTCAGTGTTTTATCATTATCGTTTATTGATATATATTACATTCTAGGTGCTGCCCACTACTCCCATGCTCCAATACATCAAGGCCAACCACGCCATATAGCTCAAATAATATATGACAGACGAGAAGAACGAGTTGAGCGGTATGGAGGCCGTATTGATGCTCGGTCAGCGCTTGCTTGAGTGTATTTTGTATAGATATTTATTATATTGTGAAAACTGGTCGGAATGTCTAATCCGACTCTAAATCAGTCGTTTAAGAGTCTTATTTAGACTTGTATAGTCTTATTTTTTTAAGTGGGCTCCTATTTAAAAATGGTTACCCTCGATTGCACACCAAATAGATTTATACTAAAGATCGATACCAATCGCTGAATAAGTTATTAAGGACATCTCCACCGCGGCCCCTAATTTGCTGATAAAACAGCAAATTGCGATAAATTACCGAACGACCACTCCCACCGCACGCACCAAACTAAGATATCAGCAAATAAATTCCCGGTTCGACAGCAAATCAGCTCAATTTGCTTCCGCGTTTGCTGTCAGAAGCAAATCGTCGTGTCCGAGAATTACTGCGACCTTTTCATGTAATTGGCTCAGTTATGCTCTATGTTCTACCGGACAGTGCGCACCGCTATAAGAACTCAATTGACACAGAGGATCAACTGGCGAAGAACAGGATGCCGCCTGCAAAAAACGGCGGGAAGGCTACGCTGCGCGGGCCAAACTGGGACCATAGCGAGGACAAGGCGCTGGCCAAGGCTTGATTAGTTGTCTCTAAGGATGGTATCACATCCACCGACCAAAAGAGCGACGACTTCTGGGAACGCGTCGCGGCCAAGTACAACGTGTTGCGACCTCGGCGTCACGAGCGCTTTCATCGCCCCCAGAACTCTGTCGCAAAGCGCTGGCAGCTGCTACGATTGGCGGTAGGAAAGTTCTGTGGGTGTATTGCTTCCATTAGCCAGCGGCAAATCGGCTGAGGACCGCGTCGAAGACGCCCAAGAGCTGTACGAGAAACTCTACGAAGATCACTTTGATTTTCTAGAAGCTTGGCGTGTACTTCGAGATGAAGCCAAGTGGAAGGAGCTGCCCGATGCTAGCGGCGGGACCTCGAGCCGTAAGCGATCCAACAGCAGGTCATCAGTAACTCAGAGTGTCCGCCAGGCACCTGCAAATGAGAGCAGAGCCGTTGGTGTAAAACGGCAAAAACAGCAGCGCACCTTGGAGGAAAGCAATGGGCGGATAGCCGATGCGGCTGTTGTCATGGCTAAATCCTCCCAGCGCAAAGCTGAGCTGGAGGAGAAGCGTCTTGCTTTGCTAAGGGAGCGCGAGCAGAACCGTATTATCTTTGCTGCGCTGGACGGCTTAGACGAGGTCTCTCTAAGTATCATACGCCTAAAGAAGGAGAACATTTTGCGGGAACTACAACAGGTATCTACTATTTGAAAAAAAACTGTACGAAATAATTGAAAAGACTAACGAAAATATGTATTGTAGAGACCGCAGGAGAGCCAAGAATCATTCAGCGACTGGACTGACGCGAACGCTGCCGTTATTGCCGAAAACACGGATGCTACCAGTGAGAACACCGCAGCCGCCGCCAACTTGGCTACAGGTATTCAAACCCAGTTGTCGGTGGCATGTAGAAGCACTGCTAACGTAGATTCTTTCGTGCTCCTTCTAGCTCCCACAAGTTCTCAATAAATGCTCTTCGTAGCTCACTGTTCGCTGCGGCTGACTGCATATTAAACCTGCGCGTGATAATCTCCTGTAAATCGATTGCTTCGTCTCCGTTTACTCCGTCGTCATCTACGCCGCTGGGCGGGGATAAATCCGCGTCGATGTTTGCAGGTGTCAGATCCTCCAGCCCAGGCACTCCCCACTCGTCCTCAATAATCATGTTGTGAATGATAACGCAGGCCTTCATCACATACAACATGTCCTTGCCGTACCAGATGCGACTCGGAAGCTTAAGAATTCGAAACTTTCCGCGCAGTACTCCAAACGTGCGCTCAACATAGTTCCTTATACTCTCTTGGCGCTTTGCGTAGATCTTTTCCTTTTGGAAACTTGGGCGGGAAATTGTAGCCATGAAGCACGCGTAAGGTGGATAAAATCCGTTGACGAGATAGTACAGCTGGTGGAATTCCTTCCCTCCAGCAACGTACGCAAAGGAATCATACAAGTCGTGGTTAATCACATGGTGATTTACCAGAGGTGATCTGTCAATAATATTGATGTCTGATGCAAATACAAGAAAGCACATTAGTTTTACTAAAAAGCATGATCGTTGGCATATTGAACCAGCTTACCATTATTGGATCCTGCGCAGCCAAAGAAGAAGTGGGAGATCCACACGCGTTGATCTGCAACCACTTCGAGAACGACCGTAGGCTTGCCTTCTTTCCCACTCAGCTGTCCTTTTAGCGCCGTTAGGCACATTTCCCATGCCCAATGCATGCAATCGAGCGATCCAAGGCAGTCAGGAAACCCGCGGGAAGCGGAACTCTCCAGTTGTCGCTCAATGTCATCACGAGTAGGCTCATGCAGATACTCCTCTTCGAAAACTTCAACTACAGCTCCGCAAAATTTCTTAGTGTAAGCCAAAAGTGTGTTTTCGGCACCCTTCACGTCATCCAGCGAATCTGCGGCGCAGCCATATACCGGCATCCGAACAGCAGCGCTGCACTTTTGAAGAGGGGTAAGACCTTTCTTCCTCACGGCGTCGACTCGCTGCTCGAAGTCCGCATCGTGCTCAACAACAGCGCCCATGAGGCGTTCGAACAATGCGCGACTCATGCGGTTCCTCCGACGAAAGAGCTTCTCGGGGTAGGTAGGATTCTCACAGAAATAGTCATTCCATAGCCGCAAGTGTGCAGCTTGGAAATCGCGGTCGAGGTTCGCCGCTTTGCCAGGCTCCGAGCCACCTCTCTTGCGCTTAATGGGGGCCTTCTGCGCAGAAAGAAGCAGGAGCAAGAACGCCTGCCTCATGGGATACATACATACACGCTTAGTAAGATGTAAATACTTGTCATGAGATCTTCCGTGCACGTACCTCATCGTCGTCGCTGCCGCTGCAGAGCACCGATTCTTCGTCCGAGTCGCTACTCATTGGGGGAGGTTTTCTGCTGTGGACAGAGGCACGACGCAGTTTGCTACCAGGCGGTGCGACTGAGTGAATTTGCTGTCGTTTGCAAATGGTCAGTTACAGGGTTTTATTCTGATTTGATGATAGGATAGAGACGCTGCGGTGGAGATGCCCTAATAAGCCTAAATGCCGACTTCGCCGTCGGCATTCCGAGCTTCGGTGCACATATAAATCTGCAGACCACCCAACACACAGCACAATGGACACACTCGCTCGGGTCACAGTGAAGCTAGGTGGAATCGCCCAAACCAGCAGAACGACGGTGCGCATCGACAACCCTGAGTTCCCGTTCAACCCAGAAGAGCTGTACGGGGCGTGGGGGCAAGTAGAGAGAATCGTTGAGCCAGCACTAGCAGCTTATGAGGCTCGTACTCTTCGCCCAGACATAAACCTGTACGGCAAGCCAAGTACTGGAGCAACTCAAAGAGACCTAGTCGCGCTGACAGAGGACAACTGGCACAGCGTGCTTGACCAAGCGCGAGCAAATCATCTTCGGCGCTGAAAAGCTAACGGTCCTCTGTGCTTTGATGTGTTTGTATTTGCAGTAAAGGAAGCACGCGTAACCGACGCCACGAGACGTCGAGCTACCCGTGGGCGTATCCAGCAAGCTGCTGAGGACATTAGCGATTTTCTTGCCGAACGCACCGACGTGCGCGTGGATGAAATAGCGCGCGCACACTCGACCATGACTCAGGTACGACAACCGGCTGGAGCTCCCGTCGCGCTACCCGAAAGTGCCACATTCAACCAGATGCGACATTTAGATGCGGTAGCAGCCACCGCACAGCTCAGCCACTGCCGGCACAAGACCGTGATGAGGCTCTACGCCAGGCTCTAGCCGTGTGGCTGAATGGGTCATCAGAGCTCCAACTGACCTTCAACGTCCAAGCGCTACGTGCGCTACTCGGTTTATCATGCTCGCCCAAGTCGTTTTTGCCACCGTTCAACGAACCCCCCCCCTCCCCCCCGAGCCCACCGACGACATGGAGGACGTTGCCATCAGGATTAATAGATCGAGAGCAATGGACATGTATTTTGTTAATGAGCAGATGCATGAATATCACAAAAACTTCCCTCGCTACGCTCGTACATGGCTGCCAAAGTCGGAATAACCACTGGTTGGCGCTGAGCATGTCTTAAGCTTATTAAGAGCTCTCTACCTTGAGCATATCCCATTCAGATTTATGTCGTTAAACCCTCATTTACACTCTTTATTATTTTATTTGGAGTTTCATTTATCCAGCACATGGAGTCTTCAAATTCCTGATTTACGAGCGCATCCTCGTGGACATTCTGACCGATTTTCACACTAACCTGCAAATTTCCAAACTTTAAAGTTTATCATTCTTACAGACATGGATTTTCTCCCAAAAAGTCTGCGATTGCGGCTGAAAGCCACGATGAGTTCCGGGAAACGCACCTGTGCTTCACCACTGCGTTTTAGGAGGCGTGTTAGAGATGAAAAAACTAGCATGTAATATGAAATAAAAGACGGCGCTCTGTTTTATAGAGTGCGGTAAAATGAAAATTGCGCACTTTATTTTCGAGAACTCTATTTTTAAGCCCCACAGTTCGAGCAGTCCCCTCGATTACATTTAAATTCTCTCTTTTTTGAACGACAAACCCGGGGGGGGGCTAAATCGGGACAAGGTAGCTCAAGAAATACCCCTAGATTGTGCAAGAAACGCCTGGATGAATGCTCGCACCTAGAAGTTCTACCTGAGAAAAAAAAACTGCTGTGAAATGAGCTCGAAGTCCCATCTGCGGTACGTTTGACAACTTCGATCTCTCGTGTATGCAGAGAGGCAAGAACTAACAGCTAATATATGATTTTCTACTGAAAATAAAAACTCCATAGTCCTAACTACGAGAGTCATCCAGGCACCGACCGCATCTATGCGAACTGGCACTGGCCGCAAATGGTGCGTACGATTCAGAAGTACATCGCTCATTGTGAAGACGGTACATGTGCCAAACCGCTGCTATCGAAGACTCCAGGTGTGCTGGAGCCTCTCCTAATTCTATTTGAGCGCTGGTGGTCCATCTCCATGGACTTCATCGCGAATCTAGTAGATACCACGCGTAGACATACCGCTATATAGGTCGTGTTCGATCGGTTAACTAAGCGTGCTAACTTCTTCGCAACAATGAAGACCGTTTCAGGCAAGAGGGGACAACCCTGTTCACGGCATGTCCCAAGACATCGTCTCCGATCGCGACTCCAATCTCAGGCTTCTGGAGTCAAGTCTTCGAGAAGCTGATATCAAGCTCAAGATGACAGTGGCCTACCGAGCTCAAGGCGACGGACAAACTGAACACAGTAACCGGACACTTGAAGAGTACATCCGATGCTTCGTGTGTAACGGGGTTACACGCACAAGTGGCTACAGTCACTTGTTACTCTAACAGATGCGATGTCTGTTAGAGGTTTGAACACTTCCTCGACCTTGGTGTAGACACACCAAAGGCTACATACATTTACGACCACCACGACGGGTGGTCCATACACATTTAGGATTCCTATTGGCTGAAAGCAGCATCTTTTAGCCAATAAGCGACATGTATAGCATTGGAATTCTGCCAACCAGCCGTTGGCAGATTTCTAGTTTAGAATATTACATTTAGAGGAAGTCAGAAACATAAAACAAAAATAGCAGTTCTCATCTTTTACCAAAACACGCTACTTGGAGTCTTTATCTTGTTTAAAGTATACTCGTGGATCTCGAGTATACTTAACTCAAGTAAAAGAAACCTACGCTTCCTCATACACGTGCGCATACGTGTAAGCCGTAGTAGTGAGCCAAGGTAGGCCCACTACACCTGATAGCACTTTGTAGTCCGTCCAACGACCGACTACCTGAACGTTCGTACGGAGCTGTACGAACGAGGAGCCGAGAACCTTTTCATGAGCGCGGAGGTGCCCATGGAAAGCTCCACTTCACCTGCAACTCATGTTGCACGCGCTAACTGCCTCCACCTGTCAGATCCAGAGTGGGAGGCATGTCAACAGTCATTGGAGAAGCGGCTGTAGCTGTAATGCTGCGCACACTATCGCCGACGGAGCAACACGGTGTTGCTCTGGGATTCATCATGAAGAAGCAGCGTGATGCTGCTTCCTCTATCACGGTGGCGTCGGGGACGACACCGCGCGAGCAAACGTTGAAGCTAAACGTGAGCAACTATGTCGGAAGAGAGGGCGAGCCTCTCCTCCGTTGGCTTGTCGAACTCGACACTGCCATCGCGGCTCGACATATCGTCGACCCGTTGTCCAAGGTTGTGTTCACCATGTCATGTCTTGGCGGACGAGCGAGAAGTTGGGCGTATGGACGCCGACTCTCTGATCCTACGTGCTTCAGCACGTATGAGGGTTTCAAGGAGGAACTCAGACAAGCGTTTGAGCCCCCGCAAAATGAGTTTCGGTCGAGAGCAGAGTTCCTCGACCTACAGCAGGGTAAGCATGATGTCCATGCTTACGCGCAGAGAGCACGGTACTTGGTCTCGAACATTGTGACCAACCCGATAGACGAGGCGACCAAGGTCGTCACGTTCATGAAGGGTCTGAGAGATGGGCCTGTAAAGACCTATCTCTTCCGTGAGTACCCAGGTACTCTCGAAGCTGTGATTACTCTTGCGATGCAGGAGGAGTTTAGTCTGAGGCAGGCTAAACTACATGCGAATGCGCCGAGGCTGCAACCGCCTCCGGTCGCGATAGCGGGAGGTCCGGAACCAATGGACCTCTCGAATGCAACGGCTGTTGGTTATCAACAGCAACAAAGAAGTAATGTACGATGCTTCCGTTGCGGAAGGATCGGTCACTATGCCCGAGAGTGCACGACACCCGTGCACCGAGATGGTGATCGACGCGGCGATGCCGGGCATCGTCGCGGACAAACAAAAAACGCTGGAACCCAGTAGGCGCGGGGCGCCCTACTGGTAATGCAGTTCCGCGTGTCGACCTTGGACACGCGACACTGAGGACTGCAGCCCCCAGTGAGGTTCATTCTCACTGCAAGAAGCAAGATGACAGGCCTGACCTTGTCATCCTGAATGTGAACTCGATGAGAGCAAGCGGCTCTCTCCGTGCTTTGGTAGATTCTGGCGCGTCGAAGAACTTTGTTCGACTGCGAGGTCTATCAAGGCTTGACTTCGAGGATTTAAAGATACCTCGAAGTATGTTGGAAGTACTACTGGCAACGGGTGCCGTCGTGAAGACCGAGAAGCGCATGGTACGCGTGCGCTTCACTTATGAAGATCAAGAGTTTGTCGAGACCTTTATCGTCCTGGATCTGGACGATAAGTTTGACATTGTATTGGGCGTGCCGTGGCTTGCACGACATGATCCGGTCATCGATTGGGAGAAGCGCACTCTCGTGCGCTTTGGTCGCGACAGCGGAACAGTGAGCGATGGCCCTGTTGCCGCTACGCACGCACCGACAGGTTCGCGCGACTCCCCACTCGAGACAGCGCCTAATGTCGCTGTCCCGGAACGCCCTGGGCGCGCGCGAGCACGCGCGCAAGAGCAGCAAGCGTCGTCGTCGCCGCCGACGGCTGAAGGAGAAAATGTGTTGATCTCGGAGATCGACACCCGCTTTTCAGCGAATCAGGAAGAGTCTCCGACCTCAAGGGGCACGGATGACGCAGACGAGTCACACGCCTCAGCCGTGGAGGCTGACGCGAATCTGATTGGATCAGGTCTGGCCAATAATAAGAGCCAAGGTGACGTAACGCCGTCGACTCTGGGAGTCGATGGCTTGGGTGAATTTGATTCGTCGGCTCGGGGAGCCGACGCACCCTCCGTAATGGAGGGCTCCGCCAATAACAGGCGTCGAGGTGAAGATGGCGTGTCGGCTCCGGGAGCCGACGCTGCAGGCGGTGCGGACGGTTGCAAACGTCCCGCACCGGAAAAACTTGCATGCTGTCGTGCAGCCCGGCTGCACGACGAAGCGCCGGGCGACCAAGCCGGGCTTAAAGTCGCTCGCCCGCGGGATGAACCCGCCGGCGGTACTAAAGAAGAACACCCGTCCACGGCTGGGCCTGGACGAGGTCAAGAACCAAGCGGAGCCGGGCTCCGCAAAACAAGAAGACGGCGCATGCGAAGGTCGCTGCGCAAGTCTCGGCCGGGGCCGAGACGCTACAAGGAATGTCTGCCGGGCAGACGGAGGCTGAGAAGCCGGACGTTGAGACGTTGAACGTCTTGACGCGTACCTGTGCCGGGTTCCAGTACAGGGAGATGACTCTCGCTAACCCTCCGACGCAAGCGTCGGAGTTGACTTCGCTTCCAGTCCTGAGCTGGAAGCGCTTCGCGCGTGACTTGCACGATGGACGCATCGAGCAAATATGCATTCTCTCGGACGCCGAGAGAACGAAAAGCGAGAATGAAGAACTGAGGCAGTTCTTCATGGAGACCGCCACTGAGAGCGAGGACACTCTCAGTGCGAAGACGAAGAAGGAGCGCTTTGAAGAGCAGAGCTGGGACTCGTTGAAAACGAGTCCCTACTACGAGATCTTACGGGAGTACGCGGACGTACTTCCGGAAGAGATTCCTGCGGAGCTTCCGCAGGACAAGGGAATCCAGCACGAGATTGATCTCGTGCCGGGCACGAAGTACTGTGTCACGCGGCAGTGGCCACTGCCGCGAGAGCAGGTCAAAGCGATCGACGACTTCTTCGAAAGTCGTCGCAAAGCTGGACAAGTGCGGGAATCGAAATCCCCGCACAGTGCTCCGACGTTCTGTGTCAAGAAGCCACAGGGCGGCTGGCGCATCGTTCATGCGTATAACAAGCTGAACGATGCGACGATACCGGCGCAGACGCCGATACCTCGAAAAGATGTTATCATCGATTCGATGGCCAGGAGCACTATCTACAGTGATCTTGATCTGCGCGATGGGTTCTATCAGATCCTCTTGCGTG